CAGCAGCACTTCTGCCACAGAGGAGCATGCTGCATGATTGCTGTTTTGTTCACACAGTGAAACCCTACTGCTCTCTATACTTGGACTAATTGAAGGATGAAATCTGTAATCTATAATGATCCAACTTGTTCTGTTAAGGCTACAAAATCCTTGCTAGTGAATCTGCCAACATCCATGCCAAACTTTTCCCCCTTTTCTTTGAGACAAGCATGTTTTTATAAAGACGCAGGTGAAGAAAAGTGTCTCTTAAAGTCTCACTTGGACTTAAGTCTCACTGGAGATGTGGAATTTAAGTCAGTGTTGTCTGTTCTCATGATGATCTCTCCAGAATTTAAAGCTGAGGTGTATTTTTAGGTTAGTTTCTGAGATTTCCAGTGTGTTACTTGCTCTTAGATTTCTTGGTCTCTCAGCGTGCCCTTGTTTCTCTGTAAATATTCTTTTAACCAACTGATGTTTCAACTCAATTTGTGAAAGAGAGATTTCAAGAAAGTTGGGTTGAAATTATGTATTATGAGCATACTGATGTAATTCCCACCATTGTGAGAACTGCAGGAGAGGTAAGGGAGGGAGTTCTGTACTAACACCCACTAGCAGATAGCCTGGGTTTGGGATTTAGAAGTGTCATTGTCATGGGGAAAACTTTGGTTGGCGTTGAACCATTTGAGTTGCATTAATACCAGACTACAGAAGGGTGGAAACACAAAGCATTCTTCTCACCTTTGGTTTATCTCCACTGCAAAGGCATGCTTTTCTTTGCAGTTTGTTTTCAATGCCCTGGCTGCCTGTTTCACAGTTATTCAGCCTTTTGTGGAACTGAAGGATTTGGTTTAGCTCTGCGGGTGCTTTGAGTTGTTTTAAAATGAAATAATCAAATGCAGAGTTGAAAAGATGATAGAGTTCCTAAAGCCTATGAAATGCATTGCTAAGCAATTTTGCCAACACCTCCACAGATTTATACCCATCAAAGGTTGACGCAGTGCAGTTACACTTAACATACTATATTTGAATGAAATTCTGGGAGTAAGGGCAAAAGGATGAGCCTCTTGTCCCTGGGTAATCCTGTCTCAGACAATCTGTACCTTGAACCTTTTAGAGAATACTAATCCTTGCAGATGCGTCCTCCAGGAGTGTGTGTGTCTCTCTTAAAAGCATATGTGGGGTCTTCTGCTGGGGCAGGACGGGAACCAGAAGCATGGAAAAATGCATGTGCTGTGTTAGGTGGTGAGAGGAAGGCTTCAGGGCCGTGGAAGCTTTGGCATAAACTTCTCATGTATTGGCTCTGCAGTTTTATAACCTGTGCTGAGGATTAATGGAGTGGATTTTTGTTTGGGGAAAAAAAAAATTAAAAAAAGGAAAAAGAAAATTCATCCTCTGGATAAAGAGGCCTTAGTTTGTCCTTAATAGAAAATAGAATCATATGCTTTTTTTCACTTATACATGTTCTGTGATCATGTGCCATAATTTTGTTGGGAGGGATCTCTGGAAGTTGTCTCATCCTACGCTCCTTGCTCAAAGCATTAATGCTTTAAATTTTGCTGCTTTACAACCTGTAAGCTTTATTACATTTTATCAATTGCATGCCCAGAGATCTGAGCTGAGTTCCACCTTGTGAAACAGATACAGGCACATAGAAGGAGACACTGCCTGCTGTGTCGTTGCTGTAGTTGAGAAGGGATGTGGACAGAGGAGAAACACTCGCAGAAAGGTTAAAATTGCACTGGGCTTTGTTTCATAGCTCTTGCATCTCTTATCCTATTATCACAGAGGTATTTTAATGCCAGATCCTGTTCTCTTTCTCTAGACTATATGCTCCAATGATTTCAGCATTATGCAAGCCAGGTGGAAGTGACTTAGCTCTATCTGTGTCACCATATCAAATTTGGATGTGAAGAAGTCAGACAGATATGTGTGTTTTCACTGCTGGTGATTTGGTGCTGCATATAAATAAACTTGTGATAAAGGGTAAAAGCATGCATTTCTATTGAAGTTGAGTGTGTCCCAGAGCGGCAGGGGAAGGTATGTGGTTTTGAGACCTCTTGCTTGTGGTTTATACTCATGTGGCAGTGGTGGGGGTCTTGCTTGCGTGCTTCTTCTCCTATCCCTCTTTTTTCACATGGCTATAACATTAGGAAATTGAGGCAGTCTTACTGCTTTCACCTGTGGATTCATTGTTGCCAGTATTTTCTATTTCTTAATGTCCTGGTTTTAGCCAGGTACGGTTAGTTTTCTTCATAGTAGCTGGTATGCTTCCATGTTGTGGATTTAGGATGAGAATAATATGATGAGAGTAAGAACGATGTTATCATGAGAATGATAACACACTGATGTTGCTGAGCTGTGCTTATACTAAGTCAAGGTCTTAGCTTCTCCTACTGCCCTGCCAGCAAGGTGCAGGGAGCTGGGAAGGGGCCCAGCCAGGACCACTGACCCAAACTGCCCAAATTGATACTCCATACCATGACAACATGTTGAGCACAACAACACTGGGGAGATTGGTTGGGGCTGCCCCTGCTTAGAGACTGGCTGGGCAGTCAGCAGGCAGTGAGCAGTGGTATTGCACATCACTTTGTTTTTTGTTTTGTTTTGTTTTCTCATTTCATTTTTTTACCCTTCCATTCTACCTTTTTTCCAGTCCTGTCTTCCATCCCACTGGATGGGCAAGAGTGCTGAGCTGCCCAGAGCGTTGAGCCACAGCACTTAAACAGCTCTGAAGGCCTACGCTTGGCAACTGGAAAAGTGAAGGTGCAGGGAGTGCAGCAAACTCTGCCTATATCCTGTGAGCATAAAGCTGGAGATCTGATGGTGTGGTTTGTACCCCCTGTTTGGTTCTCGCTGCTTAGTAGTCTTCTGAGTAGCAATCATATAATCATAACAATGTTATATAATACATATATAACATTATATATATATATATATATACATATATATATATATATAAAACATAGTACAGTAATAATCACAAGATGTTAAGGTTTCCTGACATGTTACATTTTTAGGATTTGGTTGTGTTGCTTGATTTTGAGAGGAGAAGGAAAGAGTTTCCCAGGAAAGATTGTATAGCCTTGGGCAGAGGCAGTGCTGCTGGGAGAACTGGATTCTAGTTTAACACCTACTCAGAATTCCTGCAAGACACTTGCCCTGGCACTTATCTCTATTTTTTTTTATCAGTGATAGCTTATTGTGTGCTTATTTTCTTGTTGTCTGGCTTGAGATTCAGAGCTTGGGAGCAGAGGGCCCCATGGCTGGATCGACAGCCATGAACTCCGTGGCAGAGGACCCAGCAGAGATTTCCATGGCTGCAAGCTCCAGTGTCCTTCAGTAAAGGCACAATCTCTTTCTGTTGTCCATTTCTGAACAGTTCCAGTCTTAAAATGATAGAAGGCCTTTGTGGCAGCTGGATGTGTTGAGAGGCTTTGTTAAAACCCAATATTTAGTAATCTGATTTTCATTCTAACTTGAAGGCAGAGTTTATTCATATTGTCTTGTTTGTGTGCCTGTCAGAGATTAAGTAGTCTTTTCCTTCACTTCTGGGTAAGCTAAGCCAACTAAGCCCTTATAAAATATTGCTACCTTTTCTCAGATAATCCAGATAGCTTGTGTCTTTACCTTCCCCAGCTGGAAATACCTTTTCTGGTGTCCGGTGCCTTAAATTTTACTTCTGTATTATTGATCACCTGCAGAAAGATTGTGTGCTCCCTGCCAGCTGGAATCAGTGCTTTGGATGTGCAATCTATTGCGCTGTGAAAACAGAGTCAACTTAGCAATCTTTTTCACCTTTGTGCTCTCTGCACCTTTGCTTGCCATTGGTAGAACATGGGCCAGATTCAGGAGGTGCTGCAAATGGGAATTGAGTGGTATCTGTGAAGTGTTCAAATAGCGGTGATGAGTGCTGTGGAAGATGTTGTGAGGAGCTTAATAATCCTGTCAGCAGAGCAGCTCTTGAATAAAGCACAAGGACGCATTGCTCAGGGTGTGAGGAAGACCAAGTATTGAAAGCTCCTTCGTTGTGTGCAGGGAGTGAGGGAAACCTGTTTGTGGTGGAGTAAACAGACTTCATCATCATTCATGTGCACAAGGAGCAGAATGAAAATGTCACTGGCTTTCTTTAATGTTGTATTCCCTTACTCATCAGTTTTGACCTGTCATTTTGACATATACCTGGTGGATGTGTTGCTAACGTGTGTAAATCCTAGCACTTCTTATGAAAAGGGCATATTTCTTTTAAGAAACAAAGGCTGCCTAAAGCGAGTCTTTATTTCGTCTTCAGCTTGATTTTTGGACTTGTTTAAGTTCTTGATAAAAATGAGCTTCCTGCAGGGTCAAATTGAACAATATTGCTACAGCAGTAACAGAAACATTGTTATATTACTATGAAAGGCATAGCATATAACTCCCTGAAACTGAATTAGAGATAAGGGGAGGTATCCAGGGACAGGAGAATGGAGGAGCTGGAGAAAAAATGTACTTCATCATGGGCATTAAGAAGTAACAACACTGTTAAGTAGAACCAGCAGCTGTGATTATCCACTTGTGTTAACTGCTGCTTTTGCATTTCACCTTAATCTTTGCAGATTCTGCGTTGTTTCCATTCTGCGACAATCATCTGTGCATGAAGGAAAATACAAAGATGTAGAGAAAGCCTGGGAGGTTTGGCAGCAGCAGATCTGCAGAAGGCTCTGTGAGCCTTTGCCAACCTGGCTTCCTAAAAGGAAGCGTCTGTTTTTGTCTTTCCCTAATCATAGCTTTTGTTTTCATGGCAAGACACACTCGCATCCATGGTTGTGTTGTGGAGCACTGCTGGCCTCTGTCAGACATCAAGTGAGCAGAGCTAAGCAGCAAAAAGAATTGATTCATGCAATAGGAACATTCACTTCATTCCGTGTGAGCTCCAGAAACGAAGTAAAGAAACCCCCCAAGTGACACCTAACCTGTGCATTCCTTCACAATCAGCACCGTTAACACAAAGCTCTACTGATTATCTTTTCTTTTTGTAATTTCAGTTTGGAAATTGATTAAAGAGTCTCCATTGGATTTAACATGGCATCAAATCAGTCATCTCCCTCAACAGAGGAGCAGGCTTCCTCTGAAATAGATGACCTCTTTCTATCACTGCAAGGTGGGTTGCTATAGTTTTCTGTGCTTTCTTGATGTGGATTTATGGTGGATTTGTGATCCTGGGCAAGTTGAAGGGAATTCAGAGATACCTGTTAGACTACAAACCTGATGTTACAGTGTAGTCTGTTCATGCCTGTGTTACTTTGCTAATTTTTCTAACTAATTTTTTTGCAATGAACTGAAAGGTTACAGCCCTGATAGTACTTTCTCATGGTTATTTTCAGAACACTTGCCTTTTTTGGTGCATGTGTCATTGTGGGTTCTTAGACTTTGTTACTCAGAATACATGTTACAGTAAACTGTTTTCAAGGGAATTGCCAATGTGAAAGCAATTGTGGTATTTCATTAGTTTCCTTGTTTTCAATTTGCTGACAATTAGTTGGTTGCACTGAGCTGTCTTAATGAGTTAACTGCAGTGCTATTTCATTTCCTTTCTTTTTCTTTTATTTACTTTTCAGTCCTTATTGCTTTATCCCATGCACATGTAGAAAGAAAGCTCATGGACAGAACAAGTAGGAAAAATTAAGTGACATTTAAATGGTCATCAGCACATCAGAGATGGCCTATCATGTAGGCTTTATGGATTTTCCTTTAAGGATTTCCTGGAAAGTCTGATTTTGCTCCAAGTGTATTCGTGAAAACATTCATTGGTCAGGGAGTCAAGCAGCAGGATGAGCATGGCAGGAAGCTGATCTTCAGTGTGTTTAAAGTTTGAGTATTCTAGAACAGATGAAGTTAAGTCATGTTTCCACAGACCTATTTGCTTTTAGTTTAGTTGAGAGTAAATATGTTAAAAACAGATGGTGTGAGAGAATATCCTGCCAAATTGCTTTTACAATCCATCTTTGCACTAATGTTGCCATTGAAGCCACATGTTTTGATGAGTGAGTGTTAACAGTGGTCTGAAACCAAACATCTTTAATGGTGAACTTTCTTCTGTTTTGTTTCAGTATGAAGTTTTCAGGACAGAGAGCAAAAAGCCATAGCAGATAAGTGCTAGCCTGGCTGTAGCACCAAGCACAGTTAGTGAGACACACATTTGCTGTGCCTGTCACACTCAGCCATTAGTACAGAGACTGAATTGACTATACATGAAATAGGTTTGGGCAACACTGTCTAGCTTTAAGGCATGGAAGTGAGATATGTGGGATTTTAGACCAGGGTTTTATTTTGAAATAATACCACTACTTTCTGGAAAGTGAAATATGTCCAGTGAGAGTGGTGTTGTTTGATCAGTATCTAAATGAAAGAATCTTGTTTATTAAAAATGCAATAACTGAATAATTTTTCTGTGCTGTAGTAATTTGAGCTCCTGGATTATGCTGATGTGGTGCAAATTGGAGCCAAGCTGTGTGTGCTTTTCTAAACACTTTGAGAGGTCCTTAGAAAGTGATGGAAGCAATTTTTGTGATGTCTGAAGATGCAACAAATTTTGTAGACATGTCTAATGTACTGAGCACTGATGCTGCAGCATCTGATCAGGGTCAGATAGGCAAAAGGTGATACAGCTGAGGTGAATCACTAGAAACACATCCTGTAATGTGACATACAGAAACTATTAATAAATCTACTACAGATCTGTAGTAGAAAGGATCAGATAAGAATGTTAGGGTCATTCAAGGAAAAGGGGCTGTTTTAATTATAGGGGATCTTGAGGTGGGATTTTTAAAGCAGCTGGAGACTTTGATTACTTTAAATCTGCAGATTCACCTGGAGAAATACTGGAGAAATGTCAGATTTAAGAAGTGACTGCTCTTGACTTTTAGAAAAACAGCTCTATTTTTGTGTGGCTGAAGATGGTTGTAGTGATGGTTGTGATCTGCTTCCCAAATTTTTAGATTATAAATTGAGAATATGTCCAGTACTGTAAAAAGCACAGTGTAACAGGAGTTATGTGTAACCAAATGGCATAGGAAAAGAAAAGTAGGCATGAGGTCTTGTCTGGATTGCTTCTACATTTAATTTTTTTGTGATTCAGTCTTCTGTTATTTCTGAATGGCAGTGATGTTACAGCACTTGTCTGACACATTTAGTGGGTCTTGTCCTAATTAACCAGTCAGTTTGGTCATTGTGAAGTTACATGCCTAAATATGTAATAAAATTGTTAGCTTTTTTTTTAACTGCATATAGAACCAGGCACTTTGTTTAGGTAAGATTTGATTGTGATTTAAGTCAAAATCTTCTGTAGGAAGCCTGCATACCTTCTGGAAGAAAAGGAAAGGAAGGGGGGACAACCATAGAATAATCTGAGTTGGAAGGGACCCATGAGGATCATTGAGTTCAACCTGCCCCCTCACAAGAAGAACCTTAAAATAAGTAATAAAGAGGTTACTTATTAGCAGTCATTATCATTATACAAAGCCTATTAAATTAATGCCAGGGACTTAATATTGTACAAGTCAGCTTTAGTGGACTTTCTGTAAGTGTGTTCTCAGGTAAAAGAACATTCAAGGATGAACATTCACTTTTCTTTGTAGAGATCAGTCTAAAAAAAATGCAGTAAAGAAAGTCACTGAGATATGGGTAAAAATCATCTTGTTTGTATCTTTCTGAGCAGCTCAGTATTCTAAAGAGGTACACTGAAGCTTTAAAAACATGAATAAAATAGGTAAAATGAAACTGTGTGGTCTCTAGTCACAAAGTCATGAGGCTCCTCTCCTTTGGTAAGAGAAGGTCTTCTGGTGTCTGGAGAGCTGCTGGAGATCTGTCTGCTCTGTGGTGACAAGGCTGAGTGTGGGACTGCAGCAAGGGGACTGCAGCCACCAGGGTGTGGGTGGCTCCAGCAGACACTGACCAGTTTTGTTACTCTCTGGAGCTTTCAGGATGTAAATCTTGAAATCCTATAGGAGGGTGCAACTTCCATCTTCCTCCCAGGAGCAAATACTTTCCCTTTCCAGCCCAGGTCAGCAAACATAGCGTAAGTGTGGCCTTTCCCACCAAGTCTCTACAGAACATTGTTTTCCATTTTTTCTCCACACTTTCTGTGCTAATTCAGACACAAGAGAGGGTGTCTTAGCTCACGGAGTTTGAAGCATGTATTTACTTCACAATTTAATTAACTGTACGGGTCTTAATTTTTGGCTGTTCTCATTGACCTATGTTCATGCTGCTGTTTATTGCTGTAACTAGGGGGATAACATAAGAACATGGGTACTACAAGTGTTTCAGAAGAGTGCTTAGTGAGATAAGTGAATTATGTTATTTTCATGCAGTTAAACCTGATCCTTTATGAATAATCAAAAACCTATTCCTCTCTGACCAAAATTAAATGCTTTGATATGTATGGATGGATTTTATTGTGCAACTTGTAGTAGATTGCACTCATATCTGAGTAATTGACTTAAAGGAGGATATTGCTCTGACACACGCTTAATCTTCCAGAGGTCAGGGAGACTTATAATTCTTACCCAACGTTTATTTTGCTCCAGCTTTATGCTTCATCTGTTGAGGCTGGCATGTTATTACAGCTACACGTTCATTTGTTGATTATTTTTTTTAAAACAAAGTGATCCAAAAAAGTCCATTAAATGCTAATGATTTTTCAAGGGTGACTTTTGCAAATGGAAAAGCTCCCAGAGGAGCTGCACTGAAATTTATGCCCTGTTTACACTGCCAGGGTGAGGAGCTGGTCTGCTTCTGGATCTGAATGGCTTCATGCCATGTGATGGGGCTAACTGAATTGGGAGACACATGAGATTGGCTTGAAAAAAATCCCTCCCGGATATTTTGGCCTGTTTATAATGCCCAATGAAAAAAAATAGATTGTGTAGTTGTGTAAATGTATTCCTTGCTAGATAAATTTCAGTTTGCTGAAGGCATTGTTGAGCCAGAACTTGTTAAAAACTGGCATTACAGTGACTCAGGGGAGTGGATTGCTTCTGAGCCAGTGGCACAGAGATCTGCTTATGTTTAAGTCCCTGCTCCAGTCTGGGTTTGCAAAAAAAATGTTAGAAAAGCCACGTAAGCCCTTATCATTAAAGGTACGTTGATTTCTAAATGATGTGATTTAGTACCTTAAAGAATTTAACCTGCAACCTCTGTCTGTCCCAAACACTGCAGTGCCTCACTCCAAGGGCTGTTCTGTTAGTAAATACTGTGATGACTCAGAGCTGCTCCAGGATCCTGGCAATGAGACCAGTGAAAGTATTTAAGAAGGCCAGGAGTGCAAACTCAGTTTGAACAGGCTTTCTGAGTTAGCAATGCTTTGGGTAAACTGGATCATTTGATTTCAAAAGGAAAAGGAGATTGAGAGGAGATAGTGTAGGAAGTTCCCACTTGCTGCACAAACGTGGCAGTAGTTAATTAGTTAATACTTGAATGCTGTTTAGATTTGAAAAGACCCATTTCTGTAGAAATATTTTCATCATGTTCATTCGCCTCTGGAAAAACTTAATCTAGAAAATGTTGTTTGTTTTTAATTGCTTAACACCATGTTACTGAACATAAATGCTGGAAATAACTCTGTTCCCCTGCTTTCCTGTCTGCTGTACGTGAGGCCGTGTTACTGTGTGGAAGGGAAGGGACGACGTAACGGGCAGGGGGGAGAATTCCTCACCACTCCCTGAGCAGACAAAGGCATAACAATCCTTCTGGTAGTTCCTGCCGTTTACTTATGTACCTGCTTGGTGCTTTAGTTTGTAGCAGGAATGCTCTTTTGAGGGAGCTCTCCAAGTTAACCATGCTGGCCATGCTGTCGTAGAGTGTGGAAGTGCATATTTTGGATGCAACTGGAATATGTGTTCCAAAAAGATACCCCAGTGATCTGTGGCCATTCAGTCTAGAGCTTCTTGGCTACGTGCTTTTTTCCCCTGGTACATGTGGTGGGTACACTGACTTCTGACCTCAGCTCATCGAGCTCCTGCTCTGTTCCTGCACAACGTCCTCTTGTAGATCTATCCTCAGGTGACCTGTGTGGTGGAAGGAAGATGCAAAAATAGCACACACAAATGGTAATTATGTCAGTCAAATCATAGGTGGGAAGATGATAGAGTTGTGTTCATTAATTTCAAAGAATTGCTTGAGTTTAAAACAAAAAAAAATGCCACGTGGTTGTAAAGGATTCAGTGACAGTGAGGCACCTGTCCTCGCAGTAGAAGAAAATCTCTTGGATGTTTGGTGACTTCTTTTTTACAGACAGAGTGGAGCAGGCTGCATCTGCTGTGCTGAGCTGGGGGTTGCTTCCCCCGCTCCCTGACAAGGGAGGGAGTTATTTCCTTGGAGCCATCTCCCACCTCAGGAAAGAAGGAACAAAGGGCAGCCGCGGAGAGGAGATGAGTTTTAACTCTGGCTTTTCTGTGTCACCATCAGAGGAAGGCTGACATTCCTGCCCTTCTCTCTTCTTCCTCCCAGGAGAGCTCAGCACTGCCATGGCCCCTGCTGCAATCTATCATGTCCCGTGCTCCAGCCCTTAATGATTGGCCTATTTTATAGCACTTGCTGATAGCTCATTGCTGGATAAAACAGCTATTGTCCTGTCCGACAGTATATATTGATTTACAGCAAGTCTATATGACACGCTTCTTCTGTGCTATTCCTTTCTAAAGAGTTGTTCTGAAGATTAGCTTTAAAATGGAAGATGAAATGTGATAGATTTTGGATGCTTTCAGATTAACAGGTTCTCATTTTGTTCTCTCAGATTTACCTTCTGCCTTGGTTAGTTGCATCCCAAAGTGAAAGAAATGATCAGAATTTTTTGATAGCTGTTTTTATTCTGGGTCAATGGCACTTTGAAAACTAGGACAAGATAAAACCAAGGTCACTTAGACTCCGATAAAAAGGCCTGACAAAGAATCCATTCATCCTCATAAAAATAAAAATCCGTATTAATTAACCACGTGGCAGAGATAAGAATTTGAGACCTTGATTAAACCGTTAGAGCCTCCAAGCAGTGGAGTCAGGGGAAACGCATTCAGCCTGAAAATTGAAATATGACTGCCTGCCACCATGCCAGCAGCACATCTGTAACGAGCTGTGTTGTACTGGTAGGCATTGAGTTTTCTTATTGATTCCTGAAGTTTTTTTATTTAAAATAAGCCAGACTGCAGCTGAGGCTTCAGCTACCTGAAAGGCAGGCTGGTGAGTTGCATTAGGCTATGGCTGTAGGTTGTGGGAACAGAACTTGTTCTTACACACGTGCAGCAAAATAACTACTTTCTCCATTTGCTTGTGAGATGTTTGCCTGTGAGCCGCCCATGTGAATCAACACTTGTAGTACCTGGCCCGTGTTGTGTAATGCTTCTGTACGTTAATAAGGAGAGATTAAACCAGGACAAGACCAAGTGTCTTCATCCTGATGGTCTTTCAGTTACCAACTCTGAAAGTAAGTCCTCTAAATTGGTAGCAGCCTTTGACAAGAGCTACACCTGGAAGAGTTGCAGACGACTGGCAAAGCATTTAATATTTGCTTTCTGCTTCTTTTCAAGTGCCAGAAATTCCAGCCTGATACCGAGTGCAACTGCTCGGTAATCACTCATTAGGTAATTGGAATAGCACCCATACAGGTATTAAACCAAAGGGTGTGGTTGGGTCCTGTGCTAACACGAAGCCAGTAACTCCATGCTGTTTATGTCCTCCGAGTGTGTGTAGTGAATATGATTGGTGTGTAGCACATGTGTGCTTACTTTCTGTTTTCCAGACATTTTTGTCCACGTCTTTAAGAATGCCTTCATCCTTATTGTTCATCACCACCTCTGTGTTATTTAAAGAAAAGCACAAAACAGTTGATCGAGCAGAGGAAATGAGCTGCTCTGTCAGGATTGTAGTATTACAGATTGATCACAGAATCGTTAAGGTTGGAAAGACCATTAAAGATCATCTAGTCCAACCATCAACCCTCACCATGCTCACTGTCAGTGTCCCTCGGTGCCACATTTCCACAGCTCTTGGATACCTCCAGGGATGGTGACTCCCACACCCCCCAGGGCAGCGTGCCAATACCTCACTGTTCCTTCTGAGGTTTGGTTTTGTTTCGTTTTCTAAATATCTAACTCAACTAAAGAACTGATGGAAGACCAGTCAGCCCCAGGATGCACAACGGCCCTCAGTGCATGCAATGCACGAATGTTTTTCTAGCTGTTCACCCACCCCATGACCCAGGAGGTCACTTATTACCTTGACCGTGGCTTCCATAGCCTCTGCTCCTGGCCACCATCGCAGCAGGAGGAGGCCTTGTGCTTTTTCTCTGCTTTGCATCTCTTCTACCCATCTCACCTCACCTCCCTGGTGCCTGAGGGGAAGGCTGGAGGCAGGCAGACAGGAGGGGCTGAGCTTTGCCTGAGGAGCTGCTCTGGGTGTGTACAGAATGGTCTGCCTCAGCCTCTGGCAGGGGGTGGCTGAATAGGCTGTGAGGCTGGCACAGGCTAAAGGTGGTGCTTTAAGTGACTGGAACATCTGCTCATCAGTGTAAGCTTACGTTCCCTCAACAGTCTACATGATGTGTTTGTAGTGTCTGTGTGGAACCAGTGCAGCCCTATGGGTATTGATTCAAAGGGAGGAAGGGAAGAAGAGGAGGCAACCACCCTTCCGCAGCTCCAGGCAGGTCCCAGAGGCGGGCACTGCTTTTTGGCTTGTTCTTTGAGAAGCCAGCTTGTCTGCTTCCAGTCAAAGCTGATGTGGAAAGGGAGAGAAAAAGGAGGTTGTGTTCATGTGTGCTCCCAGGAGGCTCTGGGATGGCAGGCAGAGGTGGGCTGTGGGTTCTGTGTGTGGCAGTGCCTGTGCAGCATCTGGGTTAGCAGCGAGATGGAAAGGCTGTCATCTCAGCAGCCAACACCTGCTGTTATCTCAGGCACACAGCAGGGATGTATGCTTTTCACAGCCCTGTCTTGGCATCTATCCTGGAGGGGACAGGAGATCTAGACTGATCTGCCTGCATTGCTCAGCTTTCACACGCTGAGGAAAGGGAAGAGCAATTTAATATCTGTAGTAAAGTAAAATTAGGCCCTGATTCTCTGCTGTTCAACTGAATAGTTGCTTTTGTATGGACTGCCTCATGCCAAGTGCAAAGTCTTGGTATTTATTTTGATGAGGTGCATACCTTGCTCTCTGCTCCCAGATATTCTTTTTCACTTTCTGAAAGAACTATAGAATGATTCCCTTTTCTTCTTTTCTGTCACAGAGAAAGGCTTTCCCTACTTTTGAAATTTAGGCTGATGTGAGAAATTGCTTAAATATTCTGTTTTTTAATGCAGGGCCTAAAATAGTTTAAATAGTCCCCTTGCAGCTGCTGGTGGTTTTTCACTTAGTGACAGCCTACAGGACCTGGCTGAGTCTCTGGGTGATGGATGGAGTTATTCTACATGGATTGTTGTCTAGGATGTTGTGTGCACACTGCTGCTTGCATTTCCTGAGCCTTCAAGAAAGCCTTGGTTGTTCTTTGCTGTATCCAGTTAGAGAATTATGGTTGATAATTGCAGAGCTCCTTACATTATCATCTGTGCAAGTTTAAAAAAAAGATGATTTTATTTTTTCATTACCCATTTTGCTTTTCTTTTTTTCCCCAGTGCAACGAGAGTGTACTCAGAAGAAGACATTTACAACCTGGATAAATTCAATATTGGCAAAGGTAAGAAGGGTATTCTTTAGCAGAAGAATGCTTTTTGCCTTTTTTGGTTTGGTTGTGTTCTTAGGAGATTTTTTTTTTTAAATAAACAAAATGAATATAAGATTTTAAGCACTGTCTGGGTAAAGTAGCCCATAGAAAGCATTTGTTTATTACATGTAACAACACTGTATTGGTGATAGTCCAAGGAGACTTGCAAGAGGTGCTTTGTAAGAAGTTGACAGTATCTTTCTTGCTGATTTTGTAAAACAAACTTTTTGCTGAGTTGTGGCATGAATATCAGGGTTTCAAGAGTTTCTAAATTTGTGATTATTATTACTGTATTTAGGGAAGTATTACTCACTTATGCAAACCACAAACATGAGTTCAATGAGATGATCACCGAGCAGTTTATACAGCGTGTGCTGTGGCTCTGAATTGCTCAGATAAAAATCCAGTTTTGGCTTTTCCTTGAAGAGAAGCCATTGAGCTGATGATGGATTTGTGTTGTCCATGTATGGGTGAAAGAGTGACAGCTTAGTTATTCAGCTCTGTAGTCATATTTGTATTCGGTATATGTTGAAAAGGAAGTAAAAATATGAATTAACTGCTAATATTAACTTTCCTTTTGTTCAAAGTTACTTCTTTTTGCTACATGTCTCCTTGAAAAATATCATAAATGCTTGAAAATGTGTCCTAAAGTAACTCTTATAAATAAAACTCTGAGATGAGGAGAGTGGGAATAAGAAACAAACACAATAATGTGTTAGAAGGAGCTGGATATGGCTGATTAGATGCAGGATTTATATTTCAACTTATTGAAAAATAGAAGATACTGAACAGTTTCTTAACAATGAAGTGGAATAATCTTTCATGTTCTATAACGTGTTGAATTTAAAGTAACTAAAGATGGTGTCACATAACACTGAAATTTATTTTGCAGCATACACCTCCTTCTGTTATCTCAGACTTATATACAGACATTCAGCAAGGACATGTGCTTTTGGATCTGTTGGAAGTGCTTTCAGGTCAACATCTGGTAAGACAGAACAATACAAATATTACCTCAATGCTTTGTCAAATCCAGAAGAAATTGCAGGATATTCTTGATTGTAAGGACATTAATAATCCCCTTGAAGTCACAGAGCTATTTGCAAGTAACTTAAGCTTACATCGCTGACACTGAATCACACTGAAGTAATTTGATCCAAAGTCATTCATGAATCTTTGCAAGACTCTCCTTATCAAAATGGAAATAAAATTAATTTTTACAACTAAGAATGTAACGTGTTCTTTTTGCTTTGCAGCCACGGGAAAAAGGATTTAATACCTTTCAGTGCAGAAGCAACATAGAAAATGCTTTGACGTTTTTAAGGAGCAAATCAGTGAGTATTAACTTCAAAATTCACAAGTAAAGCCAGTTTAGCTGGTGGAGCGTTTTCTTTGTTAACAATGATCCTTTTTTCCCTTCCTAGCTCAAGCTTATAAATATTCATGTTGCTGACATTATTGAAGGAAAACCTTCCATTGTGCTTGGCCTAATTTGGACAATTATATTTCATTTTCATGTAAGTATTTCAGTAATGCAAAGGAGTCTTTCAGCAGAGGAGAAAAAGCACAAAAATATGTTGGCTTACATGGCTGCACAAAGAAACAAATTAGTACAAAGCAGAAGATTGTTTTCTGACATCTTAAAGTGATGAGTCAGAAAAGAGATGCACCAGTGCATCCTGCCTGTCTCTGAGCTGCTTCTCCAATGTGATGGTAGCATTACAACTTGGACATCATTTAACTGAAAATGGTAGGAAGTGCAGATATGAGATTTTTAAAAATAACTAGTTAAAAATCAGCTAAACTTAGTCTTGCTAAGGCCCGTGGTGATTAAGTTCTTAATGGAGCACCAAGTGGAGCAATTAGCGTGGAGTGGCTCACATCCATCTCCCCCAGGGGCAGACCCCTCTTCAGTCTTGGCTGTGCTGAAGTTGTTTTGTGAGCCTTTGTGTAATTCCTACTCTCTGTTTTTCTAAAACCAAGTATCAGAAATGACATGCAGGATGTTGTGATGTTTCCTACACAAGGTACTGTGTGCGCATCCTGTGTGACAGGACATTATGGGGAGAAAGAGAAGTCTGAAAGCACATTGCATTGCTAGAATCCTGTTGACTGCAGAGAATGGCGGAACCAAACAGTTGTCTAGCAAGAGCCCTTTTGCTTTTGGGATCTACTGGTGATAAGGGCTCAGGAAGGAATCTATAAGCAATGTTCTGTAACTATTAGTTGTAGCCCATGTTTTTTCTTGGTAAGGGTATTTTGGTGCTGGAGTATTTGTGCTGTGCCTAGTGGTGTGCATTATCTTTTAGCTAAACCAAGCCTCTCTAACCAAGTGTAGATTTCTGAGGCCAATTGAGTAGGTTTTCCTGCACCCTGAGCAAGCAAGCAAGCAAACTATGAACGTGCCTGATAGAACACAAGACAGCACAAAACACAGCTGCTATTGGCTTCCTTCTCTGGTACAAAGAGTAGGAAAGAATATTGAGTGAGAAAATCCCTTCATGATATTGCTGGTACCCATAGTATCACATAAATGCTTTGGGTGAATATTTCCCGCCAAAAATATCAACTGTTCATCTTGAATGGATAACGTTTGGTAATGGTTGATAAACTTTATCCAAACTCTGGGGGCAGAGGACTGCTTTTACAGCTTAATTGAGTCCTTTCTAATTCTCTGTGCTTTTTGCCGTTAATGTCTTGGAAGTTTCCACTATAAGCTGGTTAAATTTTCCCATCGTCTCTGACAGATTGAAGAACTTGCCAGGACACTTGCTTGCACTTACAATCAGCCTTCTCTTGATTGTCCAAGTACTGTTGACTCCTCCCCAAAGGCAAGGCGATCAGCTAAAAAGAGTGCTAAAATTAAGGAGCGGTGGAAGATATCTGCTACAAAGGCTCTTCTGTTTTGGGCAAAAGAACAGTGTTCACTGTAAGTTTCATCCAATACATATAAATACTATTTCACATTTTGTATTTACGGCTTTTCCCTAAATGTGATATTTTTCCTTTAGCCTTAGTGATGGCTTAGCAGAAAATGCTTCAGAATTCAAATGATGTTATCAGCACTTTTAGCATCAATCAAAGCCCTAAGCATTATGAAATGAGCCCTTTAAATATAATGAAGTGAGGCTAATCCTACTAATAAAACACCACAATGTAAATTAGTTTGTTTGGCTTTTCTCTTTTAGGAGCTTACAGTTTCCTGTGTGATAAGTCTAGTGGAATGCTTACATGATTTGCTAGTTTTAATCCTTGTGGTTGGCACCGGTTAACAAAGTTGCAGCAGTTACTTATTTTTTAAAAGGAAAATTTGGGGTTTCTAGGATTCAAACATCACTCGTGGGACTTGAGACAGACAGAATGACAAGTATTCTCTCAAAACACTGCACGATCCCCAAGGAGGATCCTAGAAAATGGAGCAGGTCTCAGTCCCTAAAGTCTTTGTATGTGTTTTTATTCCCAATGTTCACATAGCTTTGTTGACTTCAGTGGGAGCATTCACAGCACACAGCCAAAATTAAACATATATTTGTTGCAAGGGACAAGATATACATTTTACGTTTTCTTCAAGGGCTACTGCAACACTCAAAGACATTTCAAATACCTCTTAGAATAATGTCAATTGTTTTCCCCCAGCTTTTTGATAGCTTTATGTTCTAATAACATTTTACTAGTATTGGAAATTGTTCAGTGGCAGAAAAAGGCCTTCATCAGCACAGTTTACTTTCTGAGTGAAATTTTTAGTCACTGTATTTTACATTTTCATTGTGTTTTATCAAAGCAAGATTGACCAGCATGTAAAAGAGATCCCTCTGTCCATTTAATCATCCTTTTTTGATTGTTTTTTATTTTCAGCAGTATTACTGTTTTCAGCAATATTGCTCTCTGTTCTGTAGCATCCTTTCTGAATGGTGATTGCATTTAATAACTTTGTATCAGTTAATCCTATAGTCTTTGTTAATGGAACAAGTCTTTTTAAAATGCTGGCCCATTGTTTTGTAGCTAAGTTTTAACACCTGAAGCCCTACATATTTTCCACTCAGGAGCATACTCATAATATATGAACTGCTTCTGGAAAGTAGTCCCAGATTGCACTGTGGCTCAGAGCTTTCTGGTCTCTCACAGCATTGTCCAGGCACTACTTAATGGAAGATGTTTGAAAGACACCAAGTAAGAAAAGAATATCCCTTCTGTGCTGATAGTTTTAAGGTTTGGATTTTCTGTAATGACAAAAAGGATTCCAAATCTTGGTGGTCTGATGGGCAAATACCTTTATTTTATTGCAACAACTTCAGTGCATTGCTTGTTATTTCTCCAACCCGTAGAATGTATTGACTGTGAGAGCGAACAGTGCGTTCAGAAGGAATACTGAATCAATAATACTTAGCTTCACAATGCAGTATAAGAAGAAAATATTGTAGCATTTTGCAAAACCAAGTTTAAAAAATGTCATTGTAGTGATGAGCATTATTGTCTCTATGGTTTTCTGACCCAACTTTTTCAGAAATATAGTGACAAAGTTCTCTGTAACTACTTTGATTTATGTTATATATCATATTGCCAAATTTATATTGTATTTCTGAATTCTCACTCATGACATTTGAGTAAATGTGCTGTTGTGTTTTGTTTCTAATCATTTTTGGGATAGATATGGTTCAATCAGTGTGAATGATTTCAAGTCAAGCTGGAGAAGTGGACTGCCTTTTTTAGCTATCATCAATGCCTTAAGACCAGGTCTAATTGATTTGGAGAAGGCAAAGGCTAGAAGCAATAAGGAAAACCTAGATGAGGCTTTCAGAATTGCAGAATTGGAGCTCAATATTCCACGGCTTCTTGAACCAGAAGGTAAGCAATCTGCTTTCCTGTAATGAGCGAGATTAATATAATCCTACACGTGTTGATTTGTAATACAGGCAAAAAGTAAGGCTGTGTTCAAGTTTGAAATGAAACATTGATCTTTACTGTGATGCTCTAATCTACAGTTCTTTTTTGTGTAACTCAGAGGATACTTGGGATTTTTAGGATTTTTGAATTTGCAGCATGTGCAGGAACAATATGAAGATGACGGAGAATGAAACTTTTCCTTTCATGGGAGAAACTTGTTCATTAGTTTCTCATGTTATATCAAGGTGTTCCCAGGGAAAGAATTTCATTACATACTCATTTCTGTCAGTGGTATATTATGTGAGCTACTGCAAAATAAACATATTTATGGAAATGTGTTTTAATAACTGCACTGCAGTGTGTAATCATGGGATCAAGTCTAGAGGGCTGAATAATTGGTGTATTGGCTCTTGTAGATGTTGATGTTATGAATCCAGATGAAAAATCAATCATGACTTATGTGGCTCAGTTTTTACAATACTCCAGGAATATGCCCGAGACTGAAGACATGCAGGTATGTAATCTGGTTTATCACAGACATTCTGTAACAAATGTGCATTGTCACTGCCAAGATTCTCAGTACTTCCTTTTCCCAGCTTATAGCATGATGCACTAACAGTTATCCTCCATAGTTTGATCCTCTGATTCAGCCGCTGACAGCGTTGAATTGGTTTGAACCTTCTGGTACTCCTATGTGTGAGCCAAGACTCAATGTGATAGATTTTGATGGTGCTGTTGAAATTACTGTGCAGGTGGTCTTGTTTTTAGTTTGTGGGTTTTTTTGTTTTTTTTTTTTTTTTTTTTTTTTTACCAAGGATGTTTTTAAGCTTGATTGTTTTCATGTGCACTCTCAAGTCAATGTGTGAATACAGATAAATTTGCCAACATGCAGAACAATTAGCTTTAAATTTAATAGCTTGCATGTAGAGTGAGCAGCAGTTGTTGCTTGCAGTCTATGCTGGTTAGAAAACCAAGTTGTCTGTTGTCTATATTCTCCTATACTATGGTGTTTGGAAAACCAAGCTGTCTGTAATCTATAATCTCCAGTAGCAAGGGGGTTGGAACTAGATAATCTTAAACATCCCTTCCAACCCAAACCATTCTATGATTCCTATTAGAGTTTATACATTAATTGCCTCAATTAATTGCGTTAATTCACATATCTCCATATCGTTAATGTCCTTCCACTCAGGCTGCAATCAGGCTCTTCTTTTAAGATGGCTTTGTATATCCAGGAGACAAGTTTAAAACTTCAGCCTTGCTTTATAGTAGCAGCTGGCCCAAAGCTCATTAGAGTCCCCAGGAAACATTGTTTGTTTTTCACTGGCTTTGAATGGGGTTATCATATGCTCAGTATATGTTGCTTTGTGGCACAATGTGAATTAGAAACAAGGCTTTCAAAACAGAAACATGAAATTTTCTGCTCTAATTACTAGGATAAAGTAACAGAGACCTTGAGCTGGTTGGCTGTGCAGAGAAAAAAGTTAGCAAATTTGCTGAAGGACACAGAGAATGAAACTTATTACCAGAAGTACAAAGTAAGTTGTGTTTTGTATTTAACTGCTTTTTCAAAAGTAAACATTAAGAATGTTCTGAGAAAGAGACTTTCATCTTCATTGCCTAGGTCAAAATGCTAAATGAAACAGGAGATGGAAACCTTGAATTGAGTAAATGCTCTCAAATGATTGAGGGAAGAATAGGGTAAAATTATTTCTCTTTGGAAACAGATACATGCTGTTTCATTTCTGAGCAGAGCAAGCTTTTTGGAGAGAGCAATGTGATGTCTTTTAATTAATTGACATAATTGAGAATGTGGACAAGATTCCATAGGCCCTTCATAAGGTCAGCTTCTCAATTACTGTGATAATAATTATGGTAGATTCAGCTAATGACATAGAGGAATACTTGAAATGTTGACTATAGATTGTGTCTGAAGTAAAATTTCCTTTGGTTTGTATTGTAGTCAGAGTTGGTAATAAAATAGCCTGTATGGATAGAGAAACGAATTTTCCCTCCCTCTTGGTTAGAAGAACCATGTCCTGACAGCACTGACAATATGCTAAGTACAGATTTTAGTAGAGAATGGCACTTTCAGATGTAATCCCTTGCCTTTTCATGCATCACATCCTCTGAATTTAATGGAGTTCCTACCAATAAGTTCAAAGGCAGTATTCAGTTGCACGGGTTCCATCCAAGTTATCTTCTATGAATTATTCTTCCTTCTTATCTATAGGAAATGATGTCATTTATGGAAGCATTTAACCAAGAAAAAAAAGCATTTCTGCCCCTGTTATCATCAAAAAGAACTGGAGCTGAGCTGAGCGAAGGCCAGCAGCAGATGAGGGAAGAATGGAGTAAACTCGTCTCTCAGGTCAGAGGCAATTCCAGCTCACCTTGTTGCATGTGTGAATGTGATTGATGTGAAAGCCTGTACTTAGCCCAAGAATATGCACATGGAAAAGCGGGGGTGGAGGGGGTGATACCTTTTTGCATCAGTGAAAGCAGTATTGATCCTGAACCTGAAGTTCAGACAAACTGGTGTACAGTGCCCAAGAGGAGTCTGAAAGGGGCTGTGAATTACATTCCTGCCTTTGCATCTGATTATTTTTGAGCAGCCTTCAGATCAAAGGTTTTGGTTTATTAATGCTTACAAGGTTATTTGAAGACAAAGTTATGGCTCATAATTTTGCAGCTTGGAGAAATATGATCGTATTTTTTTTCCCACAGTACAAATTGTGATGCAGTTAGATCAGGTTGATCAGTGCTTTACAATGAGTTTGGCTGTGTTGTCTCCCTCTGTTGCATTTGTTGATAATTGCTCTTTATAGAAGAAATGTCCACTTGTCACTTCACAGAATCACAGAATGGCCAGGGTTGGAAGGGACCTCAAGGATCACGAATCTCCAACCCCCCTGCTACATGCAGGGCCACCAACCTCCACATTCAATACTAGACCAGGCTGCCCAGGGCCCCATCCAGCCTGGCTTTGAACACCTCCAGGGACGGGGCACTTCTTATAACAAACAGCTAGTCCAGAGCATCCCTTGTTCCCTACTTCTTTTTTTTTTCCAGGGTGTGTAGAGCATCAGCTTACAGAACGTGCAACTGTATGTTAGGGATGGAGAAAGGAATAATAGTGACAAATTTAATTGCTTGTTTTTATTTTTAAGATTAATGAATGGAAAGCAGAGCTGGACCAGATGTTGCCTCCACCTCTGGATGGCATTGAGGCCTGGCTTCAGAAGGTGGAACATCTGCAGGCAGAAGATTTGCCTGATTTGCAGGACCCATTTAAAGCCATGTCTCTCTTCAGTGAAATCATTTCAGTGTTTAAGGTAAGCTGATCACAGAGGAATGTTCTCCTTTAGTCTCACCTAGTAAAGTACTTATCATGGAATTGCTGTTTACTGTTTTGGAAAGTAGTAGGGATATGTTTATTTTCTGAAGATGAGAAGCTTTCCGGAAGATACCGTTGATTTTTGTGGGTTTATTCAAGTAACTGCACAGGTCTGTAAGGAAGGTTTCTAATTTCATTGGAGTGAGATTAAATTTAAATGTGAAGTGAATGAGAAAATTATGCTATTTTATGTGGCTCCTGCAACTTGTTTGTTAAGTAATAATACAGAGTAATTGCATCCTTATCTTTAAATCTGGGCTTGATACATACCTGTTCAGAAAAGCACTTGCACTCGGGGTTACATTCCATTATGTTCACGCAGCTATGTGTTTAAAGTTAAGTATTTGCTGAATCACTCTGTTATTCCCTTCAAAGCAATGGAAAGTATTCTGATACCTCAGTATCATGCAAGTTATTTACTGTGATCTTGAGGTCTTTACACTGATAACATTTTAAATGCTTTGAGTTAGAAAACTTTAAAAAGTGTAAGTGTATTGGAGCTTGGTTGGATCATCGTGGTACTTTACTTGTGGGGTTTTTTTTTTGTGAACAAGGTGAAGTTGAATATTTTTGTAAGTATCTTTGCTGTTGGTTTGAAAGAATAGGAACAGGAGGTTGTTGTGAGTGGCTTGATACCACCACTTCTTTGAACTGTTGCTAGTCAATTCCTGTTAGGAGAAATGGCTTTTTTTCACTAATAATGGCTTTACCAAACATTGGCCATTTCTTCTATGACTTTGGCTGCTCAGGATAAGTGTTAGTAACGTTTTTAAGAATGAGACGGAGGGAGACATGGTTGATTGAAGGCTTTCATATTTTTTTTCTGTTGACATGTGGATACCATCATTAAGTTTCTTAAGAAATATAAGCTGCTTTGGTGGGATAGGAAGGCATTCTGCTGAAATTTCCTTTTCTTCCTCCTTTAATCCAATCTTTTTAGTATGGTTCATATAGAGATCTTGTTGCCAAAGTGGTGCCTCTTGATAGAAATTCTGCTTTCTCTCAAGAACTGGGAAATTACTCAACGGTGCTTACAACTGGTTAATGTCATATGCTATCAGCATGAATTTGTTGAGCTTTCAAATAAAGTATTAGGCAAGTATGATACGATAAGTTTATTCAGCAGGCTTTGCTTTTAGGTTTTGCTAACATATAACGAGGAAAAACTTAATATCCTGAACCCATTAAAATGACTCTTTTTTATTGTAAAGATGGTATTAAAAGTGAAGAAGAAAACTTGGTGGTGTAGGTTGTGTAGCTCCATGCACCATTTTACTAGAGGCCTGCTGGTAAGAAAAATTATATGTTGCACTTCAGAAGGTGATTTGATTGATAAGACTTTCATTACATGTTAATCAATAAAGACACTGAAACACTGTCTTGTCTGTCTTGTTTACTCTCACTGTAGTAGCAGATGACTTGCAGATTCTAGCGTGGTTTAATACTAGTTGATTCTAGTATTGATATGAATAGCTTACTGTTTCCTTTTCTTCCCAGGGCTTGATGAATTGTTTTGATTCTCACTTGGACACTCTTCAATCATTTGAGAATAAAGATGAGAAGAATATGCCACTAGTAGTGCCTGAAAAGCTAGAGGAAATGAAAAGAAGGTTGTGATACTCAAATTCCTTCTACTATGACTGTGTTGTATTCTAGTTCTGCTGTTGACTTGCACATAAGTTGTCCATGCCTTGCAGAAAAAGAACATTTTCCATTTAAGCACAGAATCACAAGAACACAAAGGTTGGAAAGACCTACAAGATCATGCAGTCCAACCATCCACCCATCACCAATAGCTCTCACTAAAACATATCCCTCAACACAACATCCATACGCTCCTTGAGCACCTCCAGCATCGGTGACTTCAACACCTCCCTGGGCAGCCCATTCCACTGCCTGACCACTCTTTCAGACAAGTAGTATTTCCTAACATCCAGCCTAAATCTCTTGTGGTGCAGCTTGAAGCCATTCCCTCTAGTTCTATCACCAGTTACATGAGAAGCACATGTTGACTGGTATGTTGAGCACACAGTTAATTTGTTGGTCCATGAAAGTCTAATTATTTGTACAAAATGAAGCACATTAACAGGAGCTTTTCAAATGCTCTGGGCTAGTGTGGATAGGAAGTACCCACTTCCTATCTTGGGGTACTTGGGGTAGAAAGCACATTCCTTGAAAATAAAGATTTTTCTGGATGTGGGGATTCTGCATCCAATTTTTATTTTTTACCTTTTTGGAAAGCTGAAATTTACAGACTGTGCAACCCTATATAGCTTTTGAAGGATATTTTCAAAAATGACCAGTGAATCTATTCACATAGCATGAGATTCTTTGACATACAGATAACAGATGCCATTCTCTAACTATTTAAGGCTATCCATAAATTGAGCTACTATTTTAAAAAGAAGAAAAAAAAACCTGTTATCTTAAAATTTTGTACCACAAAGATCTTTACATGTGGAATAGTAGAATGGCTTAGGTTGAAAGAGGCCTTAAAGTTCATCTAGTTCCAAGCCCCTCCCATGGACAAGGGTCCCAACCACTAGATTGGTCTGTCTCAGGCCCCATCCAACCTTAATATCCCCTCTTATTGTTTAAAGCCATTTATTTCCAGTTGTCCTATCACTATTAGACTATGTTAAAAAAGTTAGACTCCCTCCCATTCATAAGATCTTATCTGCTGAATAGTCCACCCTTCCATATCTTTCCAACTTAGAGAATGTGACGTGGGACATATATGTTATTTAGGATTTTTAGGCTAAAATCTCTATACATTAATGCCTTCTGCATCCAATGATTTGAGTCAACTTTTGGAACATTTCACTGTTTGCAGATTCAATGATATTCGTTTCACAAACTCCAGCTCCCTTCTTGAATACCACTATGGACTGTGCTCAGCATTTGCCAATGAGGTGACACTGAAGCTAAATATTTGGGATGTGAAATATGGGACGAAAGAATCTGTGGAATCACTGCTAGAAAATTGGAATGTAAGTTTAAAATAATTGTTTTTCATAATCACACTGTAACAATCATTCACTCTCTTTGATTCAAAATTGAGTTCTTCCTCATCAGTGAAAAGAGAGAGGCACTTCCCTTTCCTCTTTCACTCCTCAGGAAACCACAGATAGCAATGTGGTCACCCCTTAGCCTCTTTTTTAATCTAGACAACCCAAATACCCAAATGTACTCAGCCTCTTCTCATAGAATATGCTTTTCAGCCCATTTGCCAGCTTTGTTGGCTTTTCTGGATGCTGAATAACAAGTATCTTATTATCCTTTCAAAATGTGAAGTTTCTGAAGAGTTTCTCTGAAACTTTTCATGCTGGAAAATCCCTACTTAAATTAGTGGAAATTTCATCAGAACTCTAGTAGAAGGCAACAAGAAGTTATACAAAATGTCCCTCTCTTTTTTTTTTTTTTTTTTTTTTAAAGTTTTTTCTTTACAATACTAACATTACCCATAAATGAGGTGGGAATACAGCATTAATCTGTGCTGAGTTTCTTGATGTAGTTGATTTCATAAATACTTATTACTACGTTTTTTCTGTGGTTGTGGTTCATGAAGTAAGGTGCACCTTAGAGTACCTAAGAGCCTGAGGACCAACCCACTCATTCCCTAAGTAAATATTCAAACCATAAGTCTCTTTCTCTACTCCCATTTCTTCTCTTTTCATCCCCAGTTTGTGTCATATTGAATCTTTTTGAAATAGTAGTTCTGACTCATACGTGACTGTGACTCAGTCAATGGCATTCCAGAGTTTATATTTCCCATTAAGCTACTCTCTGCGTGAGCAGAAAACGAACAGGTCAAATTCAGGCTAAAGAGTTTAGATGAGTTGCTGGATAGGCTTTGTTTAATTTACATTCGACTCCGAGGTTGCAGCCTCATTGAAAAAAATGTGTCCCAACCTGTATTTGCTAACGTTAAGTTTTATGTGGGTTAGTTTTACCTGTGCCAATTCTTTTTCATTTTGGGTAGAATTTCGTTGAAGAAAAGAGACTTAACACACAGCTGGAAACTGCTGCTGACATCTGTGAAGACTTGAAAAACAAAAACTTAAGCAACCTTGACTTAGGTAAGTTCCTGTACATAAACTCATAATGAAAACCTCTGTTTTGAACTGATATGCTGTCTCTAGTTTTAATCCCCACTTAGGTTTTTCGGTTAAGTACTAATTCTATTGAATAAATCTCTCTGTTTCCAAATGTGTAACATTACTTTCTTTTTGATATCCTAGCTGGAGATCCTCAAGAAATTAGCAAACTTTTTAAGACAGTGGAGTCAAAGATTTCTATGTGCAAAGACTATATTTCCAATGTAAACACTACACTACAGAAAGTCCTGTCTTCCTGGAGTAGTTACACAGAAAACCTCTGCTTACTAAAGACATGGCTGGAAGAAAAACAAAATGAGTATCCAGTAGAGGTATGTAGTTGGATTTGTTTTACTCACGATGGACAGAGACTCCTGGAGGGAAAACATTTTACATGACAGTGGTTGTACTTGCTTTTCTGTTCCTCATTTTGGAAATCAACTTGTGGCAGGGCTCTGCTTGAAATTATTTCAATGCTTCTCTCTAGGTCCCTGTGGAAGTGCTGGCAAACTGGAATTCAGTGCATGGTTCATTAAATGAAGCTGGAAACTATCTCATTGAAGTCAGCAAAGAGCAAGTTGGGTCGAATATTGCCAAAGAGCTGAAAAAACTGAATAGGAAATGGGCTAAATTCATCAAGAAGACACGCTTTGTAAGATAACCGTTTCAGAATTCCCTTTTGACAAGCAGCCTGCAAAATCATCTTTTCTAAACTTATCAGCTTGTTAGTAAGAGCTTAATAAATTTTTCAGTCAGCTGAGTATTTCCAGTTTTAAAACAAGAGGAACAGAGAATACACAGAGGTATCCCATTCGTAAGTCTTTGCAACACACTTAAATGCTCTTTGTAACAATCTAGATAATACCAATTTTTAAAATCAAAATTTTAGAACCACTTTAAAGGGGATAACTGATTGCAGGTTAAAGCTTTTCGTTTAGTTATAGAGATAGAGGTATTTCATTTATTAAGAGCTTGTGAACCTTTGCTAAATTGTGTAATCCCTTCTTCATCTAGAAAAAGGTAATTATAGCTGCATGGATATTTCTAGGTTATTCAACTTTATACCAGCTCACTTGACAGGTTTTTAGGTGGCAGTAAATTCCTATACAATCTGCTTGATGTTATGCATATCACTTTTTCTAGAATGATTTCACAGTAGCAGCATTATCACTCCATCTGGGACTGTTAAAGCTCTTAATTTTCTAAGTTGAGCCTTTCAATGACATTTATTAAAATACTCTGATGTTAAATGATGGCAAAGAAATACAGTATTTCTGTGGGAGATGAGCTTAATGAGAATGTTGGTAAGAGGCATATTTGCAAGAGTGAGGAAATCTGGAGTTGCATGTAAAAGCCATTATTAACATTTCAAGAGATGTTTTTAGGAAGTAATTCAGGAAGCAGAAATAGACAGTCTTGTAAGTGCTTAAGGACAGAAGGGATTATTTTTCTGGTATTGCAGTGGACATTATGTAAACATGTGTAGGTCAACATAGTGCATGGGCAAATGCTTGAAATGTGGCCTGACTATCAGTACCATTCAACCATTGCCACCATTTGGCCAACACCAGCTATCGTTCCCTTTGACAATTCCCTGGCATAACTTGGGAAACGCTGTATCACAGGAGTTCTTCTCCACTGTAATGTGGCTGTGGCTGCTTTCTTATAGGGAAGGGGAAATCCATATGGGCACAGGTTGTGTTGCCCTGCCTGCTCCCAGGTTTGAAAAATCAAGCCTTGGGTAATTTATTTACCAGTGTTTATTTGTCCTTCATTGCTTGTTGAGTGCAAAAGCAGGAAAGTAAATTTGATAACTGTATGTTACAGGGGAGTAGTGGATAGATCCCTGTGGACTGATGATGAGTGTGAATGTCTTACCCTACTCTTTGTTCATAGCTTGGTGAAGAGAACACAGATGCTGCTGAAAAGGCCAGGGAGCTTCCAGGAGGCATGGAGAAAATTGAAGAGCTTCTTGGAGGTGTAGAGAGCTGGGCCACAGAGACTGAATGCCTGCTCAGTGAGATTGGTCACAAGACACCTGTGGAACCTCAGATAGAGGAATATTTGCAGGTGAAAATGGGAATACATTCATACATACATACAGCTTAAAATACTTGTTCATCAGATTTTCATCTTTCAGAGTGGATTTATGACTTGGGTAAAAAGCACCTTCATCAATGGAGAAAAAATGCAGATTTTATGCTGTCACACGAGGTGGTAGAAAGTCAACCAATGGTAGTAGTTTGGTATTATTTCCCAGAATCTGTCCTAGATGAGCTAGCTACAAATGAGTCTTCTGGTATACGCATGTTCAGGTGATAATTGACAAGGAAGTGCTGTTGTTGCTACTGATTGGTAGCTTGCTCTCTAGTGATATTAATTAGTCATGTGCAGCACAGCATTTGCAGCAGATTAAAATTTTGGAAGGTGCTGAGATTTGAATTTACAGTGGTTTCTATCATGCATCCTTGCTTGGGACAGTTTGGCTGTATTCAATGCATTCCTGTCAAAAACTGGAATACCTGAGGTATCTGCAACAGCATCTTGGGTAATCTGCGTATCTCAGTTTACAGCTGTTGTTCTAAATATCCACAGTGAGCACTGCTGAATTTTTTTGTTACTTCCATTTCTGTCTGTTGCATCCACTGTTGCTCAGCCAGAGATTACTGTTCCTCCCTAGCAAAGGGTAGGCTGGAAATACATATGTCCAACTCTGCAGCTTCGCTTAAGCAAATAAGCTTGTCTTATTTAAATAAGCAAATAAGCAATGTCTTATTTTCTTTCTTGTCCTGCCAGTGAAGATGAGACTGAACAAAGACACTGGGCTTTGCACTAGAGAAGCAGAAGCACTGTCATTTATTCCTTTTTCCCTATTTCTGCAACACAGAATTGTGTATAGTCTAGTGGAAGGAAGGTGGCCACAGGTTCATTGAATTTCTTCTGTCCATGTGCTAAGATTAAATACAGATGTTCTTCAGTAATTAAATCCATGTACAGTAACTGCTGTAGTTTACTTTGAGTTTGTGCCTTCTTGTTAGTTTATGGAATTAGGAAGTGTGAGGCTATGAAATGAATATATTCATCTTTTTGGGCATATATTTATAAACTAATCCTCATTTTGCAGTACAGCACCAGTTTGTTAAAAATGATGAATTAAGTAAAGACAGCCTGACAGCTTCCAAAAATATGAATGATATTGTGCCTTTATATCTATGAAGAGATCTGGTCACTAATTGCCCTCAGCACAATAGGTCAGGGACCCCCTAAAGCACTGATTATCATTAAAAGAATGCTAATTGACAACTTCAAAAAGGAAAATGTGTTGAATATTCATAGATCAAAACAATTATAATATGGATATTTCGTGATAAATATTTTAATATGGCACACTACTTTTTGCATGCAAAATACCCAACTGCTTCCTGCCTTTTGGCACTCATTACTACAAGAAAGTCTGAGTCTTGATTATGTGCTTACTTTTGGATGACTTCACGATCAGGTTATGCATATCCAAATGTGTGGTTTGTGCTTTTGGAAGGCTGTTCAGATGAGAGACTGTGTTTAAAAAACTACTTCTGATTGAGTCTGAGGCAAAGTACTGATGATATCACATTTTCTTGAAAGAATGTGTCAGCAAACAGAATCCCCTGTGGATGGCAGCAGACTCTCTCTACACAGAGACTTTGTAGCAAAATACACTGGCTAGTATTGGAATATATGATTTTTGCTCTTGAGCAAATATTGGCCATGCATGATTAATGCTGGCTTTTTCATTCAGTTTCTCTAAACAAAAAGGCGTAAATACTGTGAAGACTTCTAATGCTTTTCATTCAACCAGAGCTTGGCTGCAAGGGGAATTTCGTGCCAAGAGCAAGTTATGGCAGTAGAAGAGATATTGCAATCTCTGATGAAGAATGCTTCAAGTGAGGTGTCCCAACAACATTGTCACACCGCTGGGTTGCCAGCACGAATTAAAGAAGCCAGAGACAGAATAGAGGTACTCCTTTTTTATTGTTATTATGCTTTATACCCACAATTTTTAGCATTATGTGATTAGGAAGATTCCTTTTCATTCATGTAAAACAAAAAAAGGTTATACTGTTGGAATCTATGTCCTGGACTCTTGCCAGGGACAGAAATTAGAACATTTCTAAGATCAGTATCTCAACTTGAAAAACTTGAGTGATGTTATGAAGCAATCACATTACATAATTAATGCAACTTGCACATGTTCTGAAAGGTCTCTTTCTTTCAAGGCTGTCATGAGTGACATGAACAACATCCTGCCCAAATCTGAGAAGAAACCCTCACAAAAGGAAGCTTTATTTAATTTTGAAGAATCTCAGAAGGATATTGAGGTTTCCATTTCAAAAGCTGTGGAACTTGTTAGTCAAAAATTAAGTCATGAAGTGCATATTTCAAGATATGAGGTAGGTTCGTTTTCTGAGCCAGCTGAGTGGATTATTTCTTAGTGTCATTTAATGTCTAAAAAGCTGAATTTTGGGGGTAGTCTTTAATCTTTTTTTTTTTCCTGCTGACTATAAACTAAATTTTTAGTTTAGTTTTGTTAGTATATATTGACAGGCAGACAATTTGAATGAGGAAATACGAATCTGAATACCAGTTTTTTTACTGCCCTGTCTTAAATTATTCCATCATTCTCAGATCCCTGTCCTGAGCTATCACAATTTTTTTCCTGATTAATAATTAAGATTTCCACCTTGAAACATATGCCTGAATTCTTGGACAAGTTATTAAGGTATGATTATACATGCAGAATCTCCACTTCTTTTTCCAGTGGCTAAATGGTATAGAAAGTGTCAGATGTCAAAATTCAGATCTGTGAAAGGGGTCCTTAGTGAGGTATGAAACATGGAAACACACCCAATATCTGTGTTGCCTCATGTTGCACAGTGAGTTCTGGGCTGCCCTATGCTGGCAGCTGCACAGAGCTCACGGGGTCCCCTTGCATCAGTGCAGACCTTTCACATGCTTTCTGGGAGACATGGGACATGGCTGTGTGTGTTCTCTGGTAATGAACAGAGTTGAGGAACTTTAGTCTTTTTTTCTCTTTGGTACCACATTTTCCCCTAGAATGGGTATTAAAGGAACAATATTTGCTTTTGTCTATAAAACATATTTTGACAGCGTCTGCAGCTTTTCTGCAAATATGCAAGAGTGGATAATGCCCTTGTTTTCAGTCATGCAAGGGCCATCCCAGCCCGTACTTGCCATGTATGTGTATTTTATATGTATCCTTTATAGGCTACTGATGACATTTTATTAGGTTGATAAGCTACATTCAGTTCTGTTTATCTTTTGTAATGCTGCTTTGTTTTGCAGGAAGCTTTTAATGCTCTGGACAATAAAGTTCTTGACAATTTTTTTAAAGCAGTTGAACAACTGAAAAATATTTCATCTGATCAGGAAAAGCTGGTAGTAGAAGAAAAGAGTGAAGATATTCGTAAAAGATGGGAGGTGAGATAATACTGGAAGGAGACTCCACTGTCTGTTGTCATTATGCTTGGCATCTTGGAAACCATTTTTTTTGTCACATTGTTTTCTGAGACTTTAATTTGCTTTGTAATGCTGTCTCTCCATCTCACAGAGATAACGTGTTCTGAATTTTGCAGGCCGTTCATAATGAAATTATATCCTGCATCCAGCTCCTATTAGAAAGGGAAAAAAAGAAATTTAACACAACTTTAAAAAAAATCAATAAGCAATTAGGGAAAGAAAAGAAACTCCTGAATATGAATAAAACCAAAGGGCTCATCAAGGAACATGAGGTACGTGACCCTTTCCTTTTCTGCTCAGTTATTTCTCTTTCTGAATGCATTGTCCTTCCTGCTCCTGCTTCCTTTAGTGGATGTAGTAGCTTGTGTTTGTGAAATAGAGCCCTTGTGTTATGTAAACAGAGAACAGAGGCCTCCAAAATTATGTCAAATTATTTCATTGACTTTCTGACTGCAGACAATAGCCTCTTTATTTGCCTCCTTTTTGCATAGATGCTATCTTTTTCTTTTCTTTTATTCTTTCTTTTTTTTTTTTAGGACAGTCTTGAGGCATAAAACAGATTTATTTGTGCGAAGTGTGAAAATAAGAAGTGATTTTGTGTTTGTGATTTGTTACAATTGTTTTGTTGAATAAGATTGATGCTTCTTCAACTGAGAGTATTTTCTCACAGTGCAGTAGACCCACTTTGTGGAGCATATAAATTAATCAGAGTTAGATGTAAGGCTTTAATTTTTCATTTGCTGGGGCATCGTGAATCTTGCGTACTCCGTAGGCGATGGCTGTTACGCTTCATTGCTGCTAGCATTTTTGTTCATCCTCTTTGATATGCTTTGATGTGGCCAGTTTACCACTTAGAAAGGTAATAAAATGCTCTCTGTTGAAATTCTGGCCTTTGCTGAAGTAAGCACAGTTTTTGTGTTTGCTTTTAATGAGTTTATTCTAACCCAATAGTAAATACCCAACTGAAAAGAGAAAGAAACATTCTTAGGTGCATTCCTTCTGCTCATATTTTTGTTAGATTTTAATGTATCTTAATTTCAGCATCAAAAGTAAAGTCATTGATTGGGGGTATTTAAAATACGTTTTCCAATTCTTTTTTTTTTTCTGTAGTCAGTATTTGAAATGTCTGTGTGCAGATGACTTGGGATCAAAAGTAGCGAAAGTTGTAGTTACAGAAGTAATTTCAAAATCAAGTGTGAGTACAGACTTGGAAATGCAGCTGGGGAACACATTCTCAGAAATTCCAGTTTCTTTCCTGGCTTTATTTGAGAAAAATATCAAGGCAGATAAATGTTTCTCTCATGGTTTGACAGCTTATACTTTAAATCCATTCATCTGAGAAGACAATGGAAACAGAAAAATGTATAAGAATAATTAGAGTTGCCTATCCTTATGATTTAATAGGAGATTAATGTATTATTTTCCATTGTTTAGGCCTTTTTTTCACATGAAGGCAGCCTGAAAGAACTTAGCAAGTCACTAGAGGATCTTAAAATATTGGGAAAACTAGCAGAAGAAACTGTCCCAGACCTACAAACATTTGCTGCAGACTCTGAACAAAAGCTAGAAAAGCTTCACCAAACCGTGGCAGATACTTACACAGCCTTGCTGTCTCATGCTGGAAGAAGACAGCCATCCAAAAAAGAGTGGGTGACTGAATGCATGATGTGTTGTGGCCTTGTAAAAATCAGACATGTGGGCAGATGTTGTGATATGGTGAATGTACTCCCAAGTACATTATTAAGGGCAACTTCACTTTTTAAACATTTAATACTGAATTTCATAGTCTAGCAGCATTTGATTACCTTTCCACACAGCTGCACTGTTAGGTTTTAATCATGAGCCTGGATTTCTTTTTTCACCTCTTTATTTCGTATTTTGTTCTTAAGCTGAAATTTCTTTTAAACCATAGGAGCTCCATTGTTGCTTCTGAGAATGGAGAAAAGCCCAGTTCTACCCAACAAATTGATTTCCTTTCAGTACAGGAGGTAAGAAGTCAATACTTACTGTTAAGAGACAGTGCTCAGTCTAGTGGAGATCACTGACAAAAAGAAAAACTGACTGCTTCTGTTGCTATTCTTACTGTGGCAGATTTCAGGACTCTTGTGGCAGAACAAAAGCCCGTTTTACTTGGGAACCCAGGAAGAGTACATGTTCAAAAGTAACATACAGGGAACAGCCCTAAGCATCCTGAAAATATGTGAACCTTCAATCTTGTGTTATATTTTGCTAAAGCTTGCTTTTCAGCTGGAAGAGCCATATGTGAAGCTGTGTTGAAGCGTAAATCCCACACAGTGGCCCAGTAATTTGAACAAATTTCTAAGGACACAGAGAGGAAAATTAGTGAAGAGTTGGAGGCATTTTCTTTAGAAAAATAGGGGGAAAAACAGAATCCATGTAATTTCTTAGAAAAAAAAATTCAGAGAGAAGACATTACTGTTTATGATGTGGACATCACAGAAGATGTCTCATTTAGGATAAGCATTCATGGCAGTGAGGCTGTAGATAGCTCATCAGACAGCATCCAGACTGTTGGAAGGGTTCCATTGCATTTACATTAAGTTGGCAGATGCAGAGGAAGTGTCTGTTATCAAGGAAGGTCTCTTGGAAAACTATTTATATTGTTCCTGATAACAACGATAAATTCTGCTCCATCGTGGATATTTGAAGTATGAAGTGTGTAACAGGTGTCAGCAGACATTAAACTCAGGAGAGCATATCCTGGAATCAAGAGCAAGAGATGTGCACAGTGATCTGGTATAAGCAGCCTAAAAAAAAGGTGCAGAAGGCAGTGCCTTTTGGTTTCTGCAGCAAAAATTCACACAAATGGTGATTGCCAGGGTTATGTTGGGGCTGTTGCACATGCAGAGGGCCAGCATTAGTGTGGAAAGAATGTATGATCTGGCTGCAAGTCTTCTAAAATCTACTTTTTTGGCTCATTGTTGAGATGAAGCACACCTTGTGTTCATGAATGGTATCTCTCATCTCCTTTGGCACACATGAAGCATTGCTTCTTTCAGGAGATTACAGACATCTGCTGATCCTCTCTCTGTTTTGGCAGTGTGATGCAGAAGTCATTGTTATCTTTTTTGTTTTTGACTTAGACATCAAGACCCTCTGAAAATACGGCTTTGGAAACAGATATGAAGCATCACAATGGAGAAAGCTGTGAGAAGATGTTTGAGGAAGGCAGTGATTCGCCCACACCAGCTTTATTAGAGAGGTAATATTTATAAGTTAAAATGCATGTATATTAAGAGATGATACAGTGCTAGATATTCATAAGTTAATACACTTAATGAAACATTGGATGCACTTTTAATATGAAGAATTCTGTTCTTGCTCTACTTGTGCTTACTTAACATTTCCTTGCATTGAATAAGGAAGTGCTGTAGTATCTAAGTGACACAAATATCAGCATATTATAGGAAGAACACTTAAAGCTATTGCAATTTTTCTTCTGCTCTTTCCTTGGAACAGAGAAATCTGCATCCACCTTACCAGTAACACCAAATACAACAACATTAAGGAAGTGACAAGTTTTTAAAATACTTCACATTGTTATGTTTATAAAACTGAATTCAAAGAACGCCAGAAGGCATGTGCACATGAAAATTATCCATGCAAACAATGTCCCAGCCACTGTACATATTGTTCATTTATGCCCATTCATTTGCAACCTAGGTAAAAATGTGCATTTGCAACAAACTGTTTATTTTATATGGCAGTCTTGGTTGACAGCATCCAACTTCTGCTGTGTTCCATTAAGCTAGAAGTAATACTCACACTGAAAGTGATTGTATCTTTCTTTAGCTATAACACACAAAGAAGGAACCTGGAGGAACTTTTACAAGTAAGCAGAGATAAAGTAGCATCTGGCTTTACTGATGAAATAAAAGGCACTTCATGCCTTCAAAATAAATTGCTTGAATTACAGGTAAGACAGACTTCATCTTTTAAAAACATACTTGATGCCATACATGTAGAGCCCTTACCTTCTATGCATTATAGGTGCTGTCAAGGGATACAGAGCATCCTTACAAGCAGGTTTATTGAAAACAGAGAGAAATTGAGGGTTTAACGTTTAGCACAGCCAAATTCCTATTTAGCAGTGGAGTTTTGCCAGTATTGCTAAAAGAAGAAATTGGTGGCTATCAGTTTGTAATTTGCAAGATCTAATGGAAAGAACAACTGCAAAAAACAGATAGCTAGATAGATAGCAGGAATGGTAAGTGATGGACCATGGCCAGGCTGGAGGAGTCTTCAAAGGTAAACCATCAAATATCAGTGGTGGATGTGAAGAATGAAACTCTTCCAGGACTTAGAACTTCAGTATGTTTGTGAGAAACTTAAGGTGGTGTTACAAGGCACATTATTGGTGTTAGAGATTTTATTATTGTAATTTTTCAGCTCTTCCATTGGAATGAACACAGAAGCTGCCTAGTGTGTTAGAACTTGGTTCAGTTCGAAGTTTGAATTTTGTTCTTTCAAAAACAGTTAAAATGAGATATTTTCTATTCATTCTTGTTCAAAAACGATTGAACCAGACTTATCAAACATTTCTAAACCGTAGTGCAGGCATGTATCTGACACAGAAAATTTCATTCTAAAAAGCTGACAGAGATTCACATGCATCTGAAAATTGAGTTTTTGAAAAAAAAAACCAAACCCTTAAAGATGATGTTTTCAGCTTTTTCCATAGGAGCTCTTGTGACTGTCATTTATTGAACTGGCCACTCTGTTGCACAGAATATTAAATCAATTAACCCTGCATATCTTTTAGATGGTAGAGAATGATATCAATTCTGGTTGGGCACAATTGGGAAACATCTCATCTAGCTTAGAAAACCTTGTGGATGAAGTGAAGCAAGCTGCTATTTCTGAGACAAGAGGCAAACTAGAAGGAGAATGGAAAGAACTTCAGGATATTATAAGTACCAGGTATAAAATAATGTTTCATGATATTAGCAAAGGAATTGTTCATTGTAAGTAAAATGGGTGTTTCAAAGTGAATAGCTGTGTGTTATAGGAAGTGTTTGTGTATTGAACAGTGTTAACTGCCTTTTGTTTTAACTGCATTAGACATATCTTTTTCTTAGTTATGCATGGCAGATAGCGTGAATCTCTTCAGGAAGCTCAGAGTGTAACAGTTCTGCAGTATCCTTGACCTCATTTTTATTTCTTGCTACCTTCAGTTAAATGAGCTGTGGTTCACTCTGCTTCTCATATTTATCAATGGAAAAACTTGTTTGACCTCAGGAAGAAACAGAATTGGATCAGTCATGCAGTCAATCACAATATCTCTGTCGCTTTTTATGCTGTAAAACGTCAGGTGTCTTGTCCTGCTACTTTCCCAATTTGTGTTTTTTTTACCTTTCTTATAGAACTAATTCTTTAAGGACTGCCTTGGAAATTGTTTTACCAATAGAAAATGAGTCCATTCTTCTATGTGAGTTAGATCAACGGCTGAACAAAAAGGGAATCCAGCAGTTTAATCTGGTGAACAGTGATCTTGCTTACAGAGAACTAAAGGTAAGGGAAAAGGCTGATATTCAGAGACAGCATCCCAACCAGGACAATTCTTAATATCTCTAGGAACTAGAGGACTGCGTAGGGTTCCTCACTTAGGACTTTTGCACCATTCACAATACTTCCCAAAACTTTTGATCTGATTTGTGTCTGAACACATTTTAATTCATTTACTTCAAATGCTATTGCTCCTGGAGAGCCAGACAGGCACCCTTAACGGACTCTGCTGTAAAAGGCATAGCATTAAATGAATATTTAATGTTTGGTCAGGACTTCCCTTTGCTACAGTTTTACACTATCCCCATTTGGCTGTATGTCACTTTGTGGAGTGATGTAAGTAATGTGGTGTTAATTAATGAGCTAAAGTAAGCTGCCTCAATCACATCTGCTGAGGGATCTGAGTGTGCTGCAGGGTTGGGCTTTTTAGCTGCTTTCAGTATCTTGTTCCTAGACTCTGCTCTGTCTTCTGGGTGAGCTGGATGTTGTTTTGTTCCTGATATGTTGTTCCTTCTGAACACATAGGCTGCTACGCAGTACTGAAAGTTTGCATTTGTCTGCCCTTGGCTCTCAAGCTGAGTAGAGTTTCAGTCTCTCAGGCTCTGGGGCAGAGTTCATGTGCACGCTTTGTCTGAGATGACTCCTGGTTGGAAGGATCCTGCATTTTTTCCTAGCTTTGTGCTTTTGGGGTTTCACAACACTGCTGTACTGCTGTTCATCTGAGGGCTGCATAATCCTTTAACTAGGTAATGAGCAGGCTTCACAAGGAGATTTTAGATGTATGTGAATCTCCTCTGAAAACAGAAAAAGCAAGCATAAAAGGTGGCAGCAATAGCAGTCATCTGTGTGCTCGCCTGTACTCCGAAGTCCCAGCACTCTCATCAGCTTTCTGTCTTAGTCATCTGGTTGCTGGCAAGGTGATTGGGCTTTTCTCATAATGCTGAACAAATTCTGTCTGTGGAATACCATTTTATTTGATTTTTCTCTTTTAACCCATCCTTCACCAAGATCCAGAGTAACAACTTTTCTTTCTTAACCACTTTATTTAGCATATCTACTGTATTGCTGTGACAAAGTCTTTCTGCATTAATGACTTCAGATTGCTTTATACAGACTTAGGTTTATATTTCTAACATGATGTCATCTCTTAGCAAACGGTGAACTGAACATATAGGCACAGTGATACAGATTTATCAAATCAGTCAAATTTGATATTATTTCCGTAGCTAGATCTTCCACAGTAATAAATTGTAATGGAAATTCCAAACACCAAAATCCAAAAGCTGTTCTCCTTCACACTTTTAACAATATTTATACATATGTTATATTTGGATCAGTAGAATTTGTTTTTCATTGGTTCAGCTTGAATACAGGATACAGACTTTCTTTCGCTGACTAACACTGTTGATGTCTTTCTCTACTGCAGGAGCTACAGAGATCCATATTAAATCAGATTGAAGTGTGCAAACAATTGGAACACCTAGATAGTTCAGCAAGAGATGAATTTAATCCAATAGATCTGCAAGCTGCAAGTAAAATTATGTTTTATTATCAAAACCAGCTTGAGAAAATGAGCCGAAAAATGCAAATCCGAGAGACAGTTCTTAAAGATCTGGAAGCTTTTATGGCCTCGTTGAGGAAAATTAAGTCTTCTGTCAAACATCTCATAGATCCCTTAGGCCAACCTGAAACACAAGGAAAAACATGGAGAGAGGCTGCACAAGAACTTTCTCATATGGCAAAAGAGGCTCAGTGTTTGGATGAACGCTTGAAAACAGTTGATATCTGCTTGGAAGATGCTGAGTCTGGGAGAAATACTAGCTGTGAAAAGCTTGTTCAAACTTTATCTGAAGAGCTAAATGTGACTGGTGATCACTCAAGTGAACAGATGCTTATGGAGGGAAATGATTTATACAAGGTTTTTTCCACCAGAAATGAGGAGCTCCTTAAAAACATTCAGGATCTACGTGATAGAATTAACAAAATAGGTTTGAAGGATCCAACAGTTCCAGCTATTCAACAGAGGTGAATTGTTTTTTGAAGCTCTTGTAATTAAGTAATTTCAGTGGACTCAGAGGTTCTATGGACTCTTTGCAGTAGAACACTGAAATCTGACTGTGTCTGAAAGCCTCTTCATAGCACTGAAAGATTGTGAATTGTGGTTTATTCTCTGATTTAGAATCTAAAAAAAGGAAGCTTTTTCCATTTATTTTGTTTTAAACACCATATATGTGCTTCTTTGAAGTACTATTGATGAAGAGGAAATAGGAGGAGGCTGATTGTTACAATTGTAGTTTTCAATAACATAAACAGGGAGATAGCTCTTCTCTCTGAGCACCAGCATGTTATCTAAACCTCTGAGTAAGTGTGTTATTTTACCATGCCTTGAGTAAGTCACTCACGTTTCCTGCATCTCAGATGGTGTTTCAGAGGAGATCTCTGCAGCCTTCCAAATGATGAGTAAACAGTTCACTACAGTCTTAGTGTGGGGAAATAGGGAGGGGAGTTTATGGTTGTGAAATCCCACACTATGCCATAACTTCCTTTCTTAGACCTTATTTAAAGGCAGCCGGAGTGCACTTCACATTTTCATACAAAATAATTGACTGTGTTCATACAAAACTCACTGGCCCTAAAAAATTTGGGGTTGCTTTCTCAAACGGCTCCTAGATCAGTATAACTCCTCTGGCAGACTGTCGAATTTCATGATCTGAAAATGAAATCACACTTTTTATGATGTCATTTAATATAGTAACTGTGCTCAGCTCAGGATGAAATTCTGGAGGGCTTTGGTAATTACATTTATAGAAAAAAAATCAAGACTTGCTTTCATATAAGCCTGTATTTCATTATTTTTTTTTTCCTAATAAAGGATAAAGTCATTAGTGGAATTGGAAAAGGAATTAGATTGTTCTGCTGTTGAAATGAAATCTATGCGAGAAATTGCTAATAAGCTCCTGCAGATGAAAGAGGAAAAAGCAGAAGAATCAAATGAGCAATGTAGAGTTACAGAGAGATCGTGGGAGGATACAAAACTCTTGCTTGCTGAATGGTAAGAAAAAAAGTTGTGTTTTAAATAGTGTTTTACAAGTGAGAAGTTTGCTTATGAAATGCATCAGCAAAAAAGTCTTAAAAACATGCTTCAAAGTAAGTGAAATTCTGATGCAGTAGGAAATGTTACTACTACAATGCTGTAGAATGTCGTAATGCCAAGAATGATACATATAAATTTGCAGCCAAAGCTCATTAATATTATTTCTTTTTAAGGAATCACAATCCTGTCGTGTAAGCATTATGTAGTGATATGTTGAACTTCATAGGTATCAAAAAGAAAAGTCTGCCTGTTGGTGTCTTTTATGTTTGCTGTGGTTTTCATGCCAGTGCATTCAAAAAGAAGTCAGTCTGAACCAAATCAAAGAGAACACCTGTCTTAGAGCCAGAAAAAAACTAAGGAACTAAGGAAATTTGTTTGATAAGCAGAGGAGAGTCTGGACTCCCTATACATACTATGTAGGAGAAAGAAGCAGGTAGGAGGCTTAGGCTGCTCCTTTTATGCATAGTCAGTAAATAGTTGATCTCTTTTTTTCAATAGCCAGGAGCAGTGTGCGAGGGCTCTGGAGCTCCTGAAGCAGTATCAAAGCTGCAAAAGCAGTCTAACCAGCATCATCCATAAACAGGAGATTGTGCTTTCACAGCAAAATTCGTACATGGGGAAGGACAATTTGAACAGACTGATAGCAAAGGTGAGTGAAAGGAACTTCATGAAAAGTCACTTAAATTAAATAAACTTTCCTGGGAGTGTGGGAGCATTCCATTGTATAGGGTTGCATACCTGGACTTCAGGGTAAGTGTTAAGTCCTTGCTTTCACTTTGGCTTCCAAAGTACTTTTAAGGACTATACTGTGATTTAAATTGATGACCGGCTTTACTTAGTAAATCATGTTCTTGTTAAAGGGGATTTTGATCTAAAATGGAAAAAACGGTTTTGATCCAACACCAAAACAAGGTGAAATCTTGTTCTGCCAAAAAAAAAACCAACAAAACCCACGTCTCGAAAGCAGCAAGACTTATTTCACCCATACTCTTCAGAACATTTTTATATTTTCTATCAAGTTAAAAACCTTCTGGTAGGTAGTTTGCAAATGTACAGAAGTAACAAAATCTATTCACTGCTGAAGAGATGGTTTAAAGCATTGTAAACGCCTCAAGCAAAAATAATATCTAAGGTAACTCCTTGTGGGCTGCTTGTTTATCTGCTGTTGTTGTAACGTATAACCAAGAATGAGGATCTGCATCCTCTCCCTGCTCAGGTCATAGACAGGGCTGCAGGGTTTGTCTGCACTGCACAGTGCTATATGGAGATTTTCAGCTAACCCTGAGAAAGAAGCTGAAGAACAGGAGCTGTAAGGCTGTGTCAGCGTGACACAACTGCTGAAGGACTGGACCATGACAGATTTATTCTGCTTCCAAGACTGGTACTTGTGTACCTTGCTGTAATCATTATCAACTTGTGCAGAGCCTGCTTGGGGTTGCCAACATGAAACTGCACTGGGATTCAGACTTCTGGGAACCAGACCAGTTTTGGCTGGCCTGACAATTCAGTATTTTATTGAGCTGTGTTTTCAACATTAATCTCTGATGTCATACTGATTTTGCTGACCAAACTGTGTTGTGGTTCAGATAAAAGCTTGACTTCTAGCTACATTATTTTTGTGTAAATGAATGCAAGTACTGGATATAGGCATCCATAGCTAATGGATTGTGGAACAGCAAGCAGCATTTCCATTGTGACCTTTTTGGTGAACAGGTTTCACCTTTCCTGGCTGGGTTACATGACAAGCTGTTTAGATGCCATTTTTGGCTTTGTGGTGGGAGACCAACCATAGTTCAGGAACATTTGCTCTCAGCCAGTGCCTGGGATGGTTAAATTTAAGAAGGAGCACAAACATTTTCTTCCCTCATGGTGGGTGCTCGTGTGCATCATCTGCCCTTCAGCTCGAGCAGGATCTTTTCTGATTTCACCAGCAAGACCTCTGGCACCTCATGTTGCTTGAGCTTCCACTGCAGAGGAGCTTGCTTGCATGCCCCGGCCCCTAATCTTCTGGAGCCCCTTTGCTTAGATTACAGCTCGTACTCCTCTGCCTGTTTTGCAGCTGCCACTCTCAGAATGCAAGTTTGCAAGAGCTGCTGCATAGTACTGACATGTCCTTGAGTATTCATCGCTTATTTGTAATTAAGTATAACGGTAACAGTGGAGATCATCTGCCTTGCTGAGAGTTGTGCTGCTCTGCCATCCCTCCCCTTGTCTCTGGTTGGCAGGCTCTGTCTGATGAGATGCTTCTCATTTCTGCGAATTACAGTTTGCAGTAGCCTAACGCTAGAGGTCAGTGTTTCTTTTCCAATAGGTTTCCGTGTTGTTTGTAAACACTGACGCTACAGTCAAGCACAAAGAAGCTGTCTCGTGTTCAAGTAGAAAATAGAAAAAATGAACGATTTTATTTCTGGCAGTGGCATATTTGACCATTCTGAAGTGGAATCTAAGCTTTTATAAAAATAGTTCAGAACCTGGGGATCCCAGTGCCAGGTTATGAGGATGTAAGATAATTATTACATTGTACTTGCTTATTTTTGTAACGGAGATGCTGTATTTGGATATACAGTCTGCTTGGATCTTGTGACTGTTACTTTTAAATCAAGCTGTGTTTTTAGATCTCACGGTAAGAAGTATACTATCCATAGTTCTCACTCAGCTATTCTGCCAGCAGTGACAGAATGAAGAGGAAAATGTTCTTATCAGCGTGGCAGGGATGCAGTGGCAGAGAATACATTGCTAGTCTCATTATATTCTGTAAAATAGGTTATTTCATGTAATGCTGTTATTTCTCTAGCCTGAAAGTAACAGCACATCACTTAAAATGTTTTGCTGAATAAACTGTTTTAAGCAAACATGCTTGCAAATATGCTCTTGGTCTCTTTCACAGATTGAAGAGGCAAAAGAGGAATTTAATGATCGCGCTGAAGATGTAGACAAAATAAATCAGATCTGCAAAAACCTTCAATTCCAGCTCAATAAAATGAGAAGCTTTGAGGAGCCTCCGTTTGAGAATGAGGCTAACATCATTGTGGACAGATGGCTGGATGTATGTAAAAAGTAAATTATCGGGGTGGTCTTATCCGCTGTGCATTACAGTAATTGATTCTGACTCATGTGTAATATTTGGAATAAATTAAGTGCAATATGGCAAAGATTCTTAAGAGGGAAATCCAGAGCAAAGTTTACAGAGTGTCCATTGGTGTAATGATTTTGATAGTTTATATCATGGCAATCTTAACAGCAAATGGTTGTGGGAAGTGCAGAAAGGCAATATTTGTGCTTTCAGCACGAATCTGTAAGCTTCTGTAACAACTTCAGTGCATTTAGACTTTGGAGTCAGTCGGGAGAATTACAAAGCTGGTGCTGTTGGGGAGAAATGTTTGCCATAGTCGGTCTAAGCAGTGCATCAATACTGAGATTAGATGGCATTTACTGAGAGTAGATAAACATTAATGAGCAAGGCTCCTTCCTAAACCTGCCTTAAAACTGGCAAGCTGGCGTTTTGATTGGTGTGTTTAGCGACATGTGTAGCAGGGATTTAAATATCTTCTCCATGACTGGTTTGCTGTGAAGACACATGAGATTTTTTTCCCTTGCTGCACATATTGTTTATGTAGGTGCTCAGATTATTTTGCTCAGATTTTATTACGCTGCCTTTTTTTTTGGATTATAACTCAATGTTTTGTGTATCTGTGTGTGTTTTTCGTGTATAAATCTCCTGGTAGATCAATGAAAAAACTGAAAACTATTGTGATAATTTGGGAAGAGCTCAGGCTTTGTGGGACAAACTTCTTGGTTTATCTGGCACAATTGATGCATGGGCAAATGCAGAACTTAAGAACACGGAAGGCCGCTGTCTGACCGATGAGGACCTTACACAACTGAAGGTAATTTGAATGAAATTCTTTGAATTCATGTTGTAGTGATGTGGACTTCTGACTATAAAAATGCAGATCTCAAAGAGGTATGAGCTCTGCAAAAGCAGTGGAAGTCCTGATACTTGCAGTTTTATCTCCCTGTACACTTTCATCGAAGACAGTGCATAATATATAGGAGATGCAGGTCTTGGAAACTAATATATATGTGTAGATGTCTGTATAAGCTTAGTGGATATGTTAAATCATTAGAATTAATGCAGCACTATAAATGCTTTATTACACTACAGAAGTCCCCTCATCCCTTTGTACTGTGTGAACATAACAGTGAAGTCTGGAATTTTATGGACTAAGTACAATGGTGCACAAACTTCCTTGTACCTAGAGAAGAGAGAAAAGAGTGTGTGTGGTTACTAAGAATCTCCATGGGCAGGCATCCATCAGTAGAGCCTGGACAAGGCCTGCTCTTGCCCCTTTAACACAGGTTCCAGCATTACCTCTAGGAATAGGGGTGCAGTTGGATTTAGAAACACATGTACCAGCTCTCTGTCATTAAAGAGCCTCATATATGGGGGATGAGTATTTTGACTTCTGTCCTTACAGTCATAATTGACCAACTGTGCTGCTCTTTTGTAGCTACAGCCATTCTCTACTATATAGGAGTAATTTCCTGCTTGAGTGGGCTTGAAACATAACTAAGTCCCATATTTGCTAGTTTGAAAATATGCAGGCAGCTGATTCTCAGTGTTTATATGCTACAAATGCCCTGTTTTTTTATTGTGCTTACTGCAGAACTGTTGCTATCATTCTTAGTGCTGCTCATTTGTTTTAACTTGCAGAGCAATAAAAAGCCAAGGTGTTCTTGTTATGTGCATCTTCCCAGTGAAACAGTAGTATGCTTGCTGTGCACAGGTGGATGTTCTGTTATTGTTTTTCCACCGTGTTGTTGGAGTTAACCTGGGGCAGTTCAGGTCCCTGAGGGCTACACTAAAAATACACCATCTGGCAACTGCATCTTAAAAGCTATTTTGTTACCTGGAAACTGTTGAAGCCCACAGTGATGTGACCGTGCCTCCGATGTGCCTTCCTGCTGGTGCACAGGAAGGGCTGGCTGTACTGGAGGTGGCTGAGGTTCCTCCACTGCTCCTGCACAAGATAATTCTCAAAAGAAAAGGGGGGAAAGGGGAGGGGGGAGAGAAACTCTTTCCCATGAACTGCTGTACGAGTGGAATAGCAGGAGAGAAAGGCAAATTCCGTGCATTTGTAGTTTTGTAAATTCTAAAGTTTCCAAAAGGAGCCAGGTTTGTTTATTTATTTATATATATGTATGTATATACATTTTGAAACATATTAATTGGAATTAGAAGCCCAATGCTGCAATGTTACACAGGATTGAAACCCAGGGTCCTTTGTGACCACTCAGCAGAGCACAGGTGTATGTGCTTTCCTGAAACCTATCCAAAAGTACTGAGTAACGAATTTTTTGACTATTTAAAAATAGTTTCAGTATGTGTAATGTCAGAGAAGTCCTTTCCCCTGTAGGCATGATGGAAGTGGAAGTGCTTCTAAGGGCTGCAGGGACTGGATGGGTCTTGCAGATTCCTTGTGTAGAGATTGCAATAGAAAATTTTGTCTTGAGGGAATTTGGGATCTTGGAATCAGGGGCAGTGTGACTACTTTTGACATGTAATGTTTCATAATTTGAAGCTGATACTTTACTTCCACATTATTGGATGGTTTCAGAATCCATTCTAACAAGTAGAGATCTTTTTATATACATGGAGATTTATAATAAAAAAGCGTATGCAGGATATGTTTTATTTTATCTCATCCCTACCAAAATGCATAATCAGGGGATCAATTCTTGACTTAAGTCTATGAGAAGATTTCAAGATGTATTACCCTTTTGGTAAGCATTAAGAAAAGCATTAAGAAATGCTTAGAACAAACATATGAAACAAACTCACAAAAATTATTTTCTCACAACTCTGCTTGGTTAATATAGAAGTAAAATAGTTAAGATTGTTAAATTTATGCTAGATTTGCACTGACAGCTACTTTTGCCTGAGAAACCCGGAATATCTCTGACCCCAGAACCAAAAAGTGTCAACCTAAATTTCTAAAGTGAAAATCTTTGAGTAAGCAGCTGTTGGACCAGTGGAGCTGTATATGCCAAAACAAGGAATCAGAAAATGAGAAATATATTTTACTAACAGAAACATGAAAACTAAATTGGAGTGAAAGAGAGTTATAGAAGTGTTTTTTCCACCATTAGGCATGCTTATGTGTCCAGGAGCAGAAACTCCAGAAATTTGACAACACAGTGGCTGAGATAGAAGAACTTCTAAATAGCAATGAACCTCCACTGGAGCTCCAGGTAGGAAAATGTTTTACAGCTGGTGTGCTGGTATTCATGATTACAAGACCTGCTTCTAGCATCACTTTTGCCGCAGTGATTTCTCGGTTTGACTTGCCCAAAGAAAACTGTGGATGTTTTGTTGACTGTTAGCACTAACACTTCATTTGTTGTCTCAAGCTGTCAGAACCAAACCTGCCATTGTAAACACAAAAGCTTCTGTCATGTGCCTTTTGTGGGCTCAGACCTGATCCAACTGTTCTGCAGTCCTGCCTAAAAATGCCAGCATGTCGTTTTTTCCTGTTGACAAAGAGCATGGCACAGAGGGACTTTGTTATCCCTCTGTGGATCCCATCAACACAGCATGTTGCTGGTCTATTTTAAACTGTACCTTTATGTGTGTGTGTAGGTTTTTACTAAGGGTGTTTGTTATGTTATTTTTTCCTTTGGGATTTCACAAGGAAACATTTGTCCTTTTGTGTTAACATCATGCATCAAAGAATAAGTCCTTCTCCCCTGTTTGGGACCAAGATTCCCTAGGCTTCTGTTCCCTGTCAGATGTGTGTTGAGCTTGACTTAGTTTGGCTATTTGTGCATTTATCCTCAACAGACAGTGAAGTCAGAGGAGTTTCATTGAGTAAAGTGATCAGAAATGCTTAGGACTGGAGTAGCAACTGCCTGCAGTATATTCCTCAAGAGCACCAGACGTGCTCGGCCCCCTGGGACGGGGGCTATGATGTAGCTGTGATTCCATTCAGTTGGTGTCTCATGCCAATCTGCAGAAGCTTTAAGGGAAGGGTTGTTCCCCTTAGTTGTTAGCCTTGGGCCAGACTTCCCCACCTCTGCTCTCCTTGCCTGTTTTTAGAGTCAGCGTGGGAAATCCCCACTGGGATTTCTGCAGGAAGACGAGTTGCACAAGGGATCTGGGGTTCTCTTTACCCTGGCAGCTGAAAGGCGTGTAAGGCTTTTATTCAGCTGAGGGTCAACGCTGGAGTACACCAACAAATAAATTTGGTGGCAAATCAGTACATGCATCACTAATGAAGATAAACAGAGATCATTCCTCCTTATTGTATTATTGTTCCATTTGTGGGGTGGGAGGGAACAAACTGTGGTTAAAGTGTCTGGACTGCAGCTCATGTAATTGCTTTCTATGTCTATTGTGCAGTTCTGCAGCATGATAGGAAATCAATCTACTCTAACTTCTGACATTTTTTTTTTTATTTCTGATGTGAAGGTTATCAGATCATCTATTGTGCAAAAAATGGAGTTAATAAAAGGCCTTTTGACAACGAAGCGGCGTACCAGTGAACTCAGTGTGAATACAGCAGAGCTAAAAGGAGATCTTGATCTGGCCAAGACACAGATTGGAATGACTGAATCGCTTTTAAAAGCTTTATCTCCTTCTGACACCTTAGAGATCTTTACTAAATTGGAGGTAGTGTGCCACCAATTAATCTTTTACACATCTTTTACAATTTTGTTAATTGTTTCTGTGTACCTATGGTAAGTTGGTAAAGTAACTCAAGAGAAGAACTTCACTGGAATACTTCCTAAAGATGATGGAAACATGACATAAAAACCCATTTTCACTGGACGTTATCAGATGTAGTTAGTTAACCCTTGCAGCTACTGAAAATGGTTAGTGGTAAAAATTCCAGCAGTGTATTGCCAAGGTATGTTGAAGCAGACGTGGCAGTACTGGGTTGTGTCTTCACAGGTATTGGAATAAGGAAATTAATTATTTAGTTCTTTATTCCAATAATTAATCTCCTGGTTATCCTGAAGTCATCTTTCTGTGTGCAGGGACTTTATAGGCAGCCTAAAACGTTTAGGAATGGAATAGTGCATATGGCAGCTAAGGCATTATTGGTTCTAGCTATTATGTGCTCTGGAACATACTGTCTTATGATGCCTCTCACATGTCTGTGTGATGAAAAATACACACAGCAGTGTGATTATCTATGCATAGAGATGTAAACACACGACTCAAGCAGAGTTCAGTTCTTATTTCTACCTACTGAATGCTTTCTTACTGTCAGTGCACATTAAGAAATTATTTTGACGTACAAGCAGGAATAAACCATGTTGTAAAAATCTGTGATTGGTAATAAGGCAGCTGTACAGTAAACATCTGCTCTTTTTTAACATTAGGAGATACATCAGAAAATTCTGCAACAAAAACATCACGTGACGTTACTCCAAGAAGAGACGGATTGTCCCGATGTGGATGAATTAAATAAGCAGCTTAAATGTGTCACCGATTTGTTTAATAAGAAAAAACACGTGTTTCAGGACCACTTCATTGGTGTTTTGAATCGTAAGTGAACACGTTTCACATTTAGGTAGCTTTCTCAGTTTGTAGGTATCCACTGGATCAGTTTTGTTGCAAAATTAATTGATTTTGGTTCATTGTCAAAAACAAATTTATTGCCAAAGTACCAAGATAAGGATTTGGACAAAAATGGCTTCTGTTTCCAACAAAATTCAGGAACAAATGTCAAAACATTTCATTAAAAATGTATAAAAAAATAAAACATATTCACTTTTTCCAATTATTTTTAATTTAGATACAAAAGTAATCTAATTGTCAGATGAGTAATATTTGTTTGTGTAGAAAAGAGAACAATTCATAATGTGCTATTCCAGGTCTTATTTACTGAAACTGCTGTGACTGGTGGACCATCCTTTCCCCAGTATATAGCTATGTTTATTGTCAATAAATGTTGAGTAAAAAGAATTATTAACTAAAGCATTTTCTTTCACATTGTGTGTAGTGAAAAACAGCCTCTGACAGCAGCACTGATAAACGCTATTATTAATTGTCTTGAAATGTTCATGTTAAATAGGGATTTGGATTTTTTTTTTTTTCAGAGTACAATTAATGAAGGAAATTGGAATGTCTTTTTTCAGGTCAGTGCAAGAATTTTAATGATTGGTTCAGCAGCACTCAGCTGTCTTTGAAGGACTGCTTTGACCCCTCAGAAACAAAACAGATGCTGGAAGAAAAACTGCAGAAACTAAAGGTAAAGTCTTAAAATACTCTTAATTTCTATTGCTGGTTCACCTTGAACTTTGACTTTCTTACACAGGAGATTATTCTGAGGAGTTCACATAATTGGGAATTCACATAATGTGATTTGTAACTTCAGGCCCAAAGAGCATTTAATGCAACATGAAGTATTGGGACAATAAGTGGAAAGTAAATCTGAGTTAAAATTGAATAATATAGTTCAAATTCAACTCAGAGTTGGTCATGTAAGAGACAGGACATTACTTAATGTAAGTCAATGGACCCTAAGTGCACGATTCAGTGTGCAAAGATGCAGAAAGTCAAATGTGTCATGGGATATGACAGGGAATGGCTTAGTGGGCATGGTCAGGGATTGGCTGACAGTTGAACTAGATGATCTTAGAGGTCTTTTCCAACCTTGATGAATCTATGATTCTGTAGAGGTTAAAATGAAATTCTGACCTGTACTGGGTTATAATGTGGGAAACTTGAATTCACTTTGTTATGAATTTTTGCTCTAGATCAGACAGGAGCAATAGAAAAGAGACAAAAATGCACCATGGGCAATCACAGCTTAACAAAAGAAGACATAGTGATGTCAGTGCTAGATTTGAATGCTACTTTTGCCTATTTCTGACTGTTGTTTTGCCACTATGAATGAAATCCAAGTTGTCATCTTTATTTCCTCCAACTGAAAGTAAAATAATCAGAAAACTGTATGAATAACAGACAGTCATTGTCAGATAGAGGAATGTAGGGCATGTTGGTGATAACTGGGGTCAAAGTACTCTTGAAGCTTAAATATCCTTGAACCACTGAATGGTTTGGGTCAGAAAGGCACTGTTGAAGACCATCTAGGTCAGGTCAAGGCTCCCACCATGGGCAGGGATATCTTTCACTAGGTCAGGTTGGCTGGAGCCCCGTCCAACCTGTGTTTTGAGCACCTTGGGGTGGGATGGGGCATCAACAACTTATCTGGGTAACCCGTAACAGTGCCTCGCCTCACCATCATGAAAAAAAAAGTAGCAACTTGTCAGAAGTGGGATTCGAACCCACGCCTCCAGGGGAGACTGCGACCTGAACGCAGCGCCTTAGACCGCTCGGCCATCCTGACTGTGTGAGCTGTTGTGCAATAGCAACTTTCACCAACACATTTGTGCTTTCATTCAGCACTTCTTCACTTCTGAAGGCAAAGATGGAGATATCCAAGAGGTTAAGACTCTGCTGAATAAAGTGAAGCATTACTTGCCCAAAGCAAGCATTAACCAACTTAGCAGCCGTGTGAGAGATCAAGAAGCAGAGCTACAAAGGCTGATATCTAAGTGTCAGAAACGGGAAAAGGAACTTGGTACTTGTCTCCAGCAGCTCAATAGGTATGGAATCAGTGTCAATTCTGACATTGTAATCGCAAGTGATAGAAAAGGATTAATTATTAAACAGCCATAGTGAGTGACGATTTAACGAAATTTTACTGAGTGCTTTGTTATATTCCTCTTGTGATGTTTCTCTACATAGTAGAATCAGTGTCACATAGGAGCATACAGTGATGTATTTCATGGGAGCACGTGCTTGCATGTTTCAGTGACATGAACCAGGGTACTTAAAACTATCCATAAGCTAAGATTTAAGCTGGATCAGGTGCTTGGTGTTTGTGCTTCTCAGGAAGACAGCATTGTCAGCAGGTTTTACTTGTGTAACGCCTCTTATTTTGACCTGCACTCATATTTCTTCTCTCTTTAGCCTTCAAGAAAGCAGCACTGTCTTAGAAAAATGGCTCACCACTCAAGAAGAAAAACTGCATGAGATCAAAAAAGATAAGACAAAACTTGAAAACCTGTATAAAACATTATTAATGCAGAGGTATTGTTGTCTTTGAGCTCTACCTAAAGAAGATTGCCCTGTGTTTTATGAGAAATAGATGTTTATTCATTTCTTGTACTTTCAGAGAACCATTTGATTCCTTGGCTCAGCTAGCAAATTCCTTGAGGGAGACTGGGCTGACAGAAGATGAAATCATTTCAGAAACCAGTGATCTCGTTAGTAGATATCAAACGCTGACGACAAATGTAAGTGAGATGGCAGGAAATACTCAGGGACTTGCAGTGGATGAACATTTCAAAGAACTTGCCCAGGATATGTCTAGTTGGATCAGAAAACTTGAGAAGGCTATTAATAATCTGAGCTCACAGGAAAGTGAGTTGCCACCAGACAGAAGGATTAATCAGATAAAGGTATCGTGTTATTCCCATTGCACTACACAGCTTGTACTTACTATAAAGCAAATGCTTGATGAGTCAATACATTATAAAATATGCTACCACTGCTGATTGCTTGTGTTTTGTGACTTGCTTGGGGTGTGAGTTTGTGGGAGTGTTTTCTTCTTGTTTTGCTCCTTTTCAGTTTTTGCATAGTTCATAAAGCACGTTAGAGGAGATTTGCTGCTACACCTCTAGATGGAGTAAGACTGAATTCATAGCTAGGGAGGTGTGCTGGTGGCCTTCCACCTTTCCATCATAAACTACTCCAGAGATGGAGAGGGAGGTCAGTAATGTGGCTGGGGCATCCAGAGAGCCTCTGCAAAATGTGTAGATTCTTGGGTGTGCTACAGTGTTGTTGGGTTGGGCTGCTCTGTTCTTTCACTGAGTGATTCTCTTAGGCCCCCATGTCCTCTCTGTTGTCTTCTTTCTGAGAACCTAAGAGGCTCCTAACAGAATAGCCAGAAAAGAGGCTGTTTGTATTTACATTTTTCTTACTGTGGAAGGGATAGTATTGTGATAAATGTATCTCCCTGAGATTTGGGTTCTTTTACTGCGTCAGACCAGTAGTGGTTAAATTTTGTCATGTAGAGAATTACTAATAAATCTGAGCTATCATATCCCAAGCTTTCTAATTTAGATCATGTCTGTTAATGTATTTGTTATGTGATATATTAGAAGGCGAATTCTTTTTTCTTGAAATCAAGAGTAAAAGACTTTGTTGGTAATACCTTTTATTCTGTAACCCAAGATTGTTGTATTTGTACTGCTTCTCGTTTAATACAGGAAATCATGGCTCTCAAAGATGCAGGAGATGCCAAAATACAGAACATAGTGCCTGTAGGAGAAATGTTAATAAGAAATGACAAAATTAAGGAGCCAGAGATTCAGCAGACTCTTTCTGACCTCCAGAACCAGTGGGAAAAGACCTGTCAGTTAGCCACTGCATACAGAAGGTAATTTGCCAATTGTAATATGGATCTTGTTCTTGTAGTGAGGAGGATGCACTGATTTAGACCTGTGGTGGCCCTTCCCTATGTTGTGAGCTTGGCTTAGTGCCCCAGGCATCCTCCTCTGCAGAGCTGTGATCTACTTTTGTGCATACCTGATTCAAAGAGAGAGATCGATGTAGATCCAGCAGGCTGGAATTTTTAAAGTAGGATTTTAACGTCTGGATTATTCTGGTTGGCTGAGACACTTTCTTGGCTGTGGCAGCTGTTCTTGCTGCAAGTTATTTTCTGCCAAAGCCTGTTCATAAGAAGTCAGCAAAGGGAGCTGAGTGTGCCTGATAACCAAATAGATCCTTTAAACATGTCACATGGTTCCAAGTGTGTGGTGAAAACAAACTGAAGTTGTGATTTTGCAGTTGAAGACAATTTCAAGGTGTTTGTCTGCTGTAATGTCCTTGAATGTTAGAGCAGTTCAGTAAAATCACTGGGAAATTTGCTGTTGAGATAAATGGAGCTAGTGCAGCCCTACTGTATACTTTTAAAAATTACCAGGGAATGAACTATAAGAAACAAGTACTCTTCAGAGTATTCAGTTGCCTTCTGTTATTAAACACTCAGTACAAGCAGTACAAGTGGCATTCAGAAAGATCAGTGGCTGTATTAGATCCAACTTAACAAAATGCAGACAGCCTCTTCACAGTACATTAAAGACTGGAGTTGAGGTGCTCAGTAGATCTGAAGAGATGTTCAGGACCTTGCAGGATTAGGTCTGTAGATAGCAGATGTGATACATCCAGCAGCATGAAATGGGAACACCGAATTTAAGGCAGTAATGTCTGGGAGGCTATGCTCTATTTCTGACTGACCCAAAACTATGAATCTTGAGACAAAAAAAACCCCAAGCACTGAAGCTTTACTTTTATTGTTATTTTCCCTGCTGTACTTTGTAGAATAGTAACCAGATTTTATTTGTTTGGATTTTTTTTTTTGTGTGGGATCATATTTTCAAATGTTGGCATTTAAGTTCCATCTGGAAAATATTGTAGCTTCATCACTAAATGTGAGAGTATAACTGTTGATTAATGGCCTTTTGCCCCACTAATTTTAGTTGAGTATTTTCTGTGGACAAGTATAACCCGTTCACCTTTGGTCAATCATAGTGGGTATTTGGAAAGCAAACAAATCAAAATGTAATGACAAGGTCACTGGATTGTGACAGCACAATCCTTATTGTGTATGCTGTTCTTATGGTCTGTAGCTCTGAAACACTCCCCCACCACCTCCACCTTGACCAAAGCAATGTTTCACTTGTACAGAACATTCCCTTTCAGGAGACTGTCTGAAGATGTTTTTAAAGGAAAAATATTTATAGTCTTACTGTAGTTTTGAAACAGGACTTCTGGTGGAATAAAGAGCTGAAAATACAGAGCATGAGCATCTTACCTCAGATAGTAGAAACTATGGGTTTGTGGGTTACAATTTAAGGCACATGTAAGAGGGTTAGTCACTTGTCTTCTATTTAGGTCCACTTCAGTTGCACTAACTTCAGTGTCTTTCATTTTCATATCTTTGAAAATTCCAGCCTAAAGTTGATCATTAATTTAAAATCTGATGAAAAGTATTCGGTATGCTGGTGTTCATTCTAATGATTGACTTGACTGTAATTTTTCATTTTTTAAGTAATAAATGCAAAATATTTTAATATTAAAACCAGTATATTTTTCTTAGCCCTCAAGAGCAACTTCTGTTCAACAGGGAACAGTATGAGCAAAGCAAAGAAGATCTGAGACTGGCTCTAATTGAACTGAAGAAACAGCAACAGGAGATGGATTTTGCCCTTCAGCCTGGTTTGCTGGAGAAGCAAGCTCAGTTGGCAAGTTACACCAAACTCTTGCAGAAAGCAGAAGATCTAACTTCTCAGTTTAATGAATTAGAAAGCCAAGATCACGTACAGAGCTTTGCTGAGAATCCCTGCTTCACAGAGGAATCGTGGTTGGAATTAAAACACCAGCATGAAAATCTGCTCAGCCAGCTACAGGTCGGAACCCTACTCTGTGTTCTTATGAGAATGTTGGTGTAAGAAGTCTATCTTACTGTTTGCCTGTAGGTCTCATTCAACTGACAATTTGATGACTAAAACTAGAAGCAGTGAAAATTGCTTTGTAAAGGGGCAGGGGACTCCTTTCTCTCTCTTACCATTGGAAAAAGAGCACGAGTTCATAGTTTTCACTTCCATTTGCAGATGAAAAAACATTTAATCAAATGAAAGCAAGACAAGTGTGAAGATAATAGTTTATAGCTTTGCAAGCAGATTCTGATAGCTTTGATATGAAATATCCATTCCTAGAAATCTCAAGGTCGCATGATTGTTTTCTCCTTTTAGAAGAACAAATGACTTTCTGGATGCTGTTTGTTATTGTTTTCACCCAGTTTAGGTCCATGTGTGTCGGTTAGTGTTGGTCTAATCCTAGAAACTCCTTGATTTTTAGGCTGCAGTGGAGACCTTGGAAAGACATGTTCAAGAGCACCAGCAGTTTCAGGACATGGTGACAGGCTTGAACACAGAGCTAAAAACTGTTTCCGAAAAGCTTGCTGATGGTGTGAGTCCAACAGTGGAACAACCATCCACTGAGCAAAAAGAATTGAAATCACAGGTATGTTAGAGGTTTTGCATCATGGAGAAAGTAAGTCCATCCCCTGGGTGTTTGTAGAGATCATCTGATTTATAAAAGATAAGAGAGGATCAAACTGAAGAACCAAGAAACACTTTGAAACCATTAAGTAGGTGTTGTATTCCTTTCATCAAGGTAAATATAGACCAGAAATCTCTCTTAATGAAGGTCCACTCTTAATGGGCTTTTACTGTCAATTGAACAGAAGGTAAAATTGTCCTCGTGTCAAGCACATAGACTTAATTTGGTTTGTTGTAGATTTATGGGGAGCATAATGAAGAAAGAGATTGTCATATTTGGTGTTAGTATGTGTCTTCAAATTAGCAAGAGAAGAAGGTTTATGTGAGTGTCAGTGAGCTAAGTTCAGTGGTAAGAAGCATCTTTCACAGGCAGGTAGACATTCTCCTGCAGTTTGGTGGGCCTGAAAACAGTCTTGTAGCTGTGAGCATAGGTACTACTACAAGCTGAAACTGTAGCTCAGATATTGATCAGTGCTATTCCTCTACCTCCAGAAATTGCCATACCTCTAACAAATTCAAAATTGAGCGGTAAGAGAGGTAGGAATTACGTTCTTAGAACTTGACTGGGTCACTGTGCACCTCACGGAATTCTGCCTGATTGTTTTATCCTTGTCTTAATGCATATTGCTTCAGATGATCACTGCTTGTAAAAATGTATGGCTTACTAAATTTTAGTATGTGATTTTCTGCAGCAAATAGGACTTCCTGTACTTCTCAGCTTAGTTTGTTGTTCACAGTAAATATTTATGATTTTTGTGACTGACTTTTGATCTTACTGTTAGGTATGTTGAGTGAATATATGTTTCAACGGCATGTTTTCTTCCTGTTCAAAGGAACAACAAGCACCTCTTTGTCAATTTGAAGATATGTTAAAGAAGATTTTGGTTTTAGCAGAAACTGTTAAACAAAACACTTCTTCACCAGGACAGAAGTTTATTGAGGATGAAATTGAAACACTTCAGAGTGAACATAGGAGTTTTGAAGAAAAACTTGAAAATGTCAAGCAAAAGAAAGAAAATATTTTCAGTGAAGCCCTTGAGTTAAAAGATGATCTCACGGATGGAGTACAGATGGAGAATAAGCTGAAGAGGGAGATGCAGATCATTTCAGATACTCCTATTGCTGCAGAAGAGGGCACCACAACAGCAGAGTTAAGGGAGTGTTTGGAAATGCCTACTGTGAGTATTTTTCCTGACAATAATGGCAGTGGAGAACTGGTTCAAAAGAGGCATGGGTCTCAAATGCCTTTTGTATGTTGCCTTTTGTATCTTGGTTATATTTGTATGTTTATTATATTTGTATTTGCCTTTTGTATATTGCATCCTACGTTCTATCCCCCCATTGCATCCTGCTATCTATTCAAAATTGCAACTTTCAATTCAAGCACAATCTGCGTGCAATTAGATAAAGCCTCCTCTGTGGGGGGAAAAGTGTGTAGACAGGAAAATTACAGATGTGCCTCTGCCAAAAAATCTTAGTCCTTTCTTTTGCAGTAATTTCAGAACTTAAAGAGTTTCTCATATACAGTTAAGAATTGCTAACAGCTGCAGTACAATATTTTTTCCTCTTTGTTTACATTTTAAAAATAGATTATCTTTTTAAATATTAAAGTATATTTGCAGTAAAACAGCTTTTGTGTTATATTGTTTCTCTCAGGGTCAAGTTGTAATTGGGAGTGTATCGGAGAAAGAGAAGCAAAATGGTTCTCTTTTGGAAGAAAGCAGGATGTTGTCAGACAGCCCATTACAAAGTATCCATCAAGGAAAGGACAGATACAGCCAAACTGCTCAGGTACCTGTCTAATATGTTTTAACAGATGTCAGTGTGAATATATGTGTGTCTGTTCAGTGGCAATGCCTACTTAATTCCTTAAGATTTATGGTCATACAGAGATATATTTTCCTCGTCAGTTAAAAGGAAGGATACAGGCACAAAGTATATTGTGAGAGGTCACTAATCTGGAACTGCTGGTCTCTAGATCACCTCAGAATAATTACACCATAAATAACTTCATCTGTGGAAAGCTGAAGGAGGAGTCTGGCGAACTCCCTCATTGCTCTGACCATCCATTAGTAGCAGCTGCAGCAGAGAGATGACCATTGAAATAACTGACCATAGAGAAATTTCTGGAGCAGTAGAAATAGAAACTGTTTCATAAGATCCTGGCAGACTGATCTGAGCAAGTTTCCCCAAGAAACTGTGTTCGGGTTACCACCATTCATTAAGCTAAACTGATGAGCAGGTAGGAAGGTTATGGAGCGCAGTGTTCTTTGGTAAGCTTGAATTTTGGACTGCGACTTCTACTGGTTGTAAACATTTTGTGTTTTTCAAACCAGGAGGAAGCTGATAAAGAGAGCCTGGCTATGGATAGATGTGATGGAGTCCAAGAGAACCTTCTGGACAGAGCAGTTCTGGAAAGGCATCAGGATGACACTGGTATTGGAAGTGATGAAATAAGAAGGGAAACAAGTCCAGTGAAGGTAATCAGACATGAAATTAAAGAAGGTGATTGAATTTGAGGGTGTATTTATACAGTCTCGTTGCAAAGGGGATGATACTACTAATAAATAGTAAAAACCCGATATTCTTACCTGATGTGTGGTATACGCAGATTAAATACGCATTAAATTTCAGAATCCTTTCTTGTAAGATTAAAATTTGCATGGAGGGATTGTTTTGTTACTGTGAGCTGCCACAAAGTGGCTTTCTGAGGACGTGATATTCCAAATCACTTGTCTGTATTGTGATGCCTTTAAACCATTTTGTTTGAATACTGTTATTTTGCTTCAGCCTCTTTCATTTATTTAGATTTCTTCTTTACTTTGCATGTATGAGGTTGCATTTGAAATGCTGTGTTCTCTTTTGTGCACCACGATAAAGGAGGAATTTTGACAAAATAGAGCTGGAGCTATGATGTGTGGGAAGAACTGTGTTCTCGTTGGAGATAAAGAGCTAATCCAGGGGTCTTGTTGCCATCATTACCTCCCTGAAGAGTTGTTATATAGATGATGGAGCAAGGTGCTTGTCAGGCTTTTAGTTTTAGCAAACAGCATGAGATGCTCAAGGCAGTGTAGCCATGACAAAATGGAGCACAGTGTGCATTCATGAACTTGCTGAGAATTGGGATAAATTAGCTCGTTCTGGGTTGTGGGTGCACTGCTTTCAGTACATATCCTATCTGACCTGTAGCCATAGCCTAGGTATCCCTGCAGCACAAATAAATTGCCAATTATGTGCTCTCCATCGTGATGTGCTGTAAGTATTTTCCATTCCTTATTTTGTGTATACGTGGCTGTGAATATCCTGCCTGGTAGCTGGTTATGTGCCTAACCACAGACTGTCTACAGTGCAGTGCAAGATTGGAAAAGCCTAAGCCTTTAAAAAATGCATTTGAGACAGCATCCAGGGGTACACAGTTTAAGGTCTTGCTTAGAATAATGAAACATGAACAGAGTAGATCACAGGTAGACCACTTGCAATCTATAATTTTTCCCAAGAGTTATAATAAAAATTCAGCTCTGCTTCTTCTAAGTGGTTTTCTTTGCCATAACCTTGTACACAAAAATTTAAGAGATGTAATTGTTGCTTTTCTAATTCACCTATAAGTGTGGGCTTTATAAATATGCTTCTCAAGTATTGTAATTACTACTCAGTACATTTGATTAGGGCTTTTTTGTTACTTGCTTCTTTATTAGTATCGTTTTTACAGCAAAAGGAGAAACCTGCTGATGTCAAGAATCAATCCTACACAGAAGATGAGGAGCAGGTTCAACAGAGCGTGTGCTTGAAGAGTCGAGTCCTGACACCTGTAACAGCTGAGACAAATGGTCTGGAATCTGACCCCTCAGTCTCTACCCATGAGGTAAAACAGATTCTGGTATTTCAAGTTGCACTTGTCAGAGTTATTGGATTTTTGTTACAGAGGGCTTCAGCTGAAGTTCTGTTGTAACTGAAGAAGTAATTACTGTCACAGAGAAATCAAGCTCATTGTGTATAATTCAACTTCATGTCCACAGTAATTTTGAACTTTATCTGAAATACTAGCAACACTTCTTTTATTTTTTTTTTTCCGGTGGATCTGTTCAAAAGAGCAGTGTTGGTTTTCCTAACCATCACAATCAGTATTTTATACATAGGCCTTCTCTTTAAGTTGCTGTTTGCTACAAGGTTCTGTGTTGCTGTAGTCAGCTGTGATTGTCTTTGCCATCATAAGGAAGGGAGATCAGAAAGCTGAAATCCAACAGAAAATAGAGAAAGAAGAATTAATTAAGAAGTTGAATGAATAATGAAGTACTTTAATAAATGGCATCACTAAGTGTATTCTTTAAGAATAATGGTGTTTCAGCACAAATAGCCTGAGAATTCCCTGAGATTATTATTCACCCTGTCCTTAAAGTTCAAGATGAAGCCAGTTCCAGTCTTTGTTGTTAAATCTATAGGCAAGTCTGCCTTTCCATTGGCAAGTCGTATTTGGGACTTTGCATAGGGAAAGGGCAGTAGGTTATGCTGGCTTCCTGAAGAAATCTGTGTGTCCGGATAAGAAACCAGGATACAGATTTTGGACTACACCATGGGCAGAAGCCAGAATCATTCTTGGCATGTATCCCCATTATTGTCAGTTTCCCACAAGCCTGCACTGTGAACAGTGAGTAGCAGAGCCCTGAGTTTATTCCTGAAGAATAGCCTGTGTAGCAACCTTTGTTCCTCTGCATTCTCAATTTTTCCTCTGTCTCTCACCACCTGATGAGCTGAAAAACTACGGAAAACATTAAAAGCAATGTGCAGGGAGACTGACACCGTCTGTATCTGTACGTCCAGATGAGTGTGAGAGGCTGAAAAGACCCATGTGTGTGTACAGCAGGGAAGGGGAAGACAGGATAGATAGACCTATGAGTTTGAGTTATCAGTAGGCTGAAGAGGGTGCAAGAAAGATGTTACTTGAGAGAGGAGATGTCAGAGTTTCAAACTTTCATGGAGATTTCTTAGCTAATTGAACAGTGCTTACAGGCCAGAATGACTGCAGAGGTGGGTGGTGGTGATGGGAGGGCTTCCTAGGAGGAAGCAAGAGCAGGATTTAGTCATGGCTTAAACATATGAAGCCAAGCATTGCAAGCAGAAAACTTACCATTTTAGGAGTTCTTCAGAAATAAATGTACTGTTTTGCATTGCAGAAGGAAGGTGCAGCAGGGGTTGATGAGAAGGAACTATTTCCTGGAGTGCAAGTAAACACTGAGTATTTTGAGGAGGAACAAAAGGTCAATGAGCTGAAAAATGAAGTGGCTGAGCTGGATATTGTGCTTATAAATGAGCAACTGAAAGAGCTGGAGGTATGGAAATTGCAAAGCCCATTCCTCAATGTTAATGTAGCGATACACTTACAGAAGTATGATTCAGTTGGGCAGAACAAAATTGTTGCATATTATCTTGACTGAGGTTTGACTCTGTGGTTTAGACAGTTGCATAACAGGTAATCTACAAACACTGTGCCTTAATTGCAAATATGTCCACATGAATGCCATCTTTTGTACTGATCTTCTGAAGTGTGCCAGTGGGTACACCTGTGATTGCATGTGTGCTTCTGTGATGTGTGCTTATTACATGTAACCAAGGAAGTGTATGTATATGAATGTATCAGTATTCAGTGCTGAAGCTGAAGGTAGTTAAGATCTTCTTCTAATCCTCCCTGTGGTGGGCTTGATTGTAGAATTTACAAACTGAGCTGGAAACGTGGAAAGCAAAATCTTTGTGTCTGAGTCAGGAAACGTTTCCTGATGCAACACGATCAAACGGAGCAGAGCTGCAAACCCCAGAGCCTGTGGTGCCTTGCTGGGACAGGCTGCTTCAAGAACTGGATGCTGTTAAGGCAGTAAAGCAACAACAGTCCTGTTTGGTTAATGAGTACCAGAAAAATCTTTCTGCTGCTCAGTCTTCAATGAAAAATTTGGCAACAGAAAAAGATAACATAAAAATGTAAGTATAATTGTGGGTTTCTGTTAATAGATTGCAAACAAATATGGTCCTTAACTTAATGTTTCTGATACAGCTGATGTGGGCTGAATTTCATGCCAAGCTTCAATAATGCTGAGACACATGTTTTATACATCTCATTAATGTTCGACAGAAAGAGAACTCTCACAAGTTTGTAAAGTGATGTTAAAACTGTACCTGGAGTCTTTAAACGGAATTATTACTGGTGATTCTCTACTGTAACCTTTTAGCAACATCTACTCACTTTTCTTTTTAGGCAAAACAAATAAATTGGTTGCTTTGCTAAATATCTGTATGGATGCCATATTAAAATATTTTTGCAAAATATGTCAGAAATGAAATATTGTTTTTTTTTTTAAAATGAATTAGCTAGGAAATTGGAGCAATATTTCTTTTTCAAGGACTCGTAAATTCTAATTCTTTTGCCAAATTTAGTAACTCTTAACTCTGAAAAATTAACTTAATTGATAGAAAGGACACAACAATAAATAACTGTAGTACCAACCCAAAGGTAACCAATGCATACAAAACATTTAGTACTTTTTATGAGTTAACCTTCAAAACATGGAACTTGTCCATCAGTCACAGTAAGGTACCACATTAATTAGAAAACTTCAAACGATTTATAAAATTGTTGATTTGCAGATTGGAAAGAACTGAATGAAATTGTATCTGCTGGATGTATTTTAGAAGTGAATTTCAAAATGCTCTTGGAAATAAAAGACAAGCAGATGCCTTCCCCCAGATTAATTCTGAAGGAGTGAGAATTTTGGAAGTTTTTCTTTTAGCCAAGCTTTTTTCTAAATTGAATAGCAATATAAATTGTTGTTAATTCACTTAGACATAACTTAACAGTATTGTTTATTTTTAAAAAGAGAGACAGCTTTTATTTTAGAAAGTGGCACATTCTGTTGTATTAGTATATGCTGCTCTTTTAAAGAATACGTGTTGGAATGTATCTTTAACTGCAGAGATATCTAGAAATAGCTAACACTGTGTAGATAAGCAAGGAAGTCATACTGTTATGGTTGTTAGGACACTTGTGAGAGAGCATTAAGAAAGTTATATATGTGAATGGAAGTGAATGAATCATCTGTGTGATGAAACTCTCTTAGAATATGTGTAGGTCATGGTTTTTTTTCCTTTATAAACCTGTTCATATTTTTGACAGGGGTCCTATGAATAACGCAGTTCTACTGGAGAAAATTAAGGCATGTGTACAGTCATTACACAAAGAAAGAGATGTTTTAAACCAGCTGAAAACTCAACAAGAACTTTTGTCTCAGCATTTAACGTGCATGGACAAAGTGTTAACTGCAAGCCAAATGAGGCAACTGGAGCAGTGGTGGCAGCACATGGAACAGGCAGTGCAGAAGAAGCATGATCAGGTGTTGGCAGAAATCAATGAGTTTAACACGCTTATGGATAAAGCACAGGATATTCAGAGATTGATACAAGAGCAGTATTTACAAACAGAGTTGTGTTCCTCAGCTGGAGAAAAAGCCAAATGCCCCATAATTTGGACTGCAGAGTTACAGAATATTAAACATGGTCTTTCCCTGTTAAAAAGAAAGATAGAACTGCAGATGCAAAGAATTTGGAGCGATGAAGAAAAGATAGCTCTGGAGAGCTGTATACAGGATTTACAGAGCAAACTGGAAGCTTTATCAGAGCAACACACTCCTCAAGATGATGTTCGGATCACTGGTCCTGTTGTGAAGAAACAAGACATAATGAAGAAGCTGAAAGAAAATATTTCATGGGTCAAAGATTCGCTGTCCTCTCTTGATCAGAAAGCAGCACTTTTCCCCTGCGATGTTAAATCTCAGATCAGAAATTGTGAGCTTATGAGGAATGAAGTTCTAGATAGAGAGCCTGTGATTGAAACACTGGGTAATGAGCTCCAGCACATCCTTCCCAACTTGAAGCCAGAGGAGATCTCTGATATGACTTTCCTCCTACAAGCATTACAGAATTCATACAAGGCTCTTGTTTTAAAATCTGTTGAAAGATTACAGCACCTGGAGCTTCAGCTGGAAGAGAGGCAAAGACTTATTGCAGAAGTAGAGAAAGTTCACTGTCAGCTTCGAAATGCAGAGACACTTGGCAAGCCTGATATGAACCAAACCAGCACTTGCTCAGAATTAATCAGTCAACAGGACATTTTAAAGGAGATTTTAAAGGACATACAAGAGATTGAAGGGCTTATCTCATCCCATTGTGAAGAGAGTCAGGTCACAGCTGGGGAGCTGAGTCTATCCGAACAATTATTTTTGATTGACCAATTAAGAAGTCTGAAAAATAGAGCAAGGAAGACACAGAGGCAAATTCAGAGTAAATGTCATGAAGTGGGAAAAAAGATAGCAGTCTACAGAGAGTTTGCAGAAGGAATGACTTCGTTGAAACAAGAGCTTAGTGATCTGCAGTGTAGTGAATTGAAACTGGAAGAAGAACTGACAGGGGCCACACAAGAAATAAAGAATAAATGCAAAGCTCTTGAAGAAAAAGTATTATCCTTACAGTCTAATTTGTCACAAATAATGAAGTTCAAAGAAATTTTTGAATGCATAGGTCTAAATTGGGATTCATTACAGCTGGATGAATTGCATGAATTGCAAACTCAATTTTTTAAAATTAGAAATAAAATTAAAGGGAAGATAACACATTTTGGTAATGTTATTAGGGAATGTGATAAGTTTCATGCACTGCTAAATGAAATCCAGACTATGACATCTGCTGCAAGAAAAGAAGCAAATATATTAAATGATAGATCTAATTCTTCTCCTGCTGAGAATCTTATATCTGCACAGATTCTGCTTCAGACAATTCAACAGATTTTGTGCTTAATCCAGGAGGTAGAAAATCAAATAAACAAAAATGAGGTTTTACACACGCTATTCAAAGAATCAAAGAGGCAAGAAATAAAGAGCCTGGAGACAGATGTTGAGGAATTGAGTCTGTTTCTTCAAAACTTGGTCTCTAGTCTCCAATATGTAAACAAGGAAGATATCCAGAATGTGGCAGAGCATCTATCCGATGCCATAAGGCATGTTCAGTTAGAGCTCCAGCAGCCAATAGCAGTAGACTTGAAAATGATGCAGTATGAAAAGATGCGATGGGAATCAATTCAGAATGTGATGTCAGCAGAGTTTTCTGCCATTAAATGTATAATGGAAAAAGAGAGGGAAAGTCAAGAAGAAAAATCTCTTGCTGCTGGTTTAGGAACAAAATTAAGAGCGCTGGCAGATCATGAAATACAACTGAAGACAGACATTGCTGCCCGTGTTGTAAGTATATTTAATGAAAGTCTATTTCCATGTCTGTAATGAAACTTATGATTCTTATGTCCTGCCATCCTTTGCTTTGGAATTTTCCAGTGTTGGTAGCTCCTTTATACCCCCTGTCCCTATGTTTGAAGGAATTCAGCACCTCTCTATGGCTACATGGGTAATAGAGGGCATTTGCTCTATGAGTTTGGGTCTTGGAGACAACCACATGAAATTCTGAGAAGGCCATTTGGCCATCCAGAGGAGCACAGCAATCTTTCTTGATTGTTCCTTTGTCTTTCAAACACTTTCAGTCTGCTCTGGAGGAGGCACGTAAGGCTGGTGAGCTTTACACCAAGGCTGTTGAGAGGGCTGCCAAGTTCCTTGAGGACTGTGAAGCTGAAGTTCGTTCTGCTGCAGCAGAGCTCAGCAGTTCAGAGGACACCTATCAAACTCCACAGTGGAAACAAGAAGAGTTCGACTCTGCAAAGGCTGACATAGAGCAGTTGTATTCCAAGCTGAAAAACCTGGTGAAACCAGAAGACAAAATATGTCTAGAAAATACTTTAAGAGAACTAGTCAATAAAAGTTTGGCATTAAAAGAGAAGATTCAGAGAAACGAGGCCGACAAACAGAGGTAGGTTCATGTTCCTAGATTGTATTCCTACCTATGGCAAAAAATAGAGTTTTGTTTCTTCTCTTATAGAGCCAGGTAATTCAGCAGAAAGAACTGTTATTTGTTGTGCCTAGGTGTGACTTTAATGGAAGGAAAATTAACAGATAATAATTGTATTTCTAAAAAAATGTTTGAAAATAATGGAGACATAAGGGAAGACAGACAATTCTTTCAAGCAGCTCTGGCTGATATGTTTCATATTCTTACCTACATTTCTTTATCACTGAGGTATTTGTACCTGTATCTCTTTAGTATCTCAGATGCTGGAGCTGAAGTATATAAAAAAACACAAATTGAAGACAATTTGCCAAATAATTAGTAAGTAATGCTAGTTTAGAAGGTTTTTTTACTTATTGTTCTAGTGGGTGTTATGTTTGGAGAAACAATCAAACATAACAAATTATAATTGGTCTTGTAATTGTTTCCTACAGATATTTGGAAAAATACAAAAGCTATTCCAAATGCAAAGATAAAGTGTGTGATGATCTTAACAATCTGGGAAAGATGCTTGGGAAGTCTTTATCCCAAACACCAATGTCTTATAAGGAAGCTTTGGAGAACTTACAAGAATGCAAGGTAAGAGAGGATCTGAAGATCAGAGTAGTAAGCAGTGCATTTATCTTGTATTTATGTATATACTAAACCACAACATGTATTCAGGTATCTGTAAGTGAACTGGATTACAGTGTGCCATGTAAAAGTACGTATTATTCTGGAAAAACCAAACATTACCTGTGCTTTAGTCGGTGTTGCATTTCTGTTTGAATTCCTCATTGCTGCTTTGCAGGACCTGGACTGATCAGATTTCTCAAATTGCTGTTATTTTCCCTAGATGGGAAAGTCAGAGTACTTGTACTTCCCCATCCAGGACTCTCTTGCTTTCTCCTCACCATACATCTGCTACAATGAACCTTCCTGCTGTCTTGTAGTACTCACCGTATTACAGACTCTTCATTTTGTGTGTCTGTAACTAGAGCTCGTTCATTTCCCTTCCAAATAACCATAAAGTAAAAGCAACCTAATTTCTTGTGTGTGCTGTTCTTCTGATGGTTTTGCTTGTCTTATTTCCCTTTTCTCCATAGTCTCAGCCAATACAGAATTCCCTCAGTGAAACTGAATTTAGCCAGTTCAGTGAAGTGATTGCTATTTTAATAGAAGATTCTAATTGTGTTATTTAATGCTTCGTTAACACTTCTGATAGGCTGTATTTATTTATTTGCTTGTTTGTTTTTGCATAAGATTTTAGTCTCCAACATTGACTCTGCTGAAGATGATCTTGTGAAGCTAAGGCAGGTCTCAGGAGAGCTGATGAGATTACGCAAGGGAAGTGACAGGGCCCTGGGCAGGATTGTAACAGCACTGTGGGAAAATTGGCTGGGTTTGCTTGAGGCAGCAAAAGAGCTGGAAATAAACTGTGAAGAACTAAAACAAGAATGGAAGTTCATCAACGAGGAGGTGAGTTGCCTAACAAACAGTAAGTTTTGAGGAATGTGATTGAGCTGAGACCCTTAGATAGTAAATCTACCTGTGCAGGACTGAGATCAATACAGAACATCGCTTTTTTTTCCACACCAATCAGCCAGTTACCTCCAGACTTTCTTGAACCTGGAGTCAGAAATGATGGGGATGTTTACAGCATACGTTGTCTGAACCCAGCATGACTCTGTGTGTGGCTTTGTTCTTTGTTAAAACAAACTCAAATGTTTTGCCTCCCATCAGAGGTTCAAGCTTTCTGGATATGCATTTCCTACTATTTAGTTATGCATATGAGTAAATAAATAATATAACTTATGCTGATGAATTAAAAAAGCACTTGAGCTCATTCTTTGGCATGCTGTTTACTTAGCTGGAACGAGAAGCAATAATTCTTGATAAGCTCCAGGAAGAGCAGCCAGAAAGTCTTAAAGAAAAGGAAAAAGCCACCAGAGAGGAACTGGTAGAATTACTGGATTCTGTGTATGCATTTGAGGAGAACATCAGCAGGCAGCAGCTCCTCTTGCTCTTACTTCTTCACCGAATAAGGAACATCCTGAATACATCTGAAAACATGGAGGCAGAGACTGCCCTTCCTGCCTTATGTGAGATAAAGACAATGCAAGACCGCTGTAAAAAGTAAGTGGTACAAAAGGTTGGTGGGAGTTATAACATGGGATTACTTGTAAGAGCAGCATTTTATTAGATATTGAAGAATATATGAAAGATGTATTGACTTAAAAAAGATAGTGTGCTGAGTCACACTAGTGCTCCATCTAACCCATCTGCTGTCTTCAGAATGGGCAATGAGAGACACTAGTTGGGGGGGAAGACTCAAGCCTGATCATGTCATGTGGGGCTGCAGTTCAAATGTAGGAGAGAATATTGGTGTTCATGATTGATTTTGGAAGCTCCAAGCTCTAGTGAACTTGAATGAGGTGTACAAGTCTTCTACTCTTATGAAAGTCAGACCTTGCACGTTTTGCACTATTTTTACCTTAATTAGTGCCTTAATGACTGTTTAAGATTTACCTCAAGTGTTTTTTGCAAATCTGAGACTACAGTCACCCTTCTGCATGCTTTATTTTTTACATGGAAATCTTTGTTAAATGTCTTTTTTCTCTGCCATGGCTTTCAGACTCTGAGATTATGAGCTGTTTTCCGGAGCGTCATTCCTGGTTTAATAGCCATGCTGTCTGTTTAGCAATATCTGAAGACTCACTTTCTAAGAAATTGAAGCATAAATGGCAGACACTCAGAGATTTAGTTACATAAAATGATATGAAAATACAAGCAAATGTTCTGGATATTTACAAAAAATTCTACATTAGGTGTGGTCTGATAACTTCTACTCCATAAAATCTAACACAGTGTATTCTTGCTGGAAATCTGTCATAGGTTGTATGAAAAGACTCAAGACCATAAGAATTTGATACAGTCTGAGATTCAAGAGAGGAACAAGATCACCGAAGAAATAAATGCTGTGAAAAATGCATTACAGAATGCTCTATCTGTGCTCTCCCAAGATGCTGTTGCAAAGGCAGCACAGCTAAAGGTTAGCAGTTGCCCTGTGACTCTGTGGGAATCTTTGGAATATATTCTCTTTTATGTTGAGGCTTGAAATTGCTCCAAATAAAATTAGTTGCAAAGTATGTATATCCATATGCACACTGAGTTAAAGAGAATGAGTCTGGCTCAACGGGAAACGATTGGCCTGCCATGGAATTGATTTGCACTCTTCTTCCTCTACTAGCTCAGTTAGCAGAAGCCTTCATAGATTGCTAAGAGATTCACAACCAGCGTGCCTTTTAGGAAGGACTGCTCAGTGTATACCTTGTATATTTTCCTCCTCTGCATATCTAACCAGGGCAGCTTTGAATGCTCTGGATCTGATTCCACATAAGTCAATTAATCTGGTAACTGCTTTCAAATTGTGACCAGGACCACTGATCCCACCAGCTTTAACTCTGCACAATTCCAGTACATTTTAAAATACATTTCTGTCATTTCAGTATATTTCTGTTAGCCTTCTTTGAATACTGGACTTTACAAAATGCTATTCCTATTAGTTCCAGAATCTTGGTTTGTATGCGTCTATTTATTTATTATTTCAATCATGTTGATTTAGTGTTATTTTATTTATGTTCTCTTAATTTTTAGATCTTGATCAAAATTTTATTTTTACTATATTTAAGTTATTTTTAAACTTTAGAACATTATCATTTATTTATTCTAGCCGACTAAGATCTGTAGAGAATTTGAGCTCTGTCAAACTAACCCCCTGGAAAAAAAAAGGTGACAGTTTTAACAGCCAAATGCTTTCCAACTAACCAACCTGTAAAATGTGGGCATGCATTTGTATACAGAAACCAGTTTGCAGAGACCTGCTTTGGACGTTTTCCTTTGGACACTGGTGTTGTAGCTGGTATTGTAACTGATTCTTGCAAATTCAAGTTGAGGAATCTGTAAAGTCCTGTAAATACTGGCGTAGTGTTAATTGGTACAAGGGCTTACTTTGCTGTAGAATTAGGCACACAGATGTTTCATGGTTTCATTTCATTTATTTATTTATTTCTATCAGAGCCAGTTGTCTTGAGATGACAGGAAATAAATCAATTTCAGACTCTCATGTGTATCTTATGTGAACTGCATTTGTATGAGAGAAAAGATTCCCATGCAAAAACTGGGAGTTAATGGAAAAAAAGATGTTCATTTTAATGCCCGGTGGGAGCTTTTTGCCCAACAGCATCGTTAACGTTTGAGTTTCTCGAATAGCTGAATAGTGGGAAAAGGAACCATAAAACAGAACTTTCCAACTTGAAACTCTAGAAAACCTTCAAAACAAATGAGTTTCTTCATTCTTTCTGCAAGAGGACTTGGGTCAGATTTTATTTCTAGGCCACGGGCTCTGGACAGTTGTTCAAGTTTCTTTTATCTCATAAAACCAGCATTCTTCAAGCTGGACTGGAAACTACTGCTTTGAAAAGAGCCCGCTGTGCTGCTCTGCATAATTGCCTGAAAGCAGACACTTCAGCTTGAAATCTGTTGCTTTTTGTGGCTTTTGTGTTGTTAATAATAATGAGGGAATGAACATCGGCTATTAAACTTCTTTAAAAGAGAAAATGCACTTTTGGCAGAAGGGACGGCACAAAGGTTACCATTTAATGGTTGGTGCACTTTCTATGATTACATTGGTATACCTGTCAATAAATACCAATACATCAGTTGCCTGACATGGAATAGTATCAAGTTTAATTAATTCTTATAGATTGAAAAGCATCATTTGATTAAATGAGGGAGTATTTCTTGAAGTTAATCTGCTTGCAGAGGTAGTCAGAGTAGGATTTGTGTCTCAAAACAGCTCTTCTGACTCATACTCGTGGCAAGAAATGTAAACCACAAGATATCTGTATATGTCTACACACATGCACGTGTGCTCAAGAAAAAAATGGGTAAAAAAATCTCTATTTCATAGGAAGTTCAGAGTGTGATTGATAAAGAAAGTCAAAATCTTAAGGATATCATGGAGAAACTCCGGATCAGATATTCTGAAATGTACACAATAGTTCCTGCAGAAACTGAAGCACAGCTGGAGGACTGCAAGAAAACTTTACAAGACTTGGAAGACAAGGTAATTGCTTATGTGATTTTCATACATACTTCTTTGTGTTCATCCAGCAAGATTGGATGAATTTTGTAACTTCAAATTTAAAATTAAAGCGTTGATTATTTTTAAATTCACCTTTTTACTTCAGGTGAAAGGGTGTGCTGAAGAAAAAATTCCTAGTGTTAACTGTCTTCTTTTAGAATAAACTTCCAATAAGCAGCTGAATATAAAATGGTGGTGGTGTTGAGAGAGAGCATGATAGAACCACTAGCAGCAAGGTCTTGGATATGATATGGATGTGATTTTCTGTCCAGTCCGGTTCTTACACTGAGCTAGTAGTCAGAGTTGGTTGGAATATTAGTTAAACTTAAGTGAGAAGAGTTTTTACAGTTGAGTCAAAAGACTCCTTTGAAACCACTTTTAAAAAAATTAAACTTGCATGTATGGTAAAGGATCACAGCATGGCTCTTTGTACCACTTCTTGGGACATGACAGCATTCCTTTAAAAGCAGGCAGAGTATTTGGGTAACTAAATTACAATCAGATGCTTTTTTTGCAATGTTTTCTGTATAAAGGGAATGTAAGCAGTTAACTGAAAACAAAATTAAAGGAATGTAATATTCAAAGTTTGGGATGAAATTCTCTTGTGCTATAGTTATTGTTTTTATTCATTTCTTCTCAAAATGAAAAAAAAATTCAGTTAACTTCTTGCAGAAATAAGTATGCCAATTTTGAAGACTAAATTGTAGTTAATTTGATAGAACCTGAATGTTTAATGAAACAATATTTAAATCCAGTGACTCTTTTTGTCTGTCAGATTATTCATTTGTTTTATGTTGTATTGAATATTTAGAGACCTATTGGTTACAGTTTCTTAGCTTTAGGTTTATTTTTACAGCTTTCATTTCAAATTGGAAGAAGTCTTTTCAGAACTGACAACTAGATAGGAGAGAGAAGGAGGAATAAAACAGTGTTTATGCTTTGGGTTGATTTTTGTTTTTGGTTTGCTGTTTCAATTTCTGAGATGAAAGATTATCCCGGTGCATATGTTACGTGTTGAAGTGCAAGAATTGCCCTGGAAACATTTCAGTGTTGAGTAGAGAAAAACAATACAGAATGTATTGGAATTTTTTTAAGAGTCTGAAGGAAGCCAGATGAATTCTATGGGAACTGGAGATCAGTGTAGGCACATAGCAGGAGGTACCAGTCTGTGCTAAAATGAATTAACTTGTCTTATTTTAATGGCATTCTACTTTTTTCTAAGTAAGCTAATGTAAGAATGAACATAAAATGTATTTCTGATGCCATGCATTTTACGTGACAAGTACTGTAAATTCAGACCAGTAAGAGCTACTGAAAAAAAATCCTGGATGAGCAGAACATTGACAGGTACAGCAAATTGTCTGAGGAACGACAGAAGTCTATTGAACAGCCTGCTTTCGTATTTCCAGCTGTGTCACATTGCTCATGTGTGATTCTGTTCCATGTTTTTGCTTTGTTTTGTAGAAAGAAACTACCACTGCACACATCAGTAATTTTTCATGCTGAATATACTTCAGGGTAGTAATAATGATGAAATGTTTGGTGATTACAGTCTGAGTTCCTTTTTCCACAGAGTTGTAGGCACGAAGTATGGACTAGACTTCATAATTTGTTTTGTATAAGCACAAGTACCCAAGAGAAGGACTGTAGGTCTTTTTTCCTATACATTTATTTTAATTACTGTAGTTTTATCAACAAAGTACCTTAGTATGGGTATTATATTGTTCTGACAATACCTGTCAGAATCTTAATAAACTAACAAGTAGAAAGAAATAAAAGCAAATAATTTACTAAATGAGTAACGTTCCTTATTTCTCTTCCCACAGAAGGATAAGTATTTCAGAATAAGTAGTGACAAACCTGTGTAAGTGGTAAACTAAAAATCTTATGTAACCACGCTGCATAAAGCTGTGCAATGTGATGTGCAGTTGAGTTCCATAAATCCCAGGCCTGTAGCGCAGGGAATTTACCCTGATTTAACAGAGTACTGATAGCTGACCCTAACAGCTAGCAGGTTTTAGTGAGAAGAGACATCACCTTGGGCAAGCAAGGACTTTCTCACCCCCTGCAGTTCTTCTAGTTCATGATAACCTGGTACCTCCTTGTGTCTCTCAGTTCTCTGCTTCAGCACTGACTCAATACCCGAGAACTTCTCTCTTTCAATTGGAAATTAGGCCCCTTTGTGTTTTGATTTGAACAAAAAATCCAGGGTTTTTTGTTCAGAAATTCACTACACATTGATGCTTCTCAGCGTCCTTATTTCTTAAATGGAAGAAATAATCAAGGCACTGCTGCAGATGAGAAAGGAGTCGGCTGAATTCAGGGAGTTGCAGCACCTTACTAGTTTTTGGTTCATGATTGCCAGTCATTTTAAGGAAGGAGAAAATGTTGAACAAGATGGGAACATTCAGTCTGGTCACATTGATGCTTCTCCCAGGAAATGTAATTCCATTCTGATGTTTTTAAGTGACTCATCAAAAGGAACATAAAAAGACTTCCAGTATTTTTAGTGAGGAGGTACACAGAAACAAGTGGATCTTTGTAATCTCCACTATCATATTCTCTTTACTGTGACAGATTAGCTTTGAAAACTTGCAGAGTTCTCCTCAGTATGTGCTGAAAGGAAAAGCGGAGACTGTTAACAATGGCCTTCAAGCTATTGAAAAGATGCTGGAACAGAAGACTGAAAGTGTTGCAAAAGCCAAAGAAGTTCAGAAGGTAATTTTGCCTTTTTTTTTTTTTTTTTCTTTTTGGTGGGCATTGAAAGATGTTTGGTTGCTTTTACAGAACCCAGTTTATCAGGAGTATAAAGCTGTCTCCATTCATTCTGTGTCTTTAATAGAAGAGGTACAAGCAAGCATTTACGTGTTGAACATTTACCTTTTCTTTCTCACAGGAAAATGCATGCTTTTATAGCTGTGAATCATGCTGGCAGATGCAGTGTTCTGTTCTTGTTGTATCAGTTCAAAAAGCTTTGCAATTCCACATGCTCAACATGAAGAAAAAATAACTCTTTCTGCCCAACCATATATTTCATTTTTCCTTTCTGTACATGCAGCAAATCTGGGATATGCTGGATCTTTGGCATTACAAACTCAATGAGCTGGATGCAGAAGTGCATGACATAGTAGAGCAGGATTCCTGCCACGCACAGGAGTTGATGGATATCTTAATGACCCCCCTTCAGCATTACCAACAAGTCTCACAACTTGCCGAGCGCAGAACAGCCATTTTAAACAAGGTAGAGGCAAATGTGAACTTCAGATTTTCTCAAACTTGAAAAATTTGTGTTGTTTTAACAAAGAAGCCAAAGCAATAGCTTTACAACAAACAAACAAAGCAAATAAACGAACAAAGGCTTCACACAAAATATCATCAAAGGTTCTCAAACAGATGAAAAGCCCAGAGTAGGTGCGTTGACTTAACATAGCTAAGAATTTCTGGAGTGACAAACATTGCCTCCAGCTTCCAATCCAAAGGACCAACTCTGCATTGTGGTTGGTATGCGTTAGCATGGGCAATCCCTGCCCCTGGATCAGCAGTGTTATGATTTATGATACCAACATGTTACCTATTTAAATAACATTGCCACATAAATCATAACAGTGTCCCCATGAAATGTATGGCCCTGGACACCAAAATTACTCTTGTTTAGAAGATGAAACTGTTCCAGAAAAATTTCAATTGTACTTCTCTATTTTGCCATGCTAATCTGTCCTTGATAAAATGCATCCAGTTTGTTTCAAGTCTTGCCTGTACGTGTGTTTATCCTAGGCAGTGAATAGAAATGTATTTGTACCCTTTTATAAAAACTTCCCATTTACTAGGCTGCCAACAAGATGGAAGAATATGATGAACTCTTGAAGGACATGAAAGTTTGGATAGAAAACACCAACAGCTTGCTAAGAGCAGGTGTTCAGAATGACTCCGCAAAAAGACTACACAAGTACACTGATGGCCTTCAGGTAAGTGTTAGTGCAGATGTCTGTTCTCATTATAACTAGTTGCTGTATAAAGACACAGTTTTGCATTCTTCAGCCTTACTGATATAAATAATTTTCCATAAGTACTTTAAGTGAAAAATGGTTACAGTTTAAGGGCATGAAATAAAGATAGGTAATTTTCGGTGTTGGACTTGATTATCTTGTGTGCTGAAATGGAGAGCATGCATCTACCAAAAATATACGACAGTGTGCTGCATGGCTAAAATCAGTTATTACTTTTCGAATAGGTACAGTTTTGTACCTGTTCTGTGTTGTGCACATGATCCCAAATAGAGTGGTATTTTGAGGTCTGTGCGCCTACCAGAAACTTGGAAGTGAATCGATGTGCAAGGCAGTTGTCAGTGTGCCTTGAAGGTAATTCTGACTTCAAGAATCACATGTTTGTAATGTTACAGGGCCAGGCAAATGCCAAGATGATTTCTAACAGTATCATATTTAAAATAGAAGTTTTCTGCATGTCCACTCTTTGGCTTACACCAGAAGAAAAAGTTGGTGCTCTGAACGTGGATTGTTCTATTAAAACTAACCAGAATTTCTTTCCTATATTACAAGAAGAGATTGACATTTCTGGATCAACATGTTGCAGGTCACAAAGTAACAATGAGGAGATGGCAGTTAACAAAATTTGTGTATATTTTCCCAACAAAAGCTTATTTTCTTTTGCATTTATGTTTTTTATGTGGTCTAGGCTGGAAAGCTTGTGGATTTAGAAACGTGCCCAAGGCTCATAATAAAGTTCAGAGATATGTTCAGTCCTTTTCTTCAGGTGGCAGAAAGCTGAGTGAATCACAGATATTGCTTACAACCCCTTCACTATTCTGTATGAAGACATTTGCTGTAATTAATAAAAAAAATCATGCAGATACCTGCGGAAAATGGGAAGAATGTTCACATCATGCACAACTGGCCAGATATTTTCTGCAGAGCTTCAGTTTATCTGCTAACTGGTGTGCAGGAAACCCTTTTCATGTCTCTGGCTGACATGTATGTACTTGGGTTCAGCCTGATGACTGCAAAGAAATTTGGGAGGAACCTTCTTTGGCATCTCATACTTTTCTGTTTTGGGGGTGAGATCTCAGAGTTTAAAACCTTCCTCTACGTGACTCATGATCACGTAGATTTATTTTACCTAATTGATTCGCTAGTAGTCATAGCAGAAGCCCCTCAGATTTCTGCCTGCAGGATGCAACAGTTTGGTTTCATTAAGCACGAAGTGTTTTAATCTGAACTAAGCTTTTGGAAGTACATGTACTGGTCAGTGATGTACAGGAAATTAAACTGATTCATTCTGATCCAAATCGCCTCAGAGCTTTGATGTCACCAGTGATGGAGGCAAACTAATTTCTTATTTTGTCTGTAGATGGCTTTGGAAGACTCAGAACAAAAGCAAAATCTCCTGCACAGTGTTTACTTGGAGCTGGAGGAGCTAACGCCTGTCTTTGAAACAGACAGTATAATGCAGCAGCTGAATGAAGCAGAGGAGGAAGTAGCAACGTTACAGCAAGAGATAGCAGAGATTCTTCCACAGATCCAGCATGTGGCTGATGTAAGTTTGTTTGATCTGTAAGTTCTTTTTATTGGAGCGTCACCAAATGTTATTAAATACAGCTTACATTGTCTGCATGTGTCTTAGTTTCAGCTGGAACAGAATTGGTTTCTTCGGAATGTCTGTGTGATACTTTGTTTTGGTTCTAGGAAAAAGACTATGTTGATAACGCACTGATACGTATAGCTCCTGCTAAGCAGTGTTTTATAGAGCCAAGGCTCTGTGAGGTCACATCTGGGTGATGTGCCTGTTTTTGGCTTTCTCGGTGCAAGAGAGACATAGACGTTCTGCAGCAAGTTCAGGAAGAGCCACAAGAGTGGTCAGGATCTGTAGCACAGTACATGGGAATAAAGGCTGAGAGAGCTGGGCAGTTCAGACCAGAGAAGGGATGGATACAGGGGAGAGGCTGCTGTTGCCTGCTGCTATGTAACTGATGACTATAAACAAGATAGCGCCATACTCCTTAGGGAGGTTGGTCAAGCACTGTCTCAGGGACTCAGAGTAAGGGTGAGATCCCCATGGCAGGAGGCTCCCACATCTCAGCAGGATCAGGTCCCATACAGTCCATGGAGACCTTCTAAGATCCCTTCCAGCACAGTTTGTTCTTTGACTCTGTCTTCATGAGAGTTGTCTGGGAGCCATACTGTATGCAGACCCATTTTCCATCTGAAATAAGTCTTCATTTAGAATGCATAATTAGACCTCTTTCTTAATGGTAAATATCAACAATGAAAAAGTTCGTTGTCACCAGTAGTGATTTATAATGTGATTTTTCAAGGGTATTTCAGTTCCATACTTGGGGTTTAAAATAGACTAGGTGGCCATAGATTATTACTTCCTTTAGATGTTATGACAACACATAGTTTGTGGTAGCTAGCCTTTTGGTCAGCAGCAGCTGTTAACACGTCCTGTTAACACGTTCTGCATATGCTGCATTTGTTTCTCTGTTTCTTTTTAAGTTTTGAGTAAATGCAGAAATTCATATTGATTTTGGTTTTTTGAAGGGAGTTTCAAAACTATGCTATCTACAAACATTCTTTGTTCCCAAAATCTAGGAACTGGATGCCATTGAATCTCATGTAAAAATGTTTGAGAAGGATATTATGAAAATGAAGACAATCTTATCATCAGAAGATCTGTTGGAACTTTCTCCTAAAGACCAACTTAAACATGGACAGGTCTGTGAAAACTCCTATGTACGCTTTTTCCACCAAAAGCCTGTTTTGTGAATGCATACTACAATGAATAAATTTTTAGTGTATGACTTTGAAATGTCAGTATTACACATATTCCAACTCTCAGGTCAATGATAGTTATTACAAACATTATTTCAGCTACACATTTACAGTAACAGGTAATGAAATCCAAAAGGAGCACATTGGTTGGGCAAAATACTTCAGGGAACCTGATGTCTGTGCTGTATTTGTCTTTTAGGAGATAACTCAGGACCAGACTCGTGCTTGTTCAGGATGCTGGAAATCTATTAGTTATCAAAGGTTTTTAGATATTCTTCTGGAAAGTCTTCAGCTTTAGTTTCATCTGAAGGGAATAGAATTTACATATACCTAGACAAGTGTGCAAAATGAACTCTAAAATGAGGCTGTTGGGATATCCCTTCAAGAAGCACAGTCCTGGACTAACATTTGAAACTAAAGCACAGTTGATAACAACATACCGGTAGACAGCCAAGTGTGTAACTATAGTACAAAAGTATTCCTGCTATATTTGACTCTTCCATTTTTGGGAGTGTTAGGACCTGGTACATTCAATAAATATTATTCCACTTATCATCAAACAGTAACTAATATGAGAGTCTGCAAATCAGGCCCTATTTTCCCAGAAATAGAGGAAAAATACAGCAGATACTTTTAGAAATACAGGCTGAAGGGACTCATCGCACACCTGCTTCAAGCATGCAGTGAAATCTTGCTGAGATGAGGTCTCTTGGCCAGACAGCTTTCTTTTCTATAAAACCTGAAATAAAACAAAGCTTTATGGTGTCTTTTCTATCAACTGCAATCCACATTGTCAGCTGACTGACATGCAAAAATTGTGGGTTTTGTTTTGGGGGAGGAATAAAAAATGTTGTCATACCGCTCACAGCTTTGTTATCCAGGAAGCAGTTCCCTAATGGCTACATTATGCAGAAAACCTAAAGTGATATTTCTTCTAGAAAATAATATTCACCCACTGCCTGATTTTAAGTGGAAGCCTGGGTAATATGCAAACAATAACAGAAAAATCCTGATGCAGACTGCTTGTGAATGAGAGAATAAACATCTCTGTTCCAGTTGTGGTTATTTACATGAAGTCTTTTTGTGGGGAAGTCTAACAAAACTGTTAGTAAGAAAAGGGCTCAGGGCTCTTATTTATTTATTTTTCCTTCTGAAGTTCTCAGATTTTAGATTTCTTCAGGATAACAAGGAACTTTTGAGTTGCTATTGGATTCTGTTCTTCCAAAGCTGATCACAGAGCTTTCTATGGAACCATGTATTTTGTATATTATGTAGTATGTAATTGCACATATTTCTGACATCCAGAACTGGCAAAGGTGATTGCAAAATGCATCCACTCAGAATGAAGGGTTATGAGAAGCTGTCTTTGATGGGAAACTCGGCTTCTGGTGTTTGTCCTTGTTTCTGTTTCTATTCATCACCATCTCAGCTGTGTTTCTCAGCAGTGATAGGAATGTTTGTAGGACCTTCAGTAGAAGGTCAGCTTTAACACAGAGCATCTTATGGGCGGTTAGCAGTGCAGAAAAGAAAAACCTGAGTTGGCTATAGTGAAAGCAAAAAGATTAGACCATTTTTTAAACTGTCTTTGTGACCAAGATTCAGTACTTTAAAATCACATGCACTAAGATAAGTAACTACTCTGAATATGACCCTTTTATCACTGTGCAACACTCATGTATTTATATGCAGACAAAGCAGAACTGTAAATGCAGATTGTATCTTCCTCTTTCTTTAAAGAGCATCACCATGGATCTTCATTTATTTGTTCTAAGAGTAAAAAAATTTTTCCTTCTTAAATAGAAAACTACTCTTGCACATCATGGGTGTAAATTTGATTTTTTTCACAATTCACTAAATCATTCATCATCTATCCTGTGTCCTAACAGGTTATACTTGACCATATTGGTCCTATGCAGAAGACCATTGTTCACATACAGTCCTATGAAGAAGACCTTCAGCTGCCAGGGGTGAAAAAACAACCTGTCTCAGTCTTCTTAAGAGCAAGGCAACTTTTGAGAGAATTGAAAAAAATAGAAAAAATTACTAAGGAACAAAATGAACTGCTGGAGGTAATTGATTTGCATTCATTGATGTTATTTAATTTCATAAGATATCACCTCGAATACCTTTATTTTACAGGCATGTAGTGCACCTACCTTGTTCTCTATGTAATGTTTTGGGGGATGTTCTAACTTTATGTGTGTGTGTAATTGCACATTACAACATGACACTGTAGATAGAAAACTGAAATGAGTTTCAGTTGGTGCATTATCTTTGCCAATTTGGTTTCCCAAGCCTACTGTAGTAAAGCAGAGTGATTTAGACCACGTAGTTTCTACTAAACATTTCAGAGCCCAGATGTACAGAGTACAGCTAAAATGTGAATCTCTGCCTTTTGTTTTCAGATTGAGAAATTAAGGCATGGAAAGGATATCGCTCTTGTCAGGCTGAATCAGCACAGATTGAAGGGAAAGTCCCATCTCAGTAATTTGATCTGCTTTTACAATAAGGCCAACCACTTAGTGGACAAAGGAAAGGCAGCGGATGTAATCTTTCCAGGTTTTAGTAAGACCTTTGTTACTATTCCTCACAGTATCCTTCTGGACAAATTGTCCAGTTGTGAGGTAACAGGTTCATGCTACACTGGGTGACAAGCTGGCAGAACTGCAGAGCTCAAATAATTGTTGTGACTGGGGCTTCTAGTGGCCAGTCATTAGTGGTCTTCCCCAGGGCTTAATCCTAGGACCACTCCTCTTTAACGTTTTTATCAATGATCTGGGTGGAGGAGTTGAATGCATCCTTAGCAGGTTTGATGATAGTAAATAGGGAGGTGCTGTTGACTCCATGGAGAGTTCAGAGGCTTTGCGAAGCAATCTGGATAGTTTGGAGCATTGAATGGTTTGCAACAGCATGGTAAAAGAGGTGATTCTCCCATTATACTTTGCGTTGGTGTGTTCTAACCCTCAATATTGCTTGTAGTTGTGAGTCCCCAGTATAAAAGCAATATTAAGACATTTGAAGGTATCCGGAGGAGGGCAACAAAGCTGGTAAAAGTTTTGAAAGGCACATCCAACGAGGGGCTGTGAGGGTGCCAAGTGAAGACCTCATTGTTCTCTGCAGCTTCCTGAAGAGGGGAAGTGCAAAATGAGATGCTGTGCTCTACTCCCTGGTCTCCAGTGACAGGACGAGTGGAAGTGCCACAAAACTGTGCCAGGGAATGCTGGGAAAAGTACCTTTATCACAAGAGTGGTCCAACATTGGAACGGGCTTCTTTGAAAGGCGATTGATGCTCCGTTCCTGTCAGCGTTAGAGATGTTTGGATAATGTTCTTGATAGTACGCTTTAACTTTTGTTTGACTGCACAGTGGCCAGCCAGTTGGACTAGATTGTCTCAGTAGGCCCCTTCCTCCTGTTCTTTTCAGTTTTAAAAGCACCAAGAGACAAACCCAAGCATGCTACAGATGTGCATGCCTGGAGTTGAAAAGAGACAGAGATCTGTATGATCCCTAATGTCTTGGGGTTTTAGTCTTCATACCTTCTTAGGTCTGAATAATTGATATGGTAAAGCACACATATTTCAGATAAAAAGTTACCAGATTAAGTATTCAATAATTTTTAGAATACTTTTATCCCTTGGAATCCTGGTGCATTGCCATTACTGAGTGTTACCATGAGACTTCTAACTCCTTTATGAAGAGCATTGGACTATAGGTCAAGGTTTAGATTTTTTACCTTTTTGAAGCAGCTGTAATCTTTATTTTTGCTCAGCATTTGCCTTTATTTTATGGACTTCCAAAAATTTGTAGCTGAGTAAAATTTCTTTGTGAGAAAACAGGTTGGAAAAATGAGTTCTTTGCTGCAGTGATATCCAGCTGTGCAAAAAAGACTTTCCCATTCTATTGAGTGGGTTGAAAGTATAATTCTGTCGCCACCTAAGAGATTACAAAGGATACAGCTATTAAAGGATGGCATTTTTCAGTGCTGCATTAGAAGAATAGAAGGTATTCTAATAGACAGAAGGCCACACTGGAGACAGGCTGCCTTTGCAGATACATACTTTATTTTTTTCCCTGCTTTGTGAATTAGTTTGACATTTTAGTGCTTGGATGTGGTTGCACATATTTGCTATCTATACTGTAATACTAGGAACTTCTGTATAATTAAGTTTCAGTTTAACACCTGAAAAAGTCTGACAGAAACAAAACCTTAGTAGATACTGCAGATGCTTCAGGGTAGGGTTTTAGGAGACTTAATGTGTGTTGCCCTTTGTGCTTCTCGTATAGCCTGTTGAGAGCCACACCTATTGCTACCTAAACAGTGTCATCAGGAAGAGGAGCTGGAAGCCACAATGTTTTACCAACTCTCTGTGCAAAGGAGTGGCAGTATTTGCATATTTGATGATGTACTGTTGACATTTTTTTAGTACCTGCCTTCACACTCCTGGCTGCAGGGCCTATTCCACGAATAGGTCTTCTAGTTGCTAAGAAAAGCAAAATTTAAGAATGAAGTAAAGAGAGACGCATTACTTCTTGGTACAGATTCAGTACCACAAATAGGACATAATGTGTGTTCTTTTGAGAAAAGGATAAAATAAGATTTTCTGCTCCTTGATGGGCGATAGGGAATGGATGAGTGATCTGCAGGAAAGTGACTGCATTCATGTATTGGTCTGATAGTGGAAATTGGAGTCTAAATACAGAGTATTCTTTAGTTAGTCAGGTAAAATTGAGATACTACTGAACAGTTAAGAGAATTTGAGAGTGTAGGTATGGGTAAGACTCTCTCTTTTGGAAGTACTTTTAGTTTCTTATTTAAGCTGAGCAGCAGAATAACTACTTTTCTTCCCCTTGTCTTAATGTATGTCATTAAGATTACAGACTGCACTTAGATATCTTTCTTTCCAAATTGGCTTTTTTTTTTTTTCAGTGGGAAAAACACTTTTTGCCTTTTGAAACTTGTAACTTAAAAACTAATAATGCAAAACTTTACTAACATGTGGGAGTGATTGCTATTGGGAAGAAGTGAATGAACAAAGTAACATTATTGTTCATAGATAGAGATTCTTTGCTCTGAAAGGCAGAGCCTGTGAGTGCTTTGCAGACAAGTTATCTCCTCCCAGGCTGCTCACATGTTGCTGTCAGCAAAGTAAGTTTAAGTCTGCTGTCTACAGAGTTGAATTTTCTTCGCTATCTTTTGCAGCCGCCTGAGGAAGAGTCTGTTGATACTCTCTGATTCTCAGCCCACATGCTGAGGAACAAAGCTACAAAATGTTTTGCAAAGTGAAAGTTTTCACAAGATATTATTATTTGTATATGTAACAGTTTCTTAGTTACCTGAGACATTGTGATAAGCTGTGGCAGGCAAACATTAGCAATGAATGTGGGGAGACTGCAGACTTCTGCATGGAGTGCTAATTGATGAGATTTTGCTGTTACTATCAAATGAATAAAAGTGAATTTGGCTGTTGATGACATATAATAGGCTTTCTCCATAAGTCATGCAAGAAGAGGAAGCTCACACAAGGTGGAAATATTTATTTGATAGAAACTATTCAAATTGTTAGAAACTGTGGTTGGCTTATCTTCTGAGCTGCAGTTTCTGCCTGGACAGCACAGTTCATTTCTGGCTGGTGCAGAGCTAGCTGGCAATAACAACCTGAACACTAATTAAAACAGGTAGGCTTTCTAACTTGATATGAAACCAGCCAACCCTGTAATTTCTCTTTATTTTCAACTTCTCATAAATTGTGGTAAATGTGATTAAATATGTTCCACTTTGCATTTTAAAATTCATAGTCCTTCTCTAGAGTAGGCAATGATATGCTTCCAGGCAGAACTCTGAACGTGGTGAAGATGGAGTTCTGCAGGGTTAGCAGAGCTAGCACAGCTTCTTTTACATCCAACTACAGAAGGAAAAGAGGTTTGAGCACTCTTTGGTGCAATTTGCATTACTGACCAGTTTGTTTATGTCCTAGTTAATACAAAATTATTTCAAGAGTTACTGTTTCACAGGAAGCTGTGAAGAAAACAGAAGAATGTGAGCAAGAGATTGAAAAGCTGAAACAATTCCTAAAGAATCACTTGGCTGAAAAATCACATGAATATCAGCCACGCACTCAGAAGGCTTCTTGTCCAGAGGTGGGTTTCATGTCATGCCCTAAATTTATGATAACATGTAGCACTGATGAATAGTAGTGTGCTTTTGCTCTCTGCTCCAGTCAAGCAGGCAATTGAACACTGTGGTGTGACTGTAGGTACATGAGTTTTGCTGTATACCAAGAGATATTATAATCAGTACTAGTTTCAAGTTGGGCATATGTTTGATGTCACTGGTTTTGATGTGCTATGTACCTGAATCAACTTCCAGTGAAAATTAAGTGCTGTTTTCAGCTGTTGTGGTGAAACAGTATGCAGCACTGATTGCTTGCCTGCGCTCATCATCCTGCTACATGTTAACTGGGGTAGCACCTTGGGATAGTGCATAAAGAGAGCACTGTGTCCCCTTTCTGATCATTGCAATGTTACTTTTGGTGATTCTGGTTAGGGTTTGATCTTCTAGGTCCCTTTCCTCGTCCTAGCTAACATGCTGTGTGTTCATCAGCTGGTGACAGGTGCTGTTTTTTGCCAGCAGTTGGGTCCTTTCTGTAATAGATGAATTGCTTATTTGATGCAAAAGTAAGAAGTGTTTCAAAGACAGCACTGCAGAAGTCGGGAAATGACTAATTAAGTTTAATGAGTATTTTTATAAAGTGCCTCTAAGAAGCTCAGCTTTTTGTAGTCAGCAGCAATACAGTTAATAAACATACATCATACTTAATAACTATAATCTCTCAGTTGTTTCCTAAATACATAGTTGCTCTGCTTTCAGGTGATTGGATGTTGGATGCTAGTACTAAGCATGACTCGTTTCCTGGCTCTTGTTTTTGTCTTTGAGCATAAGACTTTCTGTTTAATATCTCTTGTTTTAGAAGGTATGTTTCACAGTTGTAGCATTTCATTGATAGATGTGGCACTGGAATTGCCCATCTTATTGATGGGCTTCAAATGAGGAAGTTGTGTCAGTAAAGATTTGGTTTCTTGCCTAGTTAAGTTGGCAAAGCAGTAGCTGATATTTGTGCTATAAAGTCTGCTCCTGCTGTAAAACAAATACGAATATTATTCCTAGCAAACATTTATAAACATATGGGAAATTGGCAAATTCTTTTCCTGCCTTCACCCTCCTAGTCATGCAGCTACAGTAGCATTGTTTATGGAGGAAGCTGTAGTCGAGACAAAAACCAGCAGTCTTACTGCTTTGCTCTGTCACAGATTACTTGCATAGCGTTATTCAGACCATGATAGAGCAGCCTCTGGAATCAGTGTCTTTATTATTTTAAGCCTAGGATCAAAGCTTCCTCTGATGGACAGATCCCATTCTGCAGTGGGGTATTTAGCTGATTTTTAGTTTTCTAATCAAGCCATAGTACTTCAAAGAGCTTTAGCACTGCCAGTAATGAAGGGAGTGAGGTATTTTATTGCTTACCCATCTTGGTCTGTTACTGCTTCTGCTCTCTTTGCTCACCTGGAAAACAAGTGGTGAGGAAAGACCCCTAGAAAAGGGCTTTGAAGGCAGAACACTGACTAGAGTAACAGTTATGAACAAGGAGGAAAGCCAGACAGATTTGTTTCCCTTTTGTTAACGCAGGGTTATCTGGGTTACTGTTTAGACCCCGCAGAACATTAAACATGTTCCTTGTACTTTCTGAAGGACCATATCTCCCAGTGTCATATTCTAAGACGTGGGATAATTCTTGTCCCTAGCTGTGTTACTGAAACCCTCCATTTTTTATTTTTATTTTTTTTGTTTGCTTCTGTTAACTCTATTTATGCAAGGAAGACTCAGCCCTGAATTACCCCTAGCTGTTTTTGCCTTCATCTAGGCTACCCGAGTTGTTCTGTGTCAGGTTTCCAGAAAAGGTGGTTGAAAGTAACATCATCTGCTTTGACTCACAGAGTAATGTAACTCAGCTACGTTCCCTCTGTCCTGAGGGAAACTCATATTCCCCTGGCTATGCAAGACCTAGTTTGATTCATTTATCCAGCCTTCCACATTTCCTTCCAGACTACCAACTGCAGCCGTACAGGTGGCAAGCGCCGTCCTGAATAGAGTCTGCTGCTATTGTTTTGCATGTTTCAGGACATTTCCTGCACTGACAATGGGGAACTGTCCCAAAGCTATGAAAAAGGGAAGAGGGCAAATAGACCCATTCTCAGTAAGATGCAAGGTGTCATTTGTTACTTTACCTCTTGTTTAACTAAGAAAAACGCGTACTTACAGATGTTGTTGCTCCTTAGGGAGAAATGGAAGCTATAAAAGAAGAAATCATCAAGCTATGCCAAAGAAAGGAAGACATCCTTACCGGGATGAAGAATTCAATGTCTGAGCTTCACCAGCGCTTACAGGAAGAAGTGCCTGAACCAGGAGATGAGCCCACAGCCTCTGTGTTTGCACAAACTGACTCCATAGGGACTGATGTTTCCGATGTGCAGGTGAGTGGAGCACCGTTTTGGGATCACTTGCCCAGGAGGTGAAGAAGGAAAGTATAAAGCCCTTCTTTATCCAGAAGGAGTGGCTTTTGAGAGAGGAGCATCCCTGCAGCTGTGAAGCAAAGTTACTTCTCTCCTTTTAAATGGTCCGAGGAAGACTGGGTATGATACCTGGCTAGGAGAAGGCAGGAAGGAGGTGTGCCTCAGGTTATTTTTTTGCATGAGCTGTTTTAACATGGAGTTTACACTAAGTGATCAGCAGCAAAATGTTAAATGCACGTGTTTACTGGTAATGATCAGTCGTTGAGGATTTTTCAGTAAATTCAGCAAAATAAAATTTGTCCCAATTACATCTGTGATGTTGAAACACTACAAAATATTGAACACTCCCAGTTTTTAGAGGTGTTTAGGAGCTGTAGCTGTTATTAATTAATAACTTATCGCTTTACTTAATTGCTTATAAATTGCTTTAATGTCTGGTGTCAAATGCTTGGTGCTTGTCCAAAAGTGGTCCCCACGTGGTAATTTTCTTTTAGTGTACAGGCAAGAGGGCAGAGGCTTTTGCTGTTTAACATGAGTAATTGAACTGTCTCTTTTGTGTATTTTGTAGCTGAAGAAGAGAGGACTGATGTCCCTTCTGCCCTGTTTAGATGAAGAGTCAGAAGATGCTTTTCACAGCAAGGTAAGTTCAGTATATGTCTTACATATACAGATATATATATGAGATAAACTGGTTTGTTACAGATTATAAAAAAGTGTAGATATGAAATAATTTAGAGTAAAATGAAGCCCAGTTTGTTACACCAAGAAAAAGTATGAAGAAACTGAGCTTGAATCAATGTCAGTATTACACAGTAACTCATTCTGTGATGTGTGGTCCTACTTTTGATGGAATTACTTATGCAGTAACACCTTTATGCATGTGTTAGCAGCAAATATGAGCCTAAAAAACAAGGTTTAAAAGTGGATTTTCTTTCAGACAAAATCAGATAGCCTCTGGAGAAATGCAGGTTAGATGGTAGCCTGTGGGTAACCCACTCTTTTTTGGTGCAGTTTTCTTTACATACTGGACTTGGGGGTTATTTTGTTTTTAGCAGACAGGAAAAGAGAGAGAGTGATTTGGTGTAAGCTTTGTGGGTTTTTGTTGTTTATTTGTTCGGGGATAGCATGAAAAAGAAGAGGATACTCTTGAGGTCTCTGGAGTGTCATCCAGCTATTGTTCATCTGGCAGAGCCATTAAGCAAGGGAGGAGGTGAGATTTGGGAAACATAAGGTAGATAAGCAAGGCAGAAAGAACTAAGTGTTAGTAAAGGTTTGCAGTAATTTACATTGCCTGAAGGGATGCTTGAGCTTCATGTTCACAAGCTAATGCTGAGTTGCTATTACTTTCAAAGGGAAGTACAGTCATGGAGATAGATGTGAGCTTCTGGCCCTCATTAAAATACAAGGAAAAGTGTAAGGAGGACAGTGCAACCTCTTGGTCTTCTGGAACCTTGTCAGATGGTGGTGCACAGGTAATTAACTCAGATTTATTTCAACAGGGCAGGAACTCATCTTTGTGGAAAGTGTTTGCAGAAGTCGTAGGTAATGCTGAAGGCTTTGAAGTAAGAGAACTGTAGAAATGCAGGGCAGTAGCATTATTAAGTTGCTCTGTCTTCCACATCACTCTGAATTTTTTCATTTTAAGTATTCTTTCCTGTTCTACAAGCCCGAAGACAGAAAGGTGCATTTGTTAGGAGTGATTCATTTCATTAACTCCTGGGGAGGCAATAAAATGTACAGTTTGTTAGGAGATTATCTGTGGAAGAGATTCACTTTGTCAACAAGATCAACATCTGATATTCCTGACCAGCTACAGTTTTGGTGGTGTTTTGCTACGTTCTTCACAGTGTCTTGACATTATCTGATGTGTTAGCTACAGTTGCTGCTTCCATGTATCTATGTTAAAAGCATAAGAGAACTCATCTCCATGAATGTGCTTGGTCCAGGACTGCTATGCATTGGAGAGCTGCTACTTTTTGAGGTCTCTCAAGCACAACAAGGCAATAATGATCTAAATATTTCCACTGTTTTCTCTTTCTCTACAGGATGCTGCTGAGATAGTACGATCATGCAATAAAGACAATGAGGAATCATCTTTGCAAACTCCACAGAGGACAGAAAGCCCTGGCACAGGTCATGAAAGTCAGACCGTGGTGAGTTTGCAAATCTGAAGTAGGCTGAACGAGGTGACCTTCTGTATAACCCAGCTACTGGTAATGATAATGGTACTGGAGTTTGTGGAAAGATTAGTGATATGGTAGGATACCTACAACCCTTAATGGGCTTCTTCAGATTGCTCCTTTGAGTGAAAAAGGTTATGTTCTGATCTCCTTGAAAATTAAGTTTTCTAGGAAATAAGATGGAGTATTGTCAGGAAAAAAGATGCTGGTATTCATAAAGGTGTGAATGGGAGGATTAAGGTGATAAAATCTGCATCAGTTATTGGATTTTGAAGTGGCAGTTAAAGGAGAAATGAATAAGAATAACCCTCCCATACTTTGCTGCTTTGTGGAAAACATGTGCTAGCTTATAGAGGAATGGGCAGCAGCCTATAGGTTACACGCAGAAGAGCGTATGGAATGGTCTTGAATAGTCCACCAAGGCCAGGAGCAAAAGACTGGTAGCAGAGCAGCCTCAGCTCTAGCTCTTAAATTCTAGCAGCATGGAAGAAGCTAGAATCCATCATTGCCTGAAGCAGGAGCACGCTCTCAAGTCACTTTGTCTCTCAGTGCTCCTTGACTCCTTATATCATGCATGACTTTCAATATATATAGTTCAATAATGAAAAAAAAGGCGTCGGGAGAATTTGACGTGCCCTTTTTTAGTTTCTCATTCCTGTGCAGGAAAATAATACATAGCTAAATGTTAGAACTTAGTCAGCAGCTTTTAATTGCATACTAATATTATAAACAATAGCATTCTGCCTTGTATGAGTGCGTGTATCATATATGGCCTGTCTGTACACGTGGTCTCTGTGTCCTTTTTCTTTGCTACTCTGCAACACTGTTGGCTTCTGCTCGTACAGGATGTTTGTGAGCTCCTTTTGCAAGCAAAGGAGGTGAAGTCACTCCAGTCTCCAAGCATAGAAAGTTGTTCAGCTGAGCTCTTGCTGGTTCTCTGTGTTGTACTGAGCTGAGATACTTACTGCACTGAGTAAATCTCAGTTGAGAGTAATTGACATTTAGACCCCTGTATAAGAGAGACTTCATCTCCAGGTCAGGCACCTAACAAGATAACATATACTGGTACTTCTGTGTGCCACTGTGTTTGTCAGCCTCCTGTCCTCAGGGGCACCCACAACCTGTTGAACCCAGCTATAGAAAAGCTCAGCAGAGCAGTGTTCAGAGGTGGACACAGCTGCTCTGTGTTGTTTGCACAGAATGTGGTAAGGCTATAAGCCACAGTCCTCCTCTGCTCCCACAGAGAAGGCTGTCCTTCCTCAATTCATGCCAGACAGCAAAAAAGCCTGCAATATTGCAAAATCTTTTCCATTTCAGAATTTTACTGCTCTGTCCATTTCCACGTGCTATATAACTCCTATTAGGAACTTTTTTATTTATTTTTTTTTTTTTCTTCTGCTAGGTGATTTACTTGAAAGATCAGTTGCTATTTGGAGGCAGGAAGGCATTTATTTTTAAAAATGCTATATTCATTTTTTTCCCTCGGAGATGTGTTGAAGTCTAGAGATCTGTGCCATTGATTATATTCATGTTCTCCATTCAGAACTTAAGTATACACTAACATTAATTTATTCCCACTATCTTGGTAGTTGTTAAATGATACGATTTCATTGCTCCTGGCATATTTTCCTTCCAAACTCAGTTCTAGTAGCCTACAATGTAACACAGAATTCAAAAACTTGTTTGAACTATTACTTGTCAGGTAAGTTTTGGTAACTGTCCACTCCATGTCCTCTATGATCTCAGTCTTAGAACACGAACTCTTAGAACACAAACTCATGATGTGTGTGTGAAGCTGAACGATGTTACACCTGTGCACAAAACTGGTTTGTTTTATTCAACTGATTTGGCTGCATATCTCAGTTTCTGTTTCTGTAAAGAAAGGGAATGAAGTTTCCTGAAGCAGTGTTATTTACCTGGGGAAGGGCAGAGCATGCCATAGATAAATGCTTCTGTATGCGTGTGTTCTGTTTAATACTTGGTTATTTTTTTGGCATTGTCAAAATACGTTTACTTTAGTGGACCAAAATGTTTCGCAATCTGATTGGATTAAAAAAAAAGTGTATATATGTATATATATATATGTAAATATATGTATTTTTTGCCCAAACTGGCAAAATATAATTAAATGATGAACAAGGACAAACTGGCTGAGAACTAAAGCCAAAAATTTCAAGTGGAAGTTGAAGTAAACTGGTACTTTCATATCTTCAATTGCATGTACATCAGCATACTTTCCTGTTTCAGAATTTTACGTTCAGACTATTTTCTATGTTTAATGACACTGCTGAAAGGTATCTGAGAGGGAAATCAGAAGAGTAATGATCAAAGTAAGACACTGATACCTGAACCAACGCATTTTGGCACCCTCATTTTAGCACAAGGCTAATGCACTGTGACTGGCCATCTCAGTGTGTGTGAATGCTCTGGAGCCGTGGGAGCGGTACAGGTGGTTTTCAGCAGAGGCGTTGTGCTTCATTTACTTATTAACTTCCTTTATTTGCATGTGCGTGGATATATACAGAGCTGTGCAGGCTTCTAAGCAACTGCTGGTATCTCCAAGCACTTTAGACTTCTCCTTATTACGGAAGTATGCAGTACTGCTTCTTAAAGCAAAGCAAGCGAGAGAAAAAAATTACACAAGATAGACTAAAAAATACACATTATTTTTCTGTGTGATGTAGAGCCTGAATAAAACGCATTTGGCTGTTGGAACCAAATGCTTAGAAGGAACTTCTAAATGATGCACAACAGCTTGCTTTACAGTTTTAAACTGCATGGCTCTTCCATCCAACTCCCACAGCAAAACATCTCTCCTCAGGGGAGAACTGGTTAATGGTGAGTCATCGTGCTTCCTGTGGCTCAGGTATACCTGTGCAGATGCAAATTGTGTCTGGAAACCTGTTGCACCAGATCCTAGATCGCCTGCCTGCAGAATTTCCCTTCCTTTTTCTTTTATCTTTAATTATTATATATATTTTTAAGAACTCTGAAGTCGGTGACAGAGTTGTTTTGGAGCCCTGTGAATGTGAAAGTTAAACATTTCTCACTGGTAAAGAGTGGGGAAAGAAAGGAGAAGAGAGAAAGAAAGGAAAAAGAAAGCAATAGGAAGATAACTGTGGGGTTTTTTTTCATGTGCTTTGCTTCAGAGTGTCACGCCGCCTCCTGTTCCCAACGCCACCCAGGGCTCTCGAGGGAAAGAGGGAGACGCAGAGGAAGCAGTGGATGCTGGTAGGCCCGAGCCGGAAACAATCCTCCAGGCGTGCAAGGCCCAGGTCGCTGAGCTGGAACAATGGCTAGACAAAACTAAGGTGTCCCTGGGCTCAGACCCCCAGACCCCCAAAATGCAGCAGATGGTGGAACTGCAGCTTGGTGATTTCCAGGTAAGAGGGAGCAGCCTGTGTGCTGCTGGCCATCCATGAGCGACCCTTCCCGGGGGTTTGTGAACACAGGAAAGCTACAGTTACTGCTTCTCCTCTCCCTGCTTATTCAGCTTCATTGCCTTGGCAGACAGCCGGTAGCTCGGCTTTGGTTTCAGGTGCAGCTTTCCTAGGGCTCAGTTAATAGCTGTTTTTAGGGTGGTACACAGTGGGGCTGTTACACATGCAGGATTTAGTTTGGGGTCTGAATGTTTCTACAGCTTCTTTTTTTCTTTAGTTTATTTTTGAAAATATGGCTCAGCAAAGTCTGCATCCTCTCTTAAAGGGCAGCTTTCTGTTGGTCTCCGTCGGGATAATTCAGCAAGAATAAAGAATTTTTTTGTTTTGTTTGGATATTTTCACTTTTTTTTTTTTATATATATATATTTAGAGTGACTTAAAAGACCGGTGTAAAATTTGCTCCTAAACTGTATGTAAGTTCTTTTGCACTTCAGGACCCCACAGCTGCCAGTGAAGGGGGAAAGACAGATATTCATCCACTTGAGTAGCCTGTATTTGGTTGTACTGCTGTAGGTCTAGGATCTTCCATTTGGAAATGGATGGAAGACAACAGAGCTGACGTAAAGTACTGGGCTGGGTGGTAGTCCTGGCACAGCTTCCTTTCTCTGGCACACAGATTAAAAGAAAATGTGCAGGCATGCAGCTTTGGAGTTCCCCACAGTGCCAGGACGATATCCTCATCTGCTTGACTGCTGAACTCTGGGAATACATTTATGTAGCTGGCTGTATCTCAATCCCATTCAGGCTTTGTGTCAGTGTCGGCTTTGATAGGGCAGTCACAAGCAATAAAATCAAGCAGACTTCAGGCAACGCTCTGCCCTGTTGAGTTCCTGCCAGCTTTTAGCAGTCTGGCTCAATGTTAATACATGAACTTGACAGGACAGAGGAGCAGAAAAATATTTTTCTATCCTAATCAAGATCTATGCAGAAAAATATCCAAAGCACAAAACAGGAGTGGTCTCTGGATAGATAGATATGATGTAGAACAATTAATTTATTGCAGTTGATTACTTTGCAGTTGAGCTGTGGTTTCTGTCTCCACATTTAACTTTATAACATGAGTTTGAAGTAATGCAGAGATGTAATTCGATTCAGAACAATGTGAATCAGCAACCAAATCCCAACAGTTTCCAGTGGCCTGGCTTATGCGTGGTACCAGTACTGTGTTTTGGTAATTTAGGTTGGATGATTGTATGTTAGGAAGGATTCTTTGCAGATGGGAGGGGCTGCTCAGGGAGGTGGACTGCTGTCCTCAGCTCCACTTGGCCTTAGGATACACATGTCCCTCTATCACTATTGAAAGCCCAGGGGCATTTCAGATAAAATAGTTTCAGAGGTAGTTGTCACCTTAAACTGAGCTATAAGGTTGTAAATTTATTCGGCTGAGACAGGCTTCACCTTTTGCTGATTCTGTTGTGAAGCCAGTAGCTCCTTGCAGTGGGTGGAGAGTTAGACATAACTCCTTAACTCATCACAGCAAGATTTGTGTGAGGTTTACCAGTCAACACCAATGATCTGTCTCTATTTGGTGCCCAAAACTATTTTTAGAACTGATGACCTCCTTTTAAAGGCTGCCCTCCATACACTGGTGAAATTGTATTGTCACATGAGCAGAAATTCTGCCATGCTTCTGGTTGATGAGATTAGAAGGAGTGAAAACTGGCCTTATAGTGAGCATCAGGTCAAGAATTTCTTCCTCACTTATCACAGTTTTGCAGTTTTAGTAATGCCTCGGCCTCACGGTGAGGTCTGTTTAGCTCATACATCCACGGAACTTGACCCTTCCCAAGGGTGATGTAGTCAGTCTGTGCTCTGCCTTCTTCTCTGATGTGGTGTGTTGTCTTCTTAGTTATTCCAAATGAAGTCTACTGGTAATTTCTGCTTCTCTTTCTCGTTACTTAATGTCTGAGTTATACAACTTCCCACACAGAAGGTGTTCTGAAACAGTTTTGTCTTTAGCACTGTATTAAATGCACTTTATTGTTCATAGCAAAAAGAGGCTATTATAGAGAAAATCCAGGGAGCGTGAAGCTATTGCTAATTTTTCTTCTTTCTGTTCATTTTAGATAGGGTTAAGTATAAGCACTGTCTTAAGAATGTTATCAGGAAAGGAATATTGTACTTCTAAGAATGAATCATTGACTCCTGTCACTTCTAGGTGATGTTATCAGAGATTGAACAAAAGGTTCTTAGTTTACTGGAAGATGGTGGAAACAGTGCAGGCCACCAACAGGAGGCAGAGGAGCTTTCCTTGAAGCTGAAGGAAGCGAAGTGTAATTTGGAGAAAGTCCAGATGATGCTTCAGGATAAATACAGTGAAGAGCAGGTAAAGCATATGAATTCTGTGCCGAGGAAAAGTCAGAGTTCTGTAGTAGCACAAGAACAGTTAGAGCTTACCATGTGAAACAAGGAAAGGAGAAGAGTCAATCAGAAATGTCAGACTTGTTATTTTTCCAGTTTGCACTGCGGTATGATGATTTTTCATTTGCAGTAAGTAGTGGGGCTTCCAATGAGTCTTTGAGCTACATCTTTTCAGCTTGAAGTGCTCAGTGGCAGTAGTTGAGATTTTGTGAGGAATGCAGGAGAAGGACAGAAATGTTTGGTGATGTTTTTTGTCTGCTTTCTTTCAAAATACCATCATGTTTGTGATAGTATCACAGCAGACAGGCCTTAAAGCAGTAACTTTCTTCAAAGAACACCTAAGTGGCATGAGCAGCTTTCCGGTACCACAGCCCCCCAGCTAGACCTGGACAGAAACTGAACAGAAGTGTTCGCATGAGTACCAGCTGCTTTTGCACTGCTGATTTTGTTTACAAGTGTTCCAAAACAGCTTTGCTTTTGCTATTTCCCCAAACTGCACATGGAGATTTTGGCCTCTTGTCAAGTCTGGAAGCCTTCCCACAATGGGTCTCTCTTTACAGATTCCCAGCAGGGAGAGGAGTGACCCAGAGTCCCTCAAGATGTTGCACTCCAATAGCTCCAGCTTGCCCCAGCTTGGCCTCACTGAACAGCCTTTCCTCCAGCAAAATGGTTTCCAGCACCCACAGGTAATTCTTCTGCCTGTTTTATATCCACAGCACATGTAGGGGGCTGCTGTGTATATTAGCTGCTGCAGTTTTCACTGTGGGATCAAGTCTGCCAAGGGCAGGTACCTTATACACCTCTCCTAGAGGATTTGCGGAGTTAGAGAGGATGGAGAAAGGCCTCCAAGCCCTGGAAACTCTTTTTTGTCCAAAAGGTTTATGATCCTTACAAAATTGTATGGTACCCTTGTCTTTTATCACATTGATTCAGATGGCATCACCCACCCGATTTCATGTGTTTAAAGCACTGATGTATTTTTAAATCTGAAGCTGTATACTGAAACTGGTTTGGCAGTTTTGCATTTGGGCCAGAGGAATCCCAGTCATCCATACAGACTGGAAGGAAAGTCATTGAGAGCAGCCCTGCAGAGAAAGACCTGGGGGGTCTTGATGGATGAAAAGCTTAACATGAGCCAGCAGTGTGCTTTTGCAGCTCAGAAAGCAAATGGTATCCTGGCTCCAAGAAGAGGGGTGGCCAGCAGGAACAGGGAGGTGGTGTCCCTCTCTGCTTTGCTCCTGTGAGGCCCCATCTGGAGTACTGTGTCCAGGTCTGGAGCCCCCAGTACAAGAAAGACAGGGAGCTGTTGGAGAGGGTCCAGAGGAGGGCCACAAAGGTGGTCAGGGGACTGGAGCACCTCCCCTACGAAGATAGGCTGAGGGATCTGGGCTTGTTCAGCCTGGAGAAAAGAAGGCTGGGGGGTGACCTCATTGCAGCCTTTCAATACCTAAAGGGAGCCTACAAACAGGAGAGGAATCAACTCTTTGAAAGAGTTGATAACTGCAGGACAAGGGGAGATAGTTTTAAGTTGAGGGAGGGAAGATTTAGGTTGAATGTCAATGGGGAAGTTCTTTACAGAGAGAGTGGTGAGGTGCTGGAACAGCTGCCCAGAGAGGCTGTGATGCCCCGTCCCTGGAGGTGTTCGAGGCCAGATTGGATGGGGCCCTGGGCAGCCTGGTCTAGCATTAAATGTGGGGGTTGGTGGCCCTGTGGCAGGGGGTTTGGAGATTTGTGATCCTTGAGGTCCCTTCCAACCCTGGCCGTTCTGTGATTCTTTTGAAGATGGATTTGACTCAAAGGCTTTGTGAACATTCTCTCATGAACCAACTCGGAATGACTCCAAGGTCACTGTTAACATTGTAAGATATTCTATGAAACTCTGTGCTCTGTAAACTACTTCTGTTTTGCTAACTGGATATTCTGTAAAAATACATATTTATAGAAAATTGTTTGGTAACATCATATTTAGACATTACTTGCTTTTTTTCCTGATAGAGGCATTCTTAATTTTGCTTGCTAAATGGATTCATGCGAAATGCGATTGGAAAAGCACAATAATAATTTCAGAGCAATACTGCAAACACAATTGATTTTTATTGTTCATTCTGTTCTCTGTTCACAGGATCTGAAAGTAAAAGCAGCAGAGCAGAAGAGCCTCATTGACTTCATTGAGTCATGTGTGGAAAAAATGCAGCCACAGTTTGAGGATGGTGTGAAATCAGAACCCAGGTACAAAGCAATAAAATCACTCCCCACATTCAGTTATGTACAACTTCCCAAACCCACAGAAACTTTGCAGGAGCACTGCAAAGCACTACTGTGCTTGTAGAAGAAAAATTGCGGGAGCTGGGGGATTTCTACTATCAGCAGTCTGGGGAAACTGAGTGTCGTTTATGTGACAGCTTCCTTGATACTGGGCTGACTGGAATGCCCACAGTCAGTCTTGATGTCAGGCAGGACTGTTGCCTTCCATGAGCTGAAGCAGGCCAAGCAGAGGACAAGGTGGGTGTCTGTTCCCAGCCATGCATTTGGTTGCATTCTGTTTTGGGGACAGGTATAATAGAAACTAGTCTTACACCAGCAGTTTTACAAATCTAGTTTTGTTTTTTCTACTTTAGTATTTGACATTCTAATAATTTTTTCTTAATACAGCAATGGGGAATCTGATCCAAAAAGCAAGCAGGTTGATCCCACCTTAGCTCCAAAGGACCAAACGGGTAATAAATGGCAGTATTTACAGCAAGAGCTTTCCTCAAAGATGAAGTCTCCTCTCTGCCAGCTTGTGGAACCTCAGGTCCGTTTCAATTCAGTAAAGCACTCTTTGTGCAGCCTGTTGGTTTGAGTGAAGATAACTATTAGGATACCTTCCTTGAGTCATTATATCATGTCTCTTCTTCATCAGATAACTGAAATCTTTGCAAGTGCTCTCTAGAAGAAATTGTTACTGCATACTGCTTTTATGATTGTCTTTTAATTTTACTTTGAGGTAGATGACTCTGGAGCTATGACTATGAAGTAGTGTGGGAACATGTAGGTGAATTCTGGCAGTTAGCATTCAGAGCTGATGTTATCTGCTTAATTCTTTTAAGGAAATTAGGTGAGTTATCCAGCCAGCTCCCAGCTGATTTTTATGGATGTGGATTAAGTCTCAGTTCTTGCAAGTGAGAACATTTTGGTCAGAAGAAACTCTAGCTTGAATTTTCTTCTATGATTCACCATAGCGTTCTTGCATTCTCTCTGACGTATCAGAAGTGGTTTTACACTGCCATAAGAAAGTGCTATGCATTTATTCAGAGCAGACTGCAGAATTTTACTGCTTGGAAAAAGTGTTTTCTTTTGCTAGCAGTTTTGTTCACATTCAATTAGAATGACTAGATTTGTTCTCTGAAAGAAGAAGAGTACTGCATTAAATGGAAGAAAATTGGTCAAGTAAAAGGATGAATGACTGCTCATACTCACGTACTGCAGTGGGCAGCAAGCCTGCTTTAATACAGGCTACAGCCTGTAGCCCCTAAAAGAGGGAATCAGAGGCTCTTTTTTTCAGTCATGGTCTGATCAGGGCACAGCCTAACCAATTTATTCTTGACAGCAAAAAGGGAATGCTATCCTAGTGTTTTATATTAATAAGTTGACACTTCTATTTTAATGTTTTTTAAAAGGGATGTCATGTAGTTACCCATAGCCCAGACATCATTCGAGCTGTTCACATAACTGCAGCATTCTCTTTCTCAATGTCAGATTACAACAAAACTGAACATGCTGCCCCGGGGCGCGTTCCCAAATGCAGGAGCCTCAACCGTGGAAGAGCTGAAAACATACACTGTGCAGCTGGGAGACCTAAGCCAAGAAGCAAACGTGGTGCATGCACAGGTACAAATGGCATGTTTTAGCATTGCCAAAAACACCAGGAAATCAAGACACAATGCACTGTTTGGGCATTGAGAAACATAGACAGTAATCTCAGTATTGCAGACGGGGCTCATTGTAGTGTACCTTCTGCAACAGCTGGGGGGTATAATGTACATTCAGCTTAGGATTTTGAGGAGAAAGATTGCAAGTTTCAACCATGACACTTCTGCTACCTGAATCTAAAGACATGATAGTATGGATAAAGATTGTTCCAGATTGTTCCTCAGGCTCTGTTAAATGAGGACCCTGTAAATGACTTTAGTAAATATGCAATATATGAGCTGACGAGGCAAGTTCTGTTGTGCCTGTTCCTGAGTTTAGAAACCTGTGAAACTACATCTGCTCCTAATACACTGAAGGTCACTCTCAATTTTGGCCTGGACAGTTCTGAGTATTGCATGTATATAGCTGTCCCATCCAAGACTGTCCTTCAGTATTTCATGAACTGTGTTTTATTATTATTAGCTGACTAAACTTCTAACTTTATGCAAGCAAACAAATCTTAGGTGTGCCTTGGGTTAAAGTACTGAAAAATTCTGACTTGCCTTTACACAGGAGAATGTGGCAGAGGAAGTTTCTTCCAATTTGGACAAAAAACTATTTGAGCTACTTCTGGCAATCAGCCGGTGCTTGGATAATATGGAGGAGATGTTAAACACCTCAGTCCTCTCCACTGAAGAGGCAGCTGTGCAGCAGGTTCTTTATGAGGTAACTTTCCTAGAACATCCAGGGGAAGGAGGAACCATGGTGGATTTCTTTTGCAACAAGAATGTATATGGCCTGACATTTCCTCTCATTTTTGCTAGTATTACATGGGAGTAGCACAATCAAGTTATTTGGTGGCGCACAGATCTGGGCCTTTTACCCGTTAACAAACTGCCAGCTCATGTACCACTGCATTTTACAGGCAGGTCTCCTTTGACAGAGACCATTTTCACTCATGTTATCTTTTTTCCAACTCTTTAGACTCTTTCTGTTGAGCTGCAAAAACTTCACGCTGATCTGAGTGATAAAAAGGATGATCTTTTAAAGTCTATTACCTGTGCTGGTGGGAGCACAGATGTGTTCTGTGAGTGCTTTAACAACTTACAAGCATGGTTGGAACAGACTCAAGCTGCCACTGCTTCAAGGAGCAATTCAATGAAAGCTGGGCTGGATCATAATTCCAGTTATCAGGTACTGCACTGCCAAATGCACATCTTTTTTCACAGCATCTGTTAGACTTCTCAGTGTTAATGCATTCGGGTTACAAATGAGGCATCTATAATGGTCTTTTTTTTGGTACTGAACAAACTTGTCTTGGTCTCTCAAGAAGCAAATTTATTTTGCTTTTGCAGCGCTGTTTACAGAGCTGACTGCCTTAGAAGCCTTGATCACAGTAGAAAATTTGCATGCAAAGTATAGAAGTAACTCAGAATCCCATGTATGCTGATCTACAGGCTAAACCAAGTGTCTGTGGGGAAGGATTAGGCCAGGGAAGGCTTTGTGCATCCTTTCTTCCGCCTTGTGCATTCAGGAGTGATCAAAGTCAGTGCAGTGCCAAAAGCTCTGTTGTTCTCAGAATATATGTTATGAGACGCTGCTTTTTGGGTGCAGTGTCTGCTCTACAGCTATCTGGAGAGATTGGTTGGTTGGAGATTGGTTTAACCCTTGGTATTTACTGTTCCTTGAGATTTTGTGCCACAGTAACAGAAAGTGTGCCACAGTCTTGCAAAGTTATGTTTTCCTTTCTGAAAGAAAGAAGAACTTGGTCTTTAAAATACATTTTCTGATGTTCAGCAGAGCTGCAGTGGCTCATCATCAAGTCAGCTTATCTCTGTGCTGCTGAATAATAAAATAGTTCCTTTGAAGAACACAGTGACGTTGTCTCCAAACAATAACAGGGCTGATCCTGCTATGTTTACTCCTGCAGAATCCATTGAGCTCCATCAGTTGTCAGTAGTAGACTTATTCTGTCATTTTCAGAAGAGAAGAATTTGTTTCTCTCTAAGTTTCACAGATCTTTACAGTCACAGAAGATCATTGTGACAGAGAAATCTCATTTTTTTTATACACTGACAGGGAATTTCCCTCTCTAAGTTGTTCCTTTGAGCCCAGAATGTGTATGCTTTTTTGTGTGTTAGAATGAAAAAGTGCTTTTTCTGTAAGAGAGAGTTGTCTTGTTTGCTGTATTTTTGTCTGCTTGTTACTATACTCTTGTATGTGATATACTTCTGACGATTGCTACTTTTTCAGAATGAAACCAGGCTGCTTTATGATCAATTAACTGAGAAAAAAGCTACTTTGCAACAATGTTTGAACTCAATTCGTGGACATAATGTTTCTGAGCAGCTTCAGGTAATTCCATTTGCAGGAAAAGAAAAGCTAGTGTTGCCAGTTTTCTATGATTTACTGTTTTATATTTTCAAAAGTTTGAGTCTCACTTATGTTTTAAGAATGAGAGAAGGAGAGAGTTCAGTATTTATCACCCCTTTTTACCTACTCATCCCGGCCCGTAGTTGGACTTAATTCCAGTTCTTTTACTAACTGATGGGGAGGAACCAGTCTCTCCACAACCTTTTAGAACAAATACACCCCAAACTATGGCAGAGAAGAGAAAAAGCTACACAAAGTGAGGCACTCCACACATTATGCCTTCCTGATATTCAAAGCTCCACTTTTTCTTCATGGAAATAGGACTGCAGTATTTGTATCTGCTCATTCAAGAGGTAGAAGCACTTCATCATAGTGTGGCATTTGACCAGTTAAAGTTTTCTTCAACCTCTGCAGGGATTAGCAGAGAATTAGAAATGGACAGGCTGCATATCCTCCCCAGAATGCTCATCTACTTGCTGCTGGAGCAAAAAGGGGTTCCACAGACATTTTTGTTACGGGCTCATAGCCTTGTTTACAGGCTTATTTTCTGCCAGGCTGAAAGCCTTTTCACATCCCAAGCAGGGGCTGCTGCCTTGAGCATATTCTGTGAAGCAATCACTCTTAGAAAAAGAACATCAGCAGTACATAACTTCCCTTTGTTCAGAAAGAACTTGTCTCAATCCATCCCTGATTGAGCCTTTCCAATTCATGAGAAAATGGTATTTTCTCAGGCCAGATTCCTTCTAATAATGGCTGTTGAGTTAGTAAACTGAAACATGTTGAATGTCATACTGAGACACAAGCCTGTATTTCCTTCCATGCTGTGCCACGTGAACCCAGTAAGGTGTGCCATGAACGGTCTTGTCTGTTCATCTCATAAACTTATATTTTGTCTATAATTTCAGAAAACTGATGCCTGTGCTTTGGAACTGCAAAACTTTGAAAACCAAGTAGCAAAACTGAGAGGCTATGGGGAAAGATTCCAGTTACCTGTCACCTTAATCCAGGAAGCTTATAAATTAGAGGTAAGAACACAGTACAGTTTCTACTTATACAGCAAGGTTTGATTTTTCTCTGCAATGTTTTTTAAGCATCAAAAGGCTGATAGTTATTTTGCAGCCTGGGAATGTGCACTTGGATTTGTAGGATTCGTTTATGTATTTCATGAATCACTAAACTTTGTTCACGCTGCAGGATGTGTTGGATGACATGTGGGGGATTCTGAAAGCAAAATATGTGGAGCTGAATTCTCCTTCCATCAGTGAGAGCCAATATGAGGACTTACTTTGTGGGTTTGCAGAGCTAGTTGCTATTGGACAAGAGAAGATTGCACAAGATGCAAAGCAGCTGACAAAAAGCAGAGCAGCTCTTCAATCTCACCTGGAAAATCACAAGGTATGGGATTCTCTTCACAGCCCAGCTCCTGTCAGATGAGCACAGCCAGAAAACTGTTTAATGAGTTTTCTTTGAGTATCATAGGGAAATTATCTGATAGCATGCAAGAGGGACTAAAGTTCATGCAGAAAATAATGCAAAGCTTTTAATAATCCAAAATAGGACTCACTACAACAAGAAAGAGAAGTTATTACAACTGCAGTTTTGGTTGTATATTAAGATCAGGATTTCAGTTTTGCCAGTATATAATGTGCTGTGACTTACCTCAGAACATAATGATGTGTGAAGAAAACATGTCCTTCTAATTTTTTATAAGTAAATTCCTGAAGTTGCTGTCTAACAATTGAGAGCTGAGGCTTTGCTTCCAGCATTCTATGTCCTCGTGATCCGATGGAGGAAACTTAGTCATAACAGCTTTTTTTCTGAAGGGAGGGTACTTTAGATCCTCCTCTTGTCTGTCCACCGTTCCCTGTTCCCAGTGCAGTGTGTTTGATGGAAGATCCTGAGAATACACGTGCATCCCCATTGATTGTCCTGCTGCTTGATAAGAAGCCATGACCAATGCTAGTCACTGCAAAATATCTCTGTCATGTTAATGCCTTGATTTAGCTGCTCCATGTAGCTCAAACTCCCTATAGAATTGCTTCAGTGTGCCAAGCACTGCAGATCACTACTTTAGAGCCATAAGAACGATGTTTGTCACTTACTCACAAATTACCCTTAGCAAAGTAAAATGTTTGGAATGTATTTACAAAGGAAAACAAATACAGAATAGATTTACGTTCCAAACTTACACACGTTGATTTACAAAAGAAGAAGGAACTGCAAAACTAATTGTTCCTGCCCTGGCTATCGAGACTTATCAGAGTGCTCACACAGTCTAGGATACAGTCCTAAAGTGAAATCCTTGTACTAATATTAGTTCTTAGTGAAGAAGATCTTGATGGAAGTATAATGTTAAGTCCTTAAAACATTTTCAGGGAGGAGAGTATTTTGTTGAGATTCAGCTGTTTCCCAAGGGCTTGGCTGAGCTATAACTAAATCAATCTCTTTGTGTCCTTCCCACTTCTTAGCCCTTAAATCTGATCATGCTTGATGATTGGAGTTATCTCCCATCGAGGTTAGAGAAACTGAGCAATGGCTGTCTGGTGACAGCCAGATCCTCCCCTAACACTGAACTCAAGTATTGTTAAAACTCTTCCATTTTTGTCCTCCAATATCTTTGTATTTCATATGAACTGAAGGTGTAAATGTAGATGATTTTTCTTTATAAATGCATAAATGAAAACAGTATATGCAACTCATCACTGGTTCGTAGTCTGACTGCAGAATTATCAGTAACCCATCTAGGGCTGATGCAGCATTTGGGTAGAAGGCTGTTGATCTAGCTTTGATAGACTCTGAAAGCATCTGCTTTTCTCAGTGAGCCCTCTCTCTCTTCTGCATACTCTTGCCCCAGGTGCATGGTTTCTCTTACATGGCAAGATTTAATTTGTTTTTTTCTCAGGACTTTTTCCACAACCTCATGACTCACATGGCTTTCATGCAAGCATTTTCCAAGAAAGTGAATCCCTCTGTCCTGCAAAAGAGAGAGAAATTCTGGAGAGGGCTGGTGAATGAAGTCAGATTGCTGGAGCAGAAGGCCAGCCAGTATGGTATACACTTAGAGAAGTTGTTAAAGGTAATGAGCCAAGAGAAACCCCCGGTAAAAGCTGAAAGGAGAAGGAGAGGGTTCCTCCAGAAGCAACTATACCACAACAGTGATTCTTTCTCTAGTAGTTGTCCTTTCATATCTCTGTTGAATAGAAACTTGTTCTCTGTGTGGCAGTAAACTGTTTTTTTTCCTTGAAGCACCTTTGGAAGTGGGCATTTCGGTCTGTTATTGTGATGTGGGTGGGACTGCATGACTTCGTTGCAGTAATTTTGTAATGCCTGGTCTGACAGTAGAGCCATTGTAGTCATAAAATACTGGTACTATTTTAAAATTAAATACAAAGGTTGCTCTTAAAATCCCCCTAAGGAAGTAAAAGCATACCTCTTTCAAACTAAATATCTTGAAGATGTTCATTGAGTTATTTTATCTGTGTTAAAATCATGTCTCGCTTTAGTATTTTCATTTTGCTTAACTGCTTATGTGTTCTGTTTCATTAACACAAGGGCTGCTTGTGCTAGATTAAGCATTAAGTCTTTCATTAAGTAGTGAAAATGCCCATGTGTGTTACATTAATGATGTAATTTGTTTTTTAGGAATGGACTGAATTTGATGATGAATGTCTAGCATTCAATAAGGAGTTAGAGGCACTTTCTTCTATGCTGCCATCTGTGAATTTGGTTGAAGAAACAGAAGAAAGATTAATGGAAAGGATTGCACTTCTCCAGGTATTGATGTCTCTCTAACTAGTTTTGTTCTTGAATCTGTAAGGCTGTCAAAAGAAAAAAAAATTAGAGTATGAGGAGAAGCCAGTTTGCAGGGCACTATTGGTTTGTTTTAGTCTGTGTGGTTATGTACACTGGAAACTACTGTGTTACCTTTTGTCTCCCATCCTGATTCCTGTCTGACCAATGAAAATAAAATTCCTTTTGTAGAAAATGGCAAGTAGTCTGCTGGCTTGTTCCCAACTGCATGCCTGATGGCAGAGCTACACCTTTATTTAGAACATCAAGTCCAGCATAAAACATCTAAGCTGTTTGAAACATACAAATATAAGGATATAAAAGCAGCCTTTGTGGTTGCTTTATAAAAATGACAAGTAGAGTTCCATAAGCTCAGTGATGTGTCCTCCGAGAGAGATCTGCATTCCTCACAGGCTTGACCTTCCTATGTCTTCAGAGGACCTACTCTATTAGAAGTTTGGGAATTGGGTCTGTAGGGAGTCCAATTTTATATTTAGACCCATAGACTATGAAGTCAGAAAAGAATTACTGTGATTCAGTGTACCTGATTGTATAAAAGAGACAATGGGATGTTCTCTGAAAATTCTGAGCTATCTTTTGAGATAAATTCACAGTAGATACTGACAATCACAGTGGCCCTCTGGTGCTTTTGATGCCCATCACAGTGATATCAGAGATGCATTATATTTGCATAGGCAGTCATTGTGAAGTTGTTTGGTTTCATTTATTTCTTAAGAGTGAAGGGCTAGTTAAAAACTTAAATCTTCGTTTTCTTTAATGACATCAGAAACAAAGTAGTAAAATTTTGTAAGATGTTTCTGGGAGAGGTTCAAGCACTGGAGCTTCACAGTTTCAAGGACAAAGCAAAATAAAATTCTCTGGAACATAATTCCTGTTAGACAAATATCCCTATTAATATTAAATATTCTGTCTGGAGAGAAGTGAGAAACTTATGTATCATATAATTGCTCTTTTCTGCCTTCTCACCAGGACCAATCTCCTTCCCGGAATTTCTTCTTTTCCCTTTAATCATTTTGACCTTCCAATGAAGTGTCATTATGGCACAGTCATGCTTTGTTTTTATTCAGCTGTCTAGGCAAGCCCAACTGATCCTGTGTCTTTGTTTTATTATCTTCTGTTCACTCTCATTCCTCCTGGCCACCATCACTCAGCACTTATCCCAACAGCTTCATTCAAATGTCTGGTAACATTTTTCTAATAAGATAGACATGGAGGCCCTACTAAAAACAGGAAGGCAGTAATTTTCTGCTGGCGATGGTCATATGTTTATATGTGGCAGTCAGGTCTTACAGCTTCAGTTCATAGCCTGAAGTTTACACACAGTGAAGTACAGATTGCTTCAGAATGGAAAACAAAGTACATGACAGATTGAATGTAAGATTAAGATGTTAGAACAAATGATACATGTTTTGCTAGTCATGTTTTTGAGTTTTAAAATGTTAATTGTTTTACAAACTTGCCATATTCTAATAGCAAATCAAGAGCACTGTTGATGAGAAGCATGCCAGGCTGTACCAGATGGTGAAAGAAGGGAAGAAATTGCTGACTGCTGTGAGCTGTCCAGAAATAACAAGTCAGATCAGGAAGCTGGAAGAGCAATGGTTGTCCTTAACCAAAAAAGTTGGCAATGAACTACACAAACTTCAAACATTACTCAAACTCTTGATCAGGTGGGTTATAACTCAGAAGGCAATTGGAGATACCAGCTTGAAATAACTGATAGGCAATTATGAAATGATGTAGTGCCTTTTACTTAAAACCAGAAAAAAATAAAGCAGTGGTAATCAGAAAACTGACCCTTTATTACATAGCAGATCTTCTTGCACTTGCTTTGTTTCCCATTTACTTTTGTGGGAACAGTTTTGATTGCTGTCATTGTTAAGTCAGAGTACAAAGGTGAAAGTTGCATCGTGCTGCTGATCATGTATTTGAAGTGCTAACAGGTGCTGCAATCATGGTGACTAAAGTACTTTGACTCACATGAATGCAAGCTAGCCTTTATTCCCAAAGGCATAGTGCACAACTCCACATGTAAATGATCCCCCTTATAGACACTCAAGACCTGGTTGAAATGCTGCCTCAAGCTGGATTTCGAACCTCTCTGAAGGGGAAAGTCTCAAACATGCTCTGTGCTTTCACATGGCTCTAACCAAGTGTCAGTGTGTGAGAGGTGTCAGAATAGCACATGCCTCCTTACAGTATGGGCAATTTGGAAGGTGAGAAATACATCCTAGATTTAGATAGGAGACATATGTCTGTGTTTTGTTTCCTTCTTTTAGCTACAACAGAGACTCAGAGGAGTTAAGGAAATGGCTGGATTCTGCTGAGCAGAGAATGAAATTTTGGAAGGAGCAGTCTCTCAACGTGTCACAAGATCTTCCCACCATCAGGGATAACATCGACAGCTTGTTTGTAAGTCTGATCTCCTACCAGATTGAGGTGATACATTATGACTTCTAATGCAAGTGATCTTTTTGAGTGGTTTTTTGTATTTACCATAACCCAGAAGCTGCCAGCAAAATATGACACTGAAATGACAGCATGCCCCAGAGCTGCTCCATTACCTGAATGGAGAACATTGAGGATGGGAGGCCACAGAAAAACTTCCTTTAGATTGCTAGGCCAGCCTGTGTAAAATCAGAATGGGATCCTCTCATAGATAGCTCCCAGTTACAATATTTCACAATCCAGCCAAGATCTGTTATGCATTTATAGAATAATAATAGCATGGCTTCTCTCTTGCTCCTGATGCCAAATGCCAGATACAGCAGTTTAGCTCAGCTGATAGGCCTCTTACCAACTGAAGAGAACTCATGGAGCAGGAATGAAATCACTGAGACTGTGGGGTTGGTCAGCCAAAATCAGGAAAGAGAAAACCTGTAGAAAAGCATATTCTAAATTTCATGTCCTTGCATGCTCCCTGGTGCTGTACAACCAGCCAGGATTTTCTGCCTTGATGTGAAATCTGACAGAGCATTGCATTGTGGAGGTTGGATAGGTGGGTGTGAGCTGGACAGAGATTTGAGAGCTAGGGCTGCTCCCTTGACCTCTGTGTGATGTGGAGATGGGGATATTTCTAATCCCCATGGAGCAAGAGGTAGTATCCAGCATTATACCAGGATGGGCACAAGGCCTTACATATTGCCAGAACGTATTGAATTTAGATTTTCTGAACTTTACAGACTTGCTAGAATCCATTTAAGACAGTTCATCCAGTAACTGAAAACCTGGTTTGTCCTCTTTATCTAATTAAACATACAATTACCTTCTTTTAAAATTCTGTCATGCACCTCAGACATTCTCTAAGGAAGTTGATGACAAATCTTCCCTGAAGTCTTCTGTGGTGAGCACTGCCAACCAGCTCTTTCATGTGAAGCAGGCTGATACTGCAGGACTTAGGTCATCTTTGGCAAAGTTTGAGCAAAAATGGGGAGAACTGATTACACAGCTCCCAGCTATCCAAGAAAAGTTGCACCAGGTAAGGAGAAACTCTCCTGCTATGTCTCAGTTCGAGCTAAATAATTATTTTAAAATGCTACTGGGTTTCAGCTGGCTGCAGTATAAGGCCTGCAAAGCAACTCTCTCTTAATTAGCTGTCTGTCTTGCTTTCAGAATATCTCCAACATTATACTGCTGTTTAATTATTACAGTGTTTTGCACATATCATCATCTTTGTGCTTTTATATGACAGTCGGTTACAATTAGAAATAATTTTATTTCAAATTTCTGAGTTCTCTAGCGTGTTTTTTTTCAATTTAAGTCATATCTTCTCTGAATCTCAGAGCTCACTGTAAAATTCATAGCCCCATAATTGCAATTATAATGCCTGAGCCCTTCTAAAAATGCAAGATGTCATCTTCCTTGATATTTCAACAGGTGGAGTGTGGAGGATTAATTATATTTTTTACCCCCAGCTTCAAATGGAGAAACTTTCTTCGCGGGAAGCTATTGCTGAACTAATGACATGGCTGGACCATGTGGAACAACAGCAAGGACATGAAGAACCAATAAATGCACAAAGTAGTGTAGTTCAAGTCAGAAGTCTCCTTCAGAAGTACAAGGTAAATGGAAAACTGAAAGTCCAGGCTTAGCTTGTGACTGTTTTGCTGTCACAAGCATGGAAACAGCCTAAAGACACTTTTATATCCTCACCCTTGCTCTCAAACAGCCTCAAAGGTGCCTTCTGTTATGAAACCTTTTTGCTTCTCTGCCACGCAGAACACTGCCTGCCCTGCATACAGCTGCAGCCAGTTGTCCTGTAATCTCCTTCTTATGCAGTCTAGTCTGTCTCACTCATTCTCTTTCTCTGGCATTTACATTATAAGATGTGTTAAGCAGGAAAGCTTTGCTTCCTTACAGAGCTTTTCTCTCCATTTGTGCTGTACTTTAGTCCACCTCTTCACCAAGGTGTACCTCGTAATTTTGGAGCACTGTTGCAAGAACCCATTTAACTGGAGAACTTGGATTTTGAATATAATATTTTATCAAGAGAGAGGACCTGCTAAGAAAGAAGGAGCAGGTCTATGACCCTGCAGAGAGGCTGCAGCAGACTAATGACTGTTTAGATGCTAAAGCTCCAATAACAGAGGTTTATTGCTCCAGTCTCAGGAAGGGTTCACACCATTCTTGTACATCTGCAGATGTCAGGGAGCCCAACCTCAAGGCACAAATCCCTACATAGATCTATTTTTTCTCTGGCCTTGCAGGGCTACGAAGGGGTGCTCTGGGCTCAGGCAGGAGAATGTTTCCTAGCTTCTGGTGGCTGCTGTTCTCAGGTGCTTTGATACTGCCCACTATGTCACTGGAACTGATCAGATTAAAACTTCTGAGCTAATTGTTTTATGCTTTTGTTCCTTTTTGGTTGTTTGTTTTAATTCCTCCAGGAATATGTGATGGAAATGAACTTTAAGCAGTGGATGGTAGATTTTGTGAACCAATCGCTCTTGCAAATGAGCACTTGTGACGTGGAAAGCAAGCGGTATGAAAGGACAGAATTTGCTGAGTGTCTTGGCGAGGTGAACTTGCGGTGGCACAGGCTGCAGGCATCCCTGAACAGAAAGGTTTGATTGCATTTAATTGCTTTCTGTCCCACAACTCTGATCTTGGCAATACCAGTGCTCTGTATTTTGCAAACGCTCTTCCTACAAAAGCAGTACTGAACACAGATTTTTATATTTACAGTCAAAGTTCAATTTAGGAAAAAAAAAATACTGTGGTCTCAAATTTTGTCATGGAGGGGTCAGCCCTGTTTCTGCCCACCCCTAGGTTTGTGTAAATTAGAATGTTCTGTAACTTTTAGATACAAGACCTAGAACACCTTCTGGAAGATGCTACCGAAAACGAGAACAAAGCACAGACTTTATGCAACTGGCTGGAAGCACAGAGCGATCGAATGAGGTCTTTACAAACCCCAGCAAGTCTAATCTCTGCGCAGAACACATTAGATGATTGCAAGGTAAAATATTGTGTAAGTGGGATATTATTGTACAGAATGTACGTAACACTTCACTTAAAATATAAAATATACTGGAGGGTCAGAATGAGAGAAGACAGGGTACCTTTGGCTAAAATACTGCCCTATTCACAGCAAGTTACAGTGCTTGGGTGCAGGTGGCCAAAATGTTTCATTAAAATTATTTGCTCAAAAAAAACGAGATCAAAATTTGATGAAGTTTTAGGGACAGAAGGCTGGGGAAAGAAAGGTCATGACTTTAAGGTAGCTTTATAGGGAATTGTTGTGGCCCACTGTGTGTGTAAATATTTATAATTGTTGTGTAATGAACATCTGTATTAAGATGAAGTCTTTCTGCATCTGGAGAGCTACAAAGAGGCCCACATGGTGGCTGAGGAATTAGCTCTTGATGATCTCTTCCCAGATATGATGTCCATACTGACACTAAAGGTTCTGGTTCTACCTGCAGAAGACTGCCTAAGCAACTGCTGTCATTTTGAATTCCTACAGACAACTGTTGTGTATTGGGGCTAAAATGGTGGTGGTGCTGCATGGCCGAAGAAGACTGGTTTAAAAAGTAGAGTTTATCTAAGCTCTTTACACAGAAACGTTTTTCTATGTTGTCATTAATAGATCTTTTTTATCATTATTGTTACAGTTTTTACTTCCTTCTCTCTCTCTCGTTCCTCATTTAGGACCTAGAAAATCAGCTTGCAATTAAGTCCAAAATGCTGGATGAGCTGAAGCAGAGTATGTCTTTGAATGGTAGTACAGAACAAACCCCTGAGGCGTTGTCTTTCAGAATAGCCGACCTGTGTGAAATGAAGGACAGTGTTGTCAGCCAGGTAAATGATTTGATTGCATTTCAGAATTCCTCCAGCACATATGCTTTCCGCTGTTGTTATTAATTTTCTTTATGAAGTATCAGAAGCTGGTACAAAAAAACAAAAAACAAAACCAAAAAACCCACAGAGTGTTTTTAATCTTAACCTTTTAAGAACTTCCATTTCAGTCTGTCCCATACCAGAAATTAACCTGTTTCCAAAATTAAGAAAGAAAAAAGTCTGATGTCAAAACAGTTTGAATACGGGGGGGGAGGTACAGAAACCCGTCTGCAGTTTAAGAAAATAAAGAAATGGCATGGATATTTTTCTGTTATCTTATGCTTTCTTACTTGATCTGCTTCTCTAGTTTGTACTCTGGTCTTCTTTGTCTGGAATATGCTCCATTTGCACTGGAGCTTTTTTGCCTCCCAGCTGCCCTTTCCTCTTCGTGACTGGGTGGCTTCCACTGTCTTCAAACCCTACATAGTCCTCAGTTGCTTCAAGGAAAAACAGGCAGATTGGTTTTCCATACAAACTGACTCCAGGACAGTCTGCATACGTAGTTATATTAGCTTTAGACTTGAAACTGATCTTTCTTGCCTTGGTGTAATTGATAGATACAAAAGATCTAGTAATGGCTACAGCTAAGGGTTTTAATTTCTGATTATAAGTAGCCATATATACCTGAGGATTATGTGTGATCCAGCAATTCTGTTTATAGATAAGATTCCTTTATACTTTTTATTACAAGTGCTCTGATCTCATTCCTCAAAACTTTGTGAAACTTGAATCCTTTTACTTGAACTCTTCCATATGAGACGTCAGTCCAGGATGAGGTTGCACCTTCTTGCTTAATGTCTCAACTGAGGTTATGTGGTTGTTTCTCATCTAGAAAACAGATTTGTGGGTATGTGCATGATGAAAAAGGAAAGTTCTTCATTTTGGTGTGGAGCTGAGGTTTGAATTTGGCAGGATTAGCAGCATAGTGATTAGTGATTCTAATTAGAATCTGCAGGTCATGTTAATTTTAGTATTTTATTACTTAAGTGTGGAACTTAGAAACTGCAGCTTGTTACATCCTAGTTGTTTGCACGAGCAATGAAACTCAAAGCAGTCTTCTTCCTGTGTACGACTGGCCTCAGCAGGAGCCTGGCTGTGACTTCAAATACATGGCTAAGGAGATGTAGTACCTCGCTTGTACTATCCATAGTTTGATCTTGAGACTGTGAATCCGAGGCCCAGAGACATTTCATGAGTATAATGTCTTTCTGTCTTTGTGTGGGTGGTGATTTGCTGCAGGCTACAAAAAGCAATTAGAGATTCTTCCCACCTACACCATGATTCAAATGAGAATAATGTTGATTAATCCATTTACTCCTGTGTGCCTGGAACTGTGATACTGTGCTATGGTGATTCACGCAGTCTATTTAGTACTCACTATGGTTTGGAAAAGCTTTCATCTTCCATTAAGTGGATGCATAGCTGGAACTGAAATCTGTCACCTGAACAGGTTCCATGGAAACATGCTTTTTGCCTTGCCCAGTTTGCCAAAGCATCTGGTACTGGCATGAGTGAAAGCAGATACTGAATTAGAATTAATGTTTCATCTAACCCAGGACATACACTGTGTTCTTACCTGATACTGAAGGGTAAAAATGGTAAGTCACACTGAAGGAGTGTGGAAACTTGCTTGCCCCAGGGCAACAAGATTGCGATAATGAAAGAAGCAAAGAGAAAATGAGAAGGAAATCTCTCATTTGACTGCGTGAGAGAATCCCATAGTTCCTAGACAGTAGTTTTGGCAGGCTGTGTTGTTAAGAGATTGTAACACAAGTGGTTTGTTTGTAGGTTGCACAGCTGAAAACCTCAATGCAGTCAATACTGGAGCAATGGAAAGTATATGATGACATTTATGCGGAAGTCAGCCTGCTGATGACAAGATATTTGTACTGCATAGACCAGTGCAAGCCCTCTGTGCCATCACTGGAAGCTTTTCAAAAACAGGTCAAAACTCTCCAGGTAAATCTGCTGACATAGCCTTAATTCTGTGCTTACTTCTGTGCCTTCAAACAAACTTCACTGAGAAAGAGCCACACATTTTTCTCTCAAGCAGCTTCCTTTTTACTGTAGTGCCTCAGAAGTCAGTGGATTTTTTTTTTTTTTACTTATTTATTCTTTTCTCACCAGAGACACTGATTCTTGTTTCTAGATTTCTCACTTTAAACTTCACATTCACTGAGGAAATGAAAGATGTTGGCTCTTGGCTCATTGGCTGAAATGGAATTTACCCTTTCACTTGCATTTCCCAGGGAGATGACCTGCCACCACGCTTCAGCTAGAGGAGATACAGTGCACCAGGGGTGTGAGAGAAAGTTGGGCAAGGAACCATGTCTCTAGATTTGTGGGTTGTCCTGCTGCTGTTATAGAGTTCTTACAGTGGGCATTCTGACTGGCCTTGGGTCTGACTGCTTTAAAAAGATATGGCTAAAATCTTCTTACCTGTCTTTACACTTGTGTCAGAGTACCTCTTTTGGCTCATCTTCAAGTTACATCAGCAGTGGTACAGGTCAGACCGAGATGGTAAATCCTGGGCACATCTCAGCAATAAAGTTTGCTTAAACATTTCCACTCTCATCTAGGAACAAATAATAAATAAGAGGAACTGGGGACCTTCTTACCTCTTTCCTTACATCACCTTATTCATCTTTAATCTGGACCATTTCCTAATGTGATCCATGGCAGGGTTCTGCAATCTCCTGTGTCAGGAGGAGAGGAATACAGTGGAGATGGAGACATGAGTTACTGAGCCAACTTTACCACTAATAGAAATTTCCATGGAACAGCAGCCAAAAACAAGACATTCTGATTCCTAGTGCATTAATTTTGTAACTTCAAAGCAATGGGTTTTCACTTCAGTTTAAAATAAGCTGACTGAAGAATTTTTTCACTTTGACCTCTTCTCTTTTAATTTCTTAATTTTTAGGATCACACATTACATTCTTTGCAAACTTTCTGATCTGTGCTGCAGGTGTGTAGCATTATTGCTACTGTATCCCTTCTGATCTATGGTGGAAGCTATGCATATGTCACTGATCTTCACAACTCATTTAAATAATCCGTTTTGCAGTCTCTTCAGGATGAGTTGGAGAACAGTGAAGAAAGTTGGGCCAAGCTCCAGGCAGCTGCCAATAATCTGAAGAAGAACTGCTCCCCCTCCTTTGCAGAGATTATCGATCAGAAGTGCACAGAGGCACATACCAGGTATGCTTACAAAAAAGAGCCACATTTGTTAGTATTAAATAAAATTGCTGAGGTAGGATTTCAACGTATGTCATGTTTTTAAATCTGTTAGCAATGCTTAGCTGTCCCTTGTGAAGAGTGGCTGATGCTACCTGTTTTGTGATGGATCACACAGCACAAAATGATGCTGTGTCAAGTGGCTTTCAGTAACCCGACTGTGAATGCAAAGAAACTCCCTTAGGACTCCTACACCAAATCGTATTCTGATTCATGAAGTGCATCTCCAAGCAAAATGCTCTTATCATAATTTGATATGTTGGCAGGTGGAGCTCAGTAAATGAAGACATCACTGATCAGCTGCGGACAGCACAAGCAACGCTTCAGCTCTGGGAGCCCTGTGATAGTTTATGTACTGAGGCAGCAGTCAAGCTACAGCAGCATGAAGAGCAGTGCACTCAGCTTTTGGATGCCCGCATGCCTGAAGATAATATGATAGAAACCCTGAAACAGAGGATACAGGATGTAAAGGTACATGAATAAGGTTCTGCTGCCTTATACAAACCAGGATTTATTTACAAAAAAAAACCAACAAACCATCAAATCTAATGAACGCCTTCTTTTTCCCCTCCACCCCTGCACCAAAAAAATAATCCAGTCAGTGGAAAACATGAAATCTGTTTTTTCCTATGAACAGAAACTTTTCTTTCCTTCAAATACTTTGACCAGGTCCTGAGGCCAAATCAAACTACAGTTAGCATAGGGACCAAAGAGGAGCAATAATATTTAGTCTGCTCTATACAAAAAATCATGCCTATGCTGGAAAGGGTCATTAAACCAAAGATGATTTACTTTAAGCAGCACAGCTTGGGAGGAGAGATAATATCTACTAGATCAGTAGCTGTCAAAAAAAAAGACCAGTTTTCCAGAATACAGGACCACCTTGAGGTCTCTTACGGTTGTCTTTAACTTGGTTTTATTTGATTTTGGTCCTTTTTTTGGCCTGGTCTGATAAGTTCACAGATTTCTGAGCTCATTATATTATTCCAGACACTGCTGACTTTAGGTAAATTGGATTTCATACTGAGACCACAGAGTACATTTGACTCTTTCAGGAGGCAAACTGTCATTAGGTTCTGACATTTTTGGTTTCTTCAAAATGCAATAAAGAAATACAGTAATCCTTATTTCAGAACAGAGCAGAGATTTGTCACACTTTATGCGACTTTATCCACATACTGGAAGAAGTTCAAAGTCTCCTATTTTGCATGTAGCCAACTGAGAAATTTTCTGTTAAGGGAGAGAGAGCTCATGTGTTTCTTACCATGTCAGAAATAACTAAGAGTGACAAAACTTAGGACAAAGCATTTTAACTTCTTTCTGGTCTGTTAATAGCTGTGAGATGTAAACAAGTTAGCAAAGAGGCATCGCGTTTTCTGGAAATTTTTGGAAAGGTTTTTGCACCTACTAAGCATGGCATAACCACTAGCATGCCAGTGAATCTGTAGGTCCTGTTCTAGTTTGCATGAGTAGGATATATATAATTTATTGTATTTTGCAAAATGAATGATGAATTGGAAGAGTGGGGAACAGTGACACCGTGTTACATGTATGTGAAATTACATGTGCATTTTGAGTTGTATTTTAATCTATCTAATTTTATCCTGTAGTAGATATTACCACAATAAATACAGATAAAGTCCAGTACTCAGTGTAAGAAATCAGAATGGTTTTTCTCGTGTGACAAGGGATAGGACACAAGGAAATGACCTCAAGTTGCACAGTAGGGGTACAGGAATGATGTCAGGAAGAATTTATTTGTGGAAAAGGAGGTTAGTCATTGGAATAGGGAAATGATGGAGTTGCCATGCCTGGAGGTATTTAAAAGGTGTGTGACTATAGCAGTTACAGACATTTTAGTGGTGGACATGCTAGTGTTAAGCAGTAGATGGACTTGATGATCATATGGGTCTTTTCTGACCTAAATGGTTCTATAATTTCAAATCATTGACTTGCTAAAGCAGTAGCTTACAATATGATCCATTCCAAAGACAGAGGTAAGGATCTAAGAGCTATTTTCCTTTTATGGGAAGCATGTCTGTTCTTTACCATCAATCAAAAGCCTTTATTTGATACAGTAAAGACAATATACAGTGGCAAATTCCAGGGAGAGACATGGTTAAAAGTAAATGACGCTTATAGTCAGTGGTATGTTTCACAATGACTTCTTGCTATTCCTTGTCCAGCTGTCAAGTTTGTAACAGTGATATTTCTCAATTTCAGTATGAGCCAGTTTCTCCATCTGCTAGTGTAAATCTGGTCTGTAGAGATGGATGTGCTAATCTCTCTCCCTGATCCGTTCTGTAGAAACAGTAAAGCCCACTGCCTGCACTGATCTTCCACTGAACTTTGACCTGTGCCTTTCCCAGCACTAGAGTCAGGGGGTGCAACTCCTGTTATCCTCTGAGTGAAAGTCTGAATTTGGCTCACAGAGGAGATCAACCAAAAGAGCTTAGTTACAGCAACAAAAGATACTAAATGAAAATGGCACATGAATGAAGATCTGATTCATTTGCTGACCTTTTCTTTTTTAATTTCCTCTTCTCTCATCAGAATTTACAGAATGGTCTTCAGAACATAGTGGGATGCCGTTCCCAAATTTCTGAGTTGGCTGATCAGATAAAACAGCAGGCTGGGACAGCTGCACACGCCGTTCTGTTGGAGAAGCTGCAACCGTTCCAGAGAGCATCCTATTTGGAAAAGATGTTGCAGAGGAAGTTAGATGAATTGGAGGTACTTTTATGAATAGAAAATCAGTTGTCAGAGTGTGTTGACTTCTTCACTGGAGTCCTGTATTCCGTGAATGAAAATGAAACTAAAATAATAAATTAAAACTCAGGTTTTTTATAAAAATAAAACTCGGTGGTATGGTCAACTAGGTAAGGAAATAACACTTGAAGCCAAAAGGACAGATGGAAGAAGGGTTTCAGCCTCATGTCTGCTTGCGTTGCTATAACAAGCCTTTGTAAGTAGACTCTCAGATGATTACAAGTCAGGAAACTCTTTTTATTATGAACTTTAAGCTGTGAACATTCTCAGCTCTGCTTGGAACAATCCTAAGGGCTCCAGTTTGCCTCAAAAAGAATGAAAACAGATTACCTAAAACCAATCCAGATCTACAAGAACGTATTCCAGATGCCCACATTTCTTCCAGATATTTAAGAGTCTCTCAAGAGTTAGAGATTCTGTTTCTTGACATTTGCTTTGGCTTAAATTTTGCACTTACCCAGTGCAAACAGTGAATTTCCCTCAGTGAGTTATAAATACATTGGAAGTTGGATTGAACATCTGTTTGTCTTCCTGATAGTATTGCTCATTGCTTCTTTTTGTATAGCAACTATATATTATTAAATCAGCTCATAATTAATGTAAATCTGCAATGTTCATTCTAGTTCAATCTTTTACAACTGGAGGATTTTAAGAACTGTCTTGAAACTCTGGAGGGTCATGTGAAGAATTGCACAGATGCCTTTGATAGTCTCCATCTAGACGGAGAAACAGACAACTCAGAATTGCTCATGGTATGTTTGATTTCCCAAGTACAAAAAGATGAATAATCAGGATTTAAGAGCCCCAATTAAGGAATTATATGTTCTAAGTATCATAGATTTGTCACTTCCAACAGAGTAACTGTAATCTCTTCCCAAAAAATTGTTAAAATACATAAAAATTAGCTATGTGTCACAAGAAAAATGGATTGTGAGAAGGAGAGGAAATTCACATGGATTTGGAGTTGATGGGAGATCCTTTTTCCCAGCTTTATTCTGCAGTGACCTAGTCTTTGTACCATACACACAGGGTACAGAGTTGATCTGCAAGTGCCAGCACGTGTGTATCTGCTCAGTACTATCAAGAAAGTGGGCCTCCTGTAAGGAAACTGACCTGTTTGTTTCCTATAAACTCTAAGGTTAACATAAAATGTGGTTTCTTGGGTTAGCATTTTGATTGCAATCAAATTCCCTTTTACTTCCAGAATCACACTCTAGAGCTTGCTGCCCTTTCTCCAAGCATAGAGAGTTTGAATGAAGCAAGCATTAAGCTGCCCCTCAGTGACTTCATCCTAAAGAAGATGCAGAGCCTGACTCGGCAATGGAGTCAGAAGACAGCAACTGCTTTGGAACATTGCAGGTGTGAAAGGCAAACAAAAAATGTCGTTACTGTTTTCTTTTCTTTGAGGAAAAAGAAATTAAAGCATGGGAAATATTTCTAGCTGTTCACAGCTTTCTCAGGGAGTTTCTACATTGGATTTCTAGCCTTCTAACTTACTCCATAGTATTTCTGTGGTTCTACAGTTCTGTGACATAGTGGCTAGTTCTGTTCCAAGTCACTTGAAGCAAAAACGTAAAGGGCTTTAAGTGAAGAAAGGTAGAAAAGTGCCAAGCAAAACCCTACTGTGTTAGCATTAGTAAGGGCCACCTTAATGCATATGCAAACATATGCAGGAAACTAACCACCAGCAAAATAGTTCTTGAAGATTTCTTTTGTTTTACAGTGTGCTTGAGGGAACTCAAACTGATGAAAAGAAATTCCTTCAGAAATGTGAAAACTGGATGAAATTCCTAGAAAAAATGAAAGAGGCCCTGAAGACAAATGTTCCAGGACGATTTGAAGAACTGCAAGAGCAACAGAGAGTCTATGAGGTAAAGCTAACTCTGAAAATCAAAATATCTTGAATGATGAAGGTGACAGGAAATCCTTGGAAAATACTGTTCCTTTCAAATTTACATCTGTGTGGAGTTTTACAGAGCATTTCATTCTTTTGAAATGTGCCTTTGTACTTATCCTGAGAAAAGCTCTGAAATGTGAAAATTTTAAAATGAATGGATTGCTTTCTGCACGGGTCAGAGCTTTAAGAGTGTATCCCTGTAGTGCATTGCAGAAGCCCTAGCTTTTGCCAGCCCTGAGCTTGGTTGCCTCTCTGCCTGTCCCACAGTCCTGGAGCCCATGGTCCGTGGCAACTTGCTAGGCAGTTTGCTGAGGATTTGGCAGGAACCTCACCAGGTCCTGGGAGAACTGCATTTTAAAGCAAATATCTTCGTGGCAGTTTTCTTTTCTGACCAGCTTGAAGGTTTTGGTGGAAATCTGTTTTCAAACATTTGCTGTTGTTAGAGAGAGGGATGCCCTTAACACCTGTATGGGAAAATGGAGAAATAAACAAAATGCTGGTAAAAAGTCATGTGGTAAAAGTTTAGTGTCAGAAACTCCTACAGTGAGCTTTGTGCTACTGCAGTGGGCAAGAGCTTCACAGTACCCCAAGGAACTGATGTTAATTCCATGTGGTATAAAGTCTCTGCGTGTTAATGATATTCACTGGGATCAAGTAGGAATTCTTTGCTCCCTCTTATGCTTCTCCAAATCAGTTCACTTGTTGCAATAAAACGTAATAAAACAAGTACAGCGAAGGGTGGATTCAGCCTTGTGTCTCTTTTTCATACCTTTCTTATGGTTTTCAGTCTAGATTGCATTTCTCATGAGTGAATCCAGCAAACATCAGCTCCTTTTGTGTTACCACATAGGTGCAAATTCTTCCTGGTATTATGAAAGTGTGGAATCTTTTAGGGTGCATACGATGATAGCACTGGAAAATACTTTTAAAAGTATTTTAAAATTTAAAATTTTATGTGCTGTCAATGCAGAGGAGCAGAACCAGCTTTCACAGCAAGGATTGTGCAATGAATAGTTAAAACTGTTGTTCTTTTGGTATTTTCAGATGCTGCAAACTGAGATTTCCATAAATCAGCAGACATTTAATTCTATCATAGCAAAAGTTCTACTGTTCCTGGAATCTGGAGAAGCAGAAAAAAGGTAATGCATTTGTTTTTCTCGTGAAGATCTTGCTAATTCAACGAATAGGTTCTCCTCTTTGCATTCAGGATTGGACACAAAGTCAAATTGCTGACCAGATTTTCTCTTTAAATAATCTCCTGGCGCGTTTTGCAAAAGTGTGAAGGAGCTGCAAACAGAAACACATGTGCTCAGGCTCCACTTTTGATAGTAACTGGATGTTCTGCCAAATAAGATTAGTTAATTGGTCCTATACATGAAGCTTCCTTGTCTGCTGCTGCTTCCCTGCAGTTGTTTGAACAGTGTAGTTGAGAGGCCTACTTCTTGCAGAAGGTAATGAGAATGCTGCATGTAAAGGTCCCTTTCTCTCTTCCCAGACCTCCTCACTTCAAATTAAAGTACAGAGGTGTGAGACTGTTTACACTGCCCCAAGCTCAAATGATGGTGCATTAAGTCATTGACCCCACACGATCCAGAACACAACAGTTAAACCTGTTTTTTATTATGATGTTATGCTTTTCTCTTAATCAGTGTAGAGGAAGAAGAGGCATAAAATGTTTGTGAGCAAAGATTCAACTGCCTCAGGCATTTCTGCTGTGAAGATAGTACTCCTCTCTGCTAGAGCTTGCTTCCACAGAGTTGGCAGGACAAAACTTCAGTGGAAAGTCCATAGCTTGGCTTAAAGATGCCAGGGAAAATAGGGCTCAATTAAGTGAAGCTACTAGATTTTTTGTTGAAGCTAACCCCACAAACACATCTGTATAAGAGCTAATATGGCATCGTGATCTCCTGCAGAGAAACAAAAGGAATAGCCAGGGCCTCTCTTTAATCATTCCATCTAGATGTGATGGGTCATCTAAACATGTTGCAGGAGAAGTGAAACTGTTCAGGTGGGTTCAGTAGCAACGCTGACCCTTTTCACTTTGTAGTTACATCCCTCTGCTATAGGATTCAGTGATGGTTGAACTTGCCATTATAGGCTGGTAAAGGCACAAATCAATTTTGCTGCACAATGAGGCATCTTGTGTCACCTGCATTATCTTCCGTGTTCTTCAGATATTTAGTGCATATTGTTTCTGTGATTGCTGTACTTCATATGTTCCTATAACTCAATAGCAAGAATGACTTGCATTATCTATTTTTGTATCATGTAAAAGTTATTTTGCTTTGGAAATGGAATATGTAGAGCAGAGCTAAGCTTGTGGATGCATGGAGTTTTTTGCTTAGTTGGGCACTGTAATAGGAATTTTACAATATTCCAAATGTAAACCCAACACAATTATTGGAAAATACAGCCTCGAGGTCAAAATATTTTACCACTCAACACCTGTTGTCTGCAGGACAGAGTTTATTCCCAAGCTCACGTTGCTGAAAGAGCAGTGGCAGAATGTTATCTGGTTGGTTCAGCAGCGGAAGAAAGATATCGATGGACTCGTGAGCCAGTGGCAGCTCTTCAGGGGTTCTCTGCAGAGCCTCAGCAGATTCCTTGCTGATACAAACAGCTTCCTCGCAGCCGTCAAGAGCCAGGACTGCTACAGCCTGTACCACCTTAGAAATCTAATTCATGATTTCAAGGTATTGTATCTCTTTCTGGTGAATCTAAAACCTGTGATTTCCCTCAGATTGAAACTTCTCTCCAGTAAGAAGAAAGAGCTTTAAAATAACCTGAATGTGTGATGATGTGTGTGGACAGGAGGTGCCAGGAGCAGAAGGCAGAGAACTTGCAAGGGCATCTGTCCCTGGGGCTACCACTGTAGAAAGCATTGAAACCAGGCAGCAATTTTTCAGAGCAGTGCATTCTGCATTTTACATGCAATGGAAATCACATTTCCCTTTGTTCATGCTGGCTGTCTTGGCTTTTCACTGAATTAACCTCCTTGTTTTACAGGAAAGCAAGAAGAATCAGTGATCTTGGTGGTTGCTTGAATACATTTTGAAATGTTTTAGATTTCTTTAAGTCCTTTATTTGTGCTTCCAAAGTTTATCATGTTCCCACGCACCTAATGTTGAATTAACACATTACCAGTATTCCATTTGGTGCTAGCCTTGTTTCATTTCATCTTTATTTTTACCTACTGTTTAAAGGTGATTTTCAGAAGATTTTACAAGTTAATGCTCATGCTTTTCATTAGTGAGAAAAGCTAGAATATCTTCTCCCTCCCACTCCAGATTGCCCTTCTTTCCTGCTGTTGCTTTAAGGAAATAAATGCTGATCCTATTGCTTGTGTTACCGTCTAATTTGAGTCAAAAGCAAATTAATTATTGATGGCTTACTTGGAGTATGTCGTGATTAACAGCTTAGAAACTGTTTTTCTTTTAAAGAGTAAGGCAGTGATTCTTCAGAGGTGGCAAGGAATGTACTCCTCAATCATTGATGTTGGTGAGAAGTTGCGCACTGACTCTGATCCTGAGACCAGCGCTGTTCTGCAGGAGGAGCTCAGCCAGCTGCAGCAGAGCTGGGGGGACACTCAGGTCCAGCTGGAGAAGATGAAGACACAGCTCAGCAGCATCCTGCAGGTAGACAGTGCACTCCAAATGAGGAGCAGCATTTGCCATGTGCCATCAGGGTTTGTGGGAAGCTAAAAGCATAGTCCTTTAGCTCTCCAAAGGAAAATGAGGTTCATGTCCATTTGTTACCATAATGTACGTTCCCACTCTGATTGTTCTCATGCATCCATGGCCCCAAGCTCTGCTTTGAGGTATGAAGCCCGAGCTAAAATTCAACCTAGTGGGATTTAACATTACTTACTGCTCCACCTGATGCTGCACCTGTAAATAGAAGGGCAGATCATATTTATTTCCTTGGAACAACAGATCTGCTTGCATGGCCAGACTGCACATAGGTATACCTTACAATTGAATTCATCAGTGATATGATCCCTATCCCCAAATTTATGCTGAAAGCCTCTCATAACACATAACAAGATAAGCAGAAATGCTCTTTAAACATACCTTTCATGACAACAGAGGGTGCAATATTGTCTGTAAAACCATGTGCCAAATTCATGGGTGTATCACTGTATGAAAAAGAAAATCCAAACACTAGAGCCTATGATTATTTACTTCAGTGGGTTGAACATGCTGTTTTGGAACCTGTTCATATAATACATTATGTCACATCTGTGTCCAGCGTGTGCTGTATCTTAACCTTTTATAACTTCTTGGGTCTCCTTGAGCAGAGCTGGGACAGCTGTGAAAAGCATACCAAGGAGTTAGAGAGCAGGCTGCGAGAGCTGAAGGATGAAGTCAAAGATCCGCTTCCAGTCGAGCATGAAGAACTCTACAAATCCAAGGAACACATTAAGGTACTGAACGAGCATATTGTGTTTATATGGATGTAGTCTTTGCACATCACTCAGTCCCTTTTAAGTCAGTTTCACATCTTTCTGTGCCCCTGAATTTTTCTCCTTTATACCATCCCGATTGCTGCCAATCTGCAGAGTGCAGCTGACCAATCTGCATGCAGGAGAAAGATTCTTCCTGCAAAAAAGTTACTGTTGTAATATTTTTTTCCTCCTCCTCACTTCCCACCATCTGAACTTATAAACTGAGGTGGTTCTCAAACAAGATGTTAAAACTCCCTGCTCTCAGCTCAGGTTGGCTGCCATCCTAATGCCTGCTTATTTTCTTTTGTTTTCCAATCTGTTTGGGATGGAGAGCTTCTCAGGCAAGAGACCTTGCAAGCACGCAAAGCACTGTGCTCACCTGTGGGATCCACAAATAATTAAAGAGAAAGAAAATTAGACTAAGGGAGTGGTGTAAGCCCTTGCAGCCCAAAGTACTTAATGAAAATTAAATGGCAAAGCATTTTCAAGGGATGGGAGACGTTATTTCTGGACTGGTCAGTCTTTCATCATTCTTTTATGAAGTGAATTGTTGACCTTTGTGGTGGGAATAAATAAGCTCTTTAATGAGCCAAGGCTTTGTACTCATTATCAGCTGTCTGAAATCTTCTTTGTGAGCACTGGCTGCCTTTGCCACAGCAGCAGTGCTGGCTGCAGTGCTGAACTGTTTGTGAAATGGCAACAGACTGCTCCTGCCTCTAACTCCAAGCAGAGAAATTTGGCTACAGAGATACCAGAGTTAGACAGGACCTCTGCAGCTGCTGCTCTGGGATATCACAGCAGAATAAAATGCCAGGAGTGTAATGATAAGAAATTGACTTCATTATTGCAGGGATTCAACCTTTATCAAGATGAACAAATGCATGTCTGTGCATCTTTAAGCAGCAGTTTTTTTTAACTTGAGTAAATGTTTCAGCCTCGCTTTTTTATTTTATTTTATTTTATTTTATTTTATTTTATTTTATTTTATTTTATTTTATTTTTTTCCTCCCATGTTAAAGCAGACTAGAAATTGCTTTTAGGATTTAGATAAAGGACTGGATCTGAAGACCTGTGAAAAAACTCACAGGACTCAGACCCAGCACGCATCTCCTGACACTTGCTATTTTTTTTCCTGTAAAATGAGACCAACTGACTTCTATGTAAGAGTTTTTTATGTCAGAGGAGCCAGTGACCACCTTGCAAAAGAGGACTTAATGTTTAGAATCTCCTGTTTTCCAAGTTGCATGCAGTGCTTCTTTAACACTGATCAGGAAAGTGCATAACCATGTTGCAAAGGGGAGTGGGAGGAGGGAAGCCAAAGAAGAAGTGTTTATGTGAGCGAGCAGTTTAAAGCTCCAGATTTCTGAGAAATCTAATGAAATGACTGTGAAGCCATGCATTAGCAAAGGGAACCAGGTTTATTTCCTAAGCATATAAACTACCTGAAATTGGAACAAATGCAGGCAGGAACAAATTGGCCAAAATTAAAAATTGAAAATCCAAAAAAGTGGTCACATCTTCCTGGCTGCAAAATTCCGTCCTGAAGCATGGGGAACTGCTGGGCTCCAGCAGCGTTTGGACAAGTTTGGCCACAGCAGAGGCTGCTGGTGCACCAGTGAATGAGCAGCAGTGCTGCCCTGGGCTCTGGGTCAAGCCCTGAGCCAAACCCATGGGGTCCCCATCCAGTCCGGCTGCAGAGCGCTGCACAAGTACTGCACATTCTCCTCCCCCACAGGCCAGGCAGAGGATTAGAGAGCAGGTTTGGAAAGCAGAGGAGCTTAGTGCCAAGGCTTGTGCTGGGTGTTTCCATGCAGGAGCTGGAGCAGTCACTGGCAGACTGGGCCCACAACATGAAGGAGCTGCAGGCCATGAAGGCGGAGCTGGCACACTGCATCCTCACCGAGGACATGATGGTGCTCCAGGAGCAAGTGGAACATTTGCACAGGCAGTGGGAAGAGCTCTGCTTGCGAGTAAGTTTTCTGCATAGCCTTTTTTTATAGCGAGGTGTTCATAAGGCAAGGGGAAGCAGCCAGCAGATGGGGTTTCTTTTGGGGTTGGGTTATTTTTGCAGCACTGGGAGGAAATGGGGCTTTTCCTGGGACAGCTGAGTAGAGCTGAATTTTCTGAGTTTTCTTTGTTTCCTGGTGACTGTGCTGCGATTTATTTATTTATTTATTTTATTGCAAACCCTTTGAAAGTAGTAAGTGCCTGCATTGCACGGAGCCCAAATGCAGCTGTGTGCTGCCATAGGTGGCTTTGTTCTGGGCCGCCAAAGAGAGAGGGGGAGGGAGAGGGAGAGGAGATAAACACAGGAACTGCCTGAGGGGTTGAAACTGGGAAAGAAAGGGGGATGCCCTAGTGATCTGGTGTCAGACAATGCCAGGCGGGTTGAAAAAGAAAACTTAAATGTGTTTAAATGCAGACATTGGCTTTTAAACACATTCTGAACTGGGTTGTCCTGTTGCAGCAACATGCTGCAAAACGTTTGCGTACTTTGTGTCTTGTTGTTATTACGCTTAATTTAGTTCTGCCTGTAAAATAACCAGGGAAAAATTACCAGCAAAGTCATATGATCTTGATTCATCGGGTTATTATGCACTTTGAATGGGTGTTTACTTTGCCCTGTCAACAGGATTGGAAGAAGCAAAATACTTCAGGTTTTAAGTTGTTGGGTGACTCTACATGTCAGCAGCCAAACTGTTGCCTCTCTTTACTCACAAGCTTTTATTCCACAGTTTGCAAAAAAAGAAGTCCTGAAGGAAGTTATTGCCTCACATCCAACCCTTACTTAGGCCAAGGTGAAGCAATGTCTGTGGGAACACTGCCAGAGCAAGGAATGAACAGCTCTGTTTATTCCACAAACTCTGATGTGATGAAATAGTTATTTGGGTTTCTTTTTGGCCTTGCAGCAAAAAAGGATTTAGTATCTTTGACAGTTAATCTACAACCAGTGTTGTCTGCTACTGTTTCTGAGCCCTGAAGATAATGCCAGACACCCTCCCCTCTCCCAGGGCCATTAGATGTAAATTAGAATGCCTGAGCCATTTACCTAATGGAAATCTGCAGTTAAACCTATAAAGAGAGTAGTTTGATGGTTTTTTCTTTTTTTTTTTTTTTTTTTTTTTTTTTTGTGAACTGCTGATGAACTTTGGTGAACAGCTCTGAAAACTGATCTGTGTTATGTATCTACCCAACTACAGCCTATCCAGGTTGTACAATAATTTCAGTTCAGATTCAAGATTCCCACTTGGATTTCTGGAAGGAACAGTATTTTGTCTTGTCTACATTGGAGATATGGTGTGAAATAAATATTACAGAAGTTTTAGACTAAGAAAAATCCTTAGTGGGAGGAAATCGATTCATGCTGTAGCAGAGGGATGTGCTGAAATGTTTGCACGGCCCTAATGAGCTCCCAGAGAGCCTGCATGGATGCTCAGAGCTGGACAGAGACTTCATTGGTTCTGCTGCTAGCACAACTGCTTTGTTTTGGCTATCAAATTAAAGAAATCAAGATGTGTTATGTAAAAATACATCAGTATTTTTTACTGCAGTGTAAATGGTGAGATGGGAAAGCCTTTACATGTGAGGCATGATTGCAGCTGTCACGGCCACGGGAGCAGAACAGCCAGATGTCTGTGCTGCACTGGGCAGGGACACAAGCACAGTTAGTGAGCAGATGCACCCAAGGGATTAGTGTTTACATTGCTGCCCTTGTGAGGTCTGTGTAGGTTAAAGATTTAACTGCTTCTATCAGTGAGTCCTGTCCTACCAAATGCTAGTATTCAAGAGGGATGCTGTGAGGCCAGCTGTGAGGCCAGAGACTTCTGCATTACATGGGTACAAAGCTGGAACTGGTACTGGGGGCAGCTGGTTTGGAGAGAAAGTGCTCAAAGCAAAGCGTGACTCAAAGGGCTTGCATTCTTAGAAGCTTCTCTGGGATCTTTTGCCTCCTTCCTGCTTTACTCCTGATCTGTATTGGTTAGTTGACTAAAAAGTTCCTCCTAAATGCTGTGTTGCCCCATGCTTAGAAGATAAAAATGGAGTCAAGATCATCTCAAGATGTAATAACAGTATTGCCAACGTGCATAGTCTCTTCTGTAATCAAGTCATCCCACCTCCTAACAAAAGAGATGCTGTGGAGGAGCGTCCCCTTCACAGGAAGAAGTGATGGAGGAGAGACGAGGGATTTCCCTTCATACCTCTCAAAGTGTAAGGGAACATCCCAGAAACAGAGTCACTCTTAGGATGTAGGGAGATTTCCTAGCTCCCTGGAGTTTCTAGGAGACTTACTCCCAAGCTGAAATTTGAAGATGGTTTCCCTGTGTCCCGAAATAGCACAGGCCTCATCTAGGACGCCCCTTATTTCAGAGGGTAAGGCCTTACGTTGTACCAGGGGAGGTTCGGGTTGGACACTAGGAAACATTTCTCAGAAAGAGTGGTGAGATATTGGAACAGTCTGCCCAGCGAGATGATGGAGTCACTGTCCCTGGAGGTGCTGAAGAGATGTGGAGATACGGCACTGAGGGACATGGCTGAGTGGGCATGGTGGCGATGGGTTGACTGGTAGACTTGGTGATCTCACTGGTCTCTTCCAACCTTAATGATTTTGTCATTCTATGATCTCCTAACTGAGATTAGCATGAAAGATTTAGACATGCATTTCATCTCCCTATTCCCTTCTTTAAAGTAAATAAATAAATAAATAAAAGACAAAAGCAGTATAGTGAGAGAATATCAGTTGGTGCTTAAGACATACATTGGGTGTGAGGAGGAAATACTTTCCTTGCCATGATGTGGTATTTGGAGTGGCTATTTGCAACTAAGGCAAGCAGGATTGTGTTCCATCTTCTTTGCACGAAGTTATGGGTGTGAACAAGGGATTTCTTGTTTGTTTTCTTTCAGTAGAACTTACACTGCTTTTCACTTTTTGTTTCTCATAATATCTTAGTACAGGAATCTAACGGAGTAGATAAATAAATACAAGTATGTATTTAAATCCCCAAGACAAGAAATATGTGCTGTTAGCTAGTAGAAGAGTGAGCCTGCTCCATTCTGCAATGCTGGAGCAGTGACACTGAATGTGCTGCTTCAGGTAGCATCACACCTTAATTTTTCCATCTAAACAATTTGTTCATCCATTCTGACATGTGTAACTTTGAGGAAAAAAACACAGTTTTCAATGAAAGTTTAGATTCTCAATGAAGTTTTTTTACAATTTCTCCAAAAGCTGATGAGCAAATGGAAAGAAAACAGGTATTTATAGAAATTAAGGAAAAACATCACCAAACCTGTAGCCGTAGTCTCAAAATTTGTCTTGCCTACATGTTTCTTTTTTCGTGCTGTAGTTGGGGCCATAATAAGTACTATGTGGTAATTATATATTTTATATTACCTTGTTTGGCATCTTCAGATTTCCGCTGAGCAATATTTAAACTGTTACACAGTGTCATTATTTATAATGCTGTCAGTCAATGCAGTTCTTCTGAAGGAGAGAATCTGGTGTTAGACAACTTTTGGCCTTGCTATCCAAAATAGCTTGTAATGACGATCTGCTCGATGGTTTTGAGTAGAAAGCTAGAGATACTTAATAAGTGCTCCTGCAAAATGAAACATAGTGGAATGCAGAGTGGAAATTAGAGGGTTCATAATCAACTGTTTTCCTTCCTGAGAGAGACGTTGCCAGCATTTCACTTGTGTGCTCATCCATAGGTGTCGCTCCGTAAGCAGGAGATCGAGGACAGACTCAATGCCTGGACTGTGTTCAATGAGAAGAATAAGGAGCTCTGCTCCTGGTTGGTGCAGATGGAAAGCAAAGTGCTGCAGACGGCGGATGTTAGCATTGAGGACATGATAGACAAATTGCAGAAGGTAAGCAGCATTGCAGCTTTTCTACAATTGCAGCCTGATAGTTGGTTGTAGAGCAACCATTCTTCATCTCTTCCTTGCCTCCCAGAAACAACAGATGCTATAAAAGCAGCATGTACAGGCCTTTGTCAGAAGATGAGCTACTCTGTCCAAAGCTCTTATCTTCTTGGTGTTCAGACCTGGGACAAAATGCAAGACAGAAATGCCACCTAACTGCATTTGGGCATGGTGTGAGTTGTGCTGGTGAGGGGCTGGATTGAGGCATGCTTAGCACGGCCCAGAGCTTCCTTGCTAGGGATCACTGATGTTCTGGGAGCATCTCCTTGCTCCCCTCTCACTGTTACACAGCTGGCAGGGAGAGGACGAAGAAAATACTGAATGATGGGAGGTGTTATAGGAGGCAAATGAGAGATTATCACAACCAAAAATGAAATCTAATTTTGTCCCTTCTCAGTACTCAGTGCAGTTAGTGATGTCTGATCCGTCCATGTTGGTTTGATTTTAAACAGGACATTTTTGTTGTTTAATTGTTATTTCTGACTGCTGTTCTTCCCCATGGCTTAAAGCTCTCAATGTCTAATCTCAGATCTCCTGTAGGTATGAATACTGGCAAAATAAAGCCACCTCAGACTTGAATTAGGGTTAGTTTGATTTTAAAAAAGAAAAGCAAAAAGCTAAATCAGGAAAGCGGAGGCAAGTTTAGAACATTTGAAGTGCTGTTTTTAGAATTAACTCCTGGCATTTGCCAGTCTTTAGCTGCTTATTTTTTCATAGTGGCTTCATTGTGAGAATACTTTTCCATTGAATTTTTTGTTTTTCTCTTTGTTTTGTTTTGTTTTTAAGCGAACCGATTTTATATACTAATATAAAAACCTTGCAATCCCGAGCCAAACCAGTCCTCAGACATGGGGAAAGAGAGTTTTGTTTTGCTTTGCCCGGAAATTAAGCAATGTTTGTTTACATTTCTCAGGATTGCATGGAAGAAATAAACCTGTTCAGTGAAAATAAGCTTCACTTGAAACAAATGGGTGACCAACTAATCAAGGCCAGCAACAAGAGCCGAGTTGCAGAAATAGATGATAAACTCAACAAAATCAATGATCGCTGGCAGCATCTCTTTGATGTCATTGGAGCACGGTAAGAAGATGTGCTTGCAAGCTTTATGTGAAACAAAAGTCAGTGGCTCAACCATCAGAGACTTTTCAATTCTGTTAAAGTTGACTATTAAGAGTCAAGTTAAACAGTAATTAACCTCTTATTTTTTTATTACTATGACTTATTGCTGTATTATGACACCAAACAGTTCATCTAATGCTAGAAGGCAGGATGTGAGGAGTCATAGAAAACACAATTTTAATCGTGGGCTCTATATAAAGAGTCTGGGTGATATCACATCTGTCAAATGCATAATGATAGGAGTCCATCTGGGCTCTTCAGATCCATCACATTAACTAGCACCTATGAGGTTCCACCACAGATCAGGAGGAGGTCACTGAGCTGGTCTCACTTCCTGCCTGAGTTTATTAGTAATGCAGAAATAATAAGGCTAACACAAAAATTAGCATTGGCCTCAATTTATCTCCTAAGCTTTTGTTTTGCCTGTAGCCTGCCTCCCTGGGCCTTGAGTCTGGTGAAGTGGGTGGCTGTGTTGAGAGCATTGTGCTTAAGTGTGCTGGATCATAATCAGGAATGCGATCTGAATTAATGGTGACACATGAGCCATGAATGATTAAGCAGAAGCTGCCTTCTTAAGATGTAACAGGTTGCAGATAAAGTCTTGCAACAGCTCATCTGTCTCCAGATACACTTCTATCTGATACTATGTAGGAAAGAACATTTTGCTCTTATAACAGAACTTTTTCTGTTCTCATCTTATGGTAGCATGTCACTTTTCAAACACCTTTATGATCTTTTATGTCTTGTGTTAGTTTTGCATCATAGCATTTTTTAAATGCAGATCAAAATGCATGCTTTTTTTTTAACTGAAGTAAATATGGCACGTTTCTACTAATATTTAGGAAAGTATGCTAAAGAACTTCTGGGATGGAAGGAGATCTGGTACTGTTATTCAGGAAGTCTCTGCCAACAGAGCATTTGTCTTTTTACATGGGATGTCTTCAAGCTGTACCTTCAAGCGAATGTATGGTAGTGCTTTGAGGTACCTTTGTGTGCATTTGCCTAAAGCATCAATGTGGCTCCCAGTATTGAATATTCAAGAGGATATTTCAGCTATTGGGTGGCTGGTGTGATGACTTCTGACAGTTCCTATTTTCTCACCTTTAAATGTCTGGAGTGTACCAGCTGCTACCTGTGATATCTTATCAATTTTGCATTCAGGACCAGGATAATGAACTGTAAGGAGATGAGGAAAGGTTACTTTAAGCAGCAAGTTCAAAGTTATCAGGCAGCCCAGTGGGTTTTGCTGATCCTCGTGGATTTAATGCCTAATGAAGGTGGTTCAGAGCTTGGAACAGTTTTGCAGCGTGCATGCAGCACATCTCCTCCCTCACCTTGCTGTGTGGGGCAGGGCTGGCATTTGGGCTGTTGTTAGTTGCTCAGTTATAAATATCCTCCAGACTCTAGGAGAGTTTATTTTGCTCTGCTTTCAATATCATGGTGTATTATAGGACACTAAGGAGGAGGCACTTCTGGGTAGCATCTCGTAGTAGCATGAGAGGTAATGAACTTAAGTTCAGGTTGGATATTAGGAAAAATTTATCCTCAAGAAGAGTTCAGGCACTGGAATAGGCTTCCCAAGGAGGTGGGGAGGTCACCATCCCTTGGAGATTTTCAAGAAGAGGGTAGATGTGGCACTGAAGGGCATGGTGGCGATGGGTTGACAGTTAAACCAGATGATCTTCGTGGTCTTCCCCAGCTTGAACAATTCTATGATTCTAAGCTCAGGTGATATGGATGAGACAGTAGTTCTACTCCTCCCAGGTGTGACAAAGACTGGGCCCTTTGAGGGAGCAGAGCAGAGCAGAGCGAGTAACGTTGGAGGTGGGATGACCTGTGAGTGTGGGCTGTGATGCTCCATGCACCATCACCTTCCTTGTCAGTTTTCTTTTGCAAAATCCTTTAAAAATAAACAACAAAAAAATTAAGTTGTGCTAAAGGAGCGTATGGAAACAGTGTGGTGGCAAAACCTGCATCAGCCTTGTTGCATGAAGACACTGCAATCCTCATGTCTTTACAGGATCTCAGCCATCAACCATTGCTGATTCCATTCAATGCGTAGAATGGGTTGGCAGGAGGAAGGTTACAAATAAGGGGTTTTAAATTGAAGGAGGGAAGATTTAGGTTGAATATCAAGGAGAAGTTCTTTACTATGATAGTGTGAGGTGCTGAAACAGGCTGCCAGAGAGGTTGTGGATGCCCCATCCCTGGGGGCATTCAAGGCCAGATTGGATGGGGTCCTGGGCAGCCTGGTCTGGTATTAAGTGGGGAGGTTGGTGGCTCTGCCTGTGGCAGGGGTTTGGAGATTCATGATCCTTGAGGTCCCTTCCGACCCTGGCCATTCTATGATTCTGTGATGGTTGGAGGCTGTAGAGCACAGTACAGGGATTGTTTATTCACTGCTGCATAATGGAGAAGGGACCACAGTGCTGCGTAGCTGCCAGCATGACAGCACTGAATCTCATGCTGTTCTTGTAACAGGCCTAAGTGCGGGCAGTCAGTAATGTACAGAGCTGTGCTATGAATTGGAGGAGAAAGTATCTGTTGAAGATCTGTGTGTTAAAGGCTAGCTCTTTATCCTGGACACTGAATCTTTCTAGCAGAGAAGCACTAATGACCCTGTGGCTACAGGGTATAAAATAACCCATATCCACAAGGAAGTCTAGTTGAGATTTATAGGTGATATGAGTTCTGTGGTCTCTAATGTCTCCATGGCTGACCCAGCAACTTGGGTAACATCTACCTTCCCTATATTGCAGCGTATGTGTATGTCTTTATGATACCAAAATGAAAGCAAACAGTCTCAAGCCAATCTGTCAATACAGGATGTTCCACCTGGTAGCTTATTTCACCTTTTAAAACCAATAAACGTCCTGGGACAGATGGGCAAATTAGGTGAGCTCCCCATTTAGTCTTTGAAGTGATTCTCTTAGTTCATGGTGACAAGCTCAGATTTGCCATATGGCAACATTTGCAGGACTTAGCACTTGCATTGTATGCCTGTGCTCAGTTTGTGTAATGACAAAGCTGTGCCGCATACGTTGCAGCTGGAGAGTGGCATGGTGCAAACTTGGAACAGTATCAAAATGTTCATTTTCATGGGGTAAAATGCATGAAGGCAGAGAAGTGCTTGGGAAAGAGAACAAATGAATTCTGTGCAGCTCAGAAGATACTCTTAACAGTACAGGTTATTGTGCTGAAGTCTCTGCTGATAAAGGAGGAATGTGAGTGTACCGAGAGGCAGAAAGAGAGCCTTGTGCTGACCATGAAGATGGGCATCAAATATCTCGCTTTTCTTTGGTCACTGACCTTGTGGCAGCACTCTGTGAGAAAAAACATAGCATGCTTGCACTCCCACCCAAGCAAAGGCAAAAACAACAGAAGAAGCAGTGCACTGGCTGCATGCATGTGGGCAGACAGCCAAAAACCCACGGAATGGCATTTATATCCCTGATGTACTCTGGAGCGGCACTCCCAAGCTGTGCCTGCTTTAACCAGAGAGCATTGGCAGGAACCTGCACTGTGTACACAGTCAGAGGTGTATCCCTTGTTGTCCTTCCCTGGCCTGTTTGCCACCAACACAAACTCTACGCTTTGCTTCCTCGTTCAGAGGGAAGGGTTTGCTGCCCGTGCTGCTGTGTGCACAGAGCTTGCAGTCAGACAGGAGCAGCACCCATTGGTTGCAGGTGGGCATCTTGAGCCTTCAGGAAAATCTCCACCTTCCTCTGTGGCTGCTTCTGGTGGTTTGGGCTGTGTGGACAGTAAGAAATATGCATTTGGGGGGGGGATTGGAACTAGATGATTCCTTCCAATCCAAGTCATTCTATAGTTATGTGTTTTCTGTACCTCCCAGCATCCTGCAGCTCTCGGCACTTTCATGAAGCTGTGGAAGATGGATGCCATTTCTAAGCTGCTCTGGCTGTGAGCACACTGTGGTGTGTTTCTTGATGTTTCATGGAGGAAGGCACATTGGTTGGGTCTGTAGCAGGAATGAGTTAAAATGACTGACTTAATGCAAGCATGAAAATGTGGGGAAAGTAGCAGTGCCACGTGTGCCTCCTTATCATTTTAATAAATCCTTGGCAGTTAGAGCATTTCTTTGTATTTACAAGCCAACAGCCCTCATCATGGGGTCCAAGAATCCTAAACTGCAATGGCTGGTCAGCCTCTTGCTTCTCGCACTGAGCTGAGGAGATACAGGGTTGTTTTCACTGTATACCAGAAAGAAATTATATAAAGTTCTTTACTCAGAGGGTGATATGTCCATAGCACAGAGAAGCTGTGGATACCCCATCCCTGGAGGTGCTCAAAGCCAGGCTGGATGGTGCCTCACCGGGTGAGTTGGACTAGTTGGGCTGTAAGGTCTCTTTCAACCAAAACCATTCTACGATTCCCTGATAAATTCCCAAACAGTCAGAAGCAGCTCAGGTTGCAGTAAAAGAGGAGTTAGCTGAAGCTCTCCATCATCAATGCCTTGTGCTTGCAATGTGGGAATGCTGCTGAATTTACTGGGGAGCTCCAGCGCAATTCTGCTCCACTCTGTGCTTTCTCTTGATCCTTGCACTGCAGTGGGTCTGCCCGGATAACTGCCCGGATGGCAGCAGGCCACACCTTGTAGATGCAGGGATCGGATGAGTTCACACCGCCCTCAGCTGCTCTCTGGGTGCATTTTCAGCCACGTTGCTTGCCCTTTGGCAGGGCAGCACAGTGAGCACCACGTGGCAGTGTACCGTCCCACCCCACTGCAGTGCAGCTGTGCTCTGAGCTCAAAGGTCTTCCTAAGATGAGCTGCAGATGAGCCCTGCACAGCAAGCGAAGCAAAGTGTGCTGCCGTGGTTACACCGTACAGCCATGTTCAGCAGAATTTCACTGGTTTGTGGCAGCACCACTGAAAAATCTCATTCTTTGTAATCATTTTGGTGCAAAAAGTAATAATAATGATGATCTTTGTAGTTGAAATA